TGATGTTACAGTGTCCATAATTTGTCAAGTGCGTTACAACGCGACATTTTGTAACCCGAATGTTCGCAAATCGAGGGATACCTGCACAATGCATTCTAAATGGTAAGACAACAACGCGCAAACATGGCATCGTCTATCTCAGACTGAAGGTCGTAACATCACTCCCGGTGGTTACCGTGCACTTCATCTCCCCGAAACATAGCACATTTATTGAAACCTCGCATAAACACAAGCGGTATTATGGCAGTGTGCAAAATTTAACTGTGAGGTTTTACGAAGGAGATGCAATTTGCGAGGCATCGTTGAAAGGTCAAATGTGTTTTTAACATCTTTGGAAAGACACGCTGTAATCTCGCCACCAGCGTTTTACACTATTTGGCTCCATCAACAAAGATGATATTAATCACCTGCAAAATTACAACTTATTCAAACTAATTTCCCGCTCAGTTAGTTCAGTTCCAGTTCCATTGATTAGGTGTAACCCTGCGAGCCATGCGGCTCTTGACTTGGGTGAGGCAGTGGTGTAAATTCCACACTCCTTTGGGGGGCTGGGTGCGGTGAGTTGGCGGGCGTGGGGATCCACCCATAGGACAACCACTCGCCCACAAATTACCACTTGTTTTTTTAAATCAACATCAGAAGAATCGTGGGCTAATTTAACTCACGACCAGGATTTGAATTTGCAACATTCCGAATATAAGCCGCTCACTCTATCGAGTTACCAACACAGCATTGCACGCACACAATTTTCAGGCTTATCCAGATCACCAGCTCAAAAGAACTGAATTTGTGGCCTCTTTGTCATTTAGGGCCCACCCACTCGCAGGGTTGAGAAAACGTGGCCGTCAAATTCTATTTGTTTCTAGCCGCTCGCGCTACCACCGAGGGGCCTGATACATGGTTAACATCATCACAGCTTTGGGGTTTAATCCACACGTAAAAAAAACATGGGCCGGTTCACTTGTTGGCAAATGTTCCTTTGTCCACTGGAGCTTGTTCAAAGAGTCTGCCAATATTCATCCCTAACATGAACAATTGGGTAAAATTTCCAAATTGATGTGTTTCGGACACTCTACGTGTTTAATGAAACGGCACACGTCATGGTTTTTATAATGGCGCACTGCTGTGGTGTAACCATCAGCACACTTGACTTAAAATCTGGAGATCGCCGCTTCAATATCCTAGTGCCGCAGATGACACAATGGTGTAAGGTTTTTTAAAATTGTTTTTTCTATTACAACTCAACGCGAGCCTGACACAAAGCGTCGATCGCCGAATGGAAGGGGGGGGGGGCAAAAAGTTCCACGAACAGTGGCCCCCGAGTTCGGTGGCGACAGGCCCCAAATGAAGGGGGGGGGGGGGACTGGGCTCACTGCACGTTGTAAGTTTCTTAAACCCGCCCACGTGTGTTCACCCAGAAGTCTATAAGGGACTCATCTACTTATGAACACTCGACTTACGAACTTTCAGAGATACGAACAAACTTAAATTTCGATTTAAAGCTTTCGTGACTGCAGGGATTCATCTTCTTGGTTCTTTCGGTAAAGTCACGTAGAAGGGAAATGAACGTCATTCAGACGCTGTCTTTCCGACAGCTCTGTTCTTCACCTGAGGACGGCTGCTTGCGTTGTGGCCGAAACGTCGTGAGAATTGTATTTTATTATGTTTTATTTTTATTATTTTTTTATTTCCCTTCTACGTGACTTTACCGAAAGAACCAAGACGACGAACAAACTTGTCCGTATGTCCACATCAGTTGGCTGTTTGGACCGATAATCGTAAGTTCAACCGCCACGCAATAGATGGGGGTGGTGGCACCTACATCTGCAGAACATGAAGAACCAGTGGCATCTACATCTACAGGAGATTATACAACTTTTAAAGCTATTCCCCGTGCTTAGTGTACATGCCGTACAACATGTTTAGAATCGACAGCATTAAAGTTGGACTTGCGAACAAATCGACTTACCAACAGACCTCTGGAACCTAACTCGTTCGTAAGTAGGTGAGTCCCTGTATCGGTACACCACAGTTAGTCGATGAAGGCAGGTCACGCGACATGTGGTGAAATATGGGGTCCTCCCACCACCTCTTCCAAGGCGTCTGGTAAGCTTGGAAGAAAAGGTCAAGTCAAATTCCCTCTAGAGTGGCTAGCGCAAGCTCCCTTGATGGAGGCCTTTCTGCCAGCAGTGACATTAGCGAGCAATTTCAGGGCTGCATCTTTACCTTTTATGCCATATATTTAGAGATAGGCCTCGGCAAGGCAAGGTGATTTACCCTTTTTACCGGGTAAATGGGTAAAGGTGTCGACATGCCAAGGGGTAAGGTAAAGGGTAGGGTAAAGGTAGCGCGGAAGAATTACCCGGTAAATACCTTGTTTACCGCTCGCTAAAAGCTCCGTGGCGCAGTCCGTGGCCTCCATTAAAAATATGAATCATCGAGAGTATTCTATATGAATAAAGCGCTCTACCTGGCATTTGCCCGTTATAAACATTTTTCATGTGTAGTAGTACCCCAGTAATTACCCTGTAATCGGGCAATATGTATGGGGTAAGGGTAAAAGGTAAGGTAAAGGTAGGCTCGTTGTTTTTACCTTTACCTTACCTTGCCGAGGCCTATTTAGAGATTAAAAAAAATCTAGTAATGTACAGGGTGCCCATTAAGTTATAATCCATTAGTAATGAAACTACGTCGATAATATAAAACACACACACAAACTTGGTAGTATGGCGATGTTATATAGATTTTAATGTTATGTCAGGTCCAGTGGAAGGTTCATCTGTTTGTAAAATTATATCATTTAATGCCAGGTCAACCTTTCTATACATTTTCACGTTAAATATAGTAGATACAAATTAAGAGAACACTGTATAAGGCATCCGCGAAAGTATAATCAGTTGGAGAATTCTACATGCGAGATGATGGCAATATTTCTCGTGTGCAATTAACATTTTTTACCAACAATCTTGGGTGATCTTTAACATTTCACGACTGAAGTATTCGAAAAAAACAATCACAAAAGCGATGCTGGTGAACGTCGGGGACTCTCAAATTTCTATCTGATTACAGCAGAGCAGCATCACTATTATCATTACACTTGATTAACCGTGATTTTTTTTAGAAGGGTCCTGGCCATGTTACATTTCAATTCGGTCATTTAAAGGTTAATTGTGAAACTTGGCAAAACTGGATCATGGCGCTGGCACACACTGGCATTACAGGAGCATCAACGTCCACTGTGAAACAAGCGGCGCGTGGTATTTTTACGGTGAATACACTTTTTATTTTACTAGATAAAGCTCAACTGAACTATTTAGCTCATTTTTCAGAAGCAACCTGGCCACAAATGATAGCTCAACGAAGTGAGTTATCATCATGTGGGAATTTATAGCAGCCAAATACTCTTCAGCGCACGTTTATAAATGCGGAGGGCAAAACCGGAGGGCCCGGAGAAAAATCCACGTGACCACGTGGAGAACGTGCAAACTCGAAATATAGAGGCATCGTTAGGGTCGTCATCGAATCCATGACCTGCTGTATACCAGGCGAGGTAGTCAACATCTTGCCACCGCGGCACCGCGAAGCTGCCGCTAGATTTGAACCGTGAACCTTTGCAACGAGCGGCGTACGGTGGACATATATAGAAGTTGAAGGGGTTGACCCTCTCATGCATCATGTTCATTGTGGTGGACTAGGAATGCTATGCAATTATACTAAACGTTTTCAACACATCTGTGGCGTTAATTTGACTCTTAAATTCACTTTCAACAAAGAATGCAAACATTTTGGTTTTAATGAGTCATGCATGAGATAATTATCTTATCTTATATGGATATAAGTAGCGCCTTATCCCAAAGCGCTTGACAACAATCTTAAAATTGTACATATGATGACAGTGGTTGAGATAAAGAGTGGGTTATTAAAAGTGGTGGTGTAGTCATTGTGACAGGAACACAGGTGGGAGTGGTTGGGGTAGTGATAGGGGTTGGGGTAGTGATAGGGGTTGGGGTAGTGATAGGGGTAGTGATAGGGGTTGGGTAGTGATAGGGGTTGGGGTAGTGATAGGGGTTGGGGTAGTGATAGGGGTGGGGTAGTGATAGGGGTTGGGTAGTGATAGGGGTTGGGGTAAGTAATAGGGGTTGGGGTAGTGATAGGGGTTGGGGGTAGTGATAGGGTTGGGGTAGTGATAGTGGTTGGGTAGTGATAGGGTTGGGGTAGTAATAGGGGTTGGGGTAGTGATAGGGGTTGGGGTAGTGATAGGGGTTGGGGTAGTGATAGGGGTTGGGGTAGTGATAGGGGTTGGGTAGTGATAGGGGTTGGGGTAGTGATAGGGGTTGGGGTAGTGATAGGGGTTGGGGTAGTGATAGGGGTTGGGGTAGTGATAGGGGTTGGGGTAGTGATAGGGGTTGGGGTAGTGATAGGGGTTGGGGTAGTGATTGGGGCTGGGGTAGTGATAGGGATTTGGGTAGTGATAGGGGTTGGGGTAGTGATAGGGGTTGGGGTAGTGATAGGGGTTGGGGTAGTGATAGGGGTTGGGTAGTGATAGGGGTTGGGGTAGTGATAGGGGTTGGGGTAGTGATAGGGGTTGGGGTAGTGATAGGGGTTGGGGTAGTGATAGGGGTTGGGGTAGTGATTGGGGTTGGGGTAGTGATAGGGGTTGAAGTAGTGATAGGGGTTGGGGTAGTGATAGGGGTTGGGGTAGTGATAGGGGTTGGGGTAGTGATAGGGGTTGGGATAGTGATAGGGGTTGGGATAGTGATAGGGCTTGGGGTAGTGATAGGGGTTGGAGGGTTGGGGTAGTGATAGGGGTTGGGGTAGTGATAGGGGTTGGGGTAGTGATAGGGGTTGGGGTAGTGATAGGGGTTGGGGTAGTGATAGGGGTTGGAGTAGTGATAGGGGTTGGGTAGTGATAGGGGTTGGGTAGTGATAGGGGTTGGGGATAGTGATAGGGGTTGGGATAGTGATAGGGGCTTGGGATAGTGATAGGGTTGGGTAGTGATAGGGGTTGGGGTAGTGATAGGGGTTGGGGTAGTGATAGGGGTTGGGGTAGTGATAGGGGTTGGGGTAGTGATAGGGGTTGGGGTAGTGATAGGGGCTGGGGTAGTGATAGGGGTTGGGGTAGTGATAGGGGTTGGGGTAGTGATAGGGGTTGGGGTAGTGATAGGGGTTGGGGTAGTGATAGGGGTTGGGGTAGTGATAGGAGTTGGGGGAGTGATAGGGGTTGGGGTAGTGGTAGCGGTTGGGGTAGTGATAGGGGTTGGGGTAGTGATAGGAGTTGGGGTAGTGATAGGGGTTGGGGTAGTGGTAGGGGTTGGGGTAGTGATAGGGGTTTGGGTAGTGATAGGGGTTTGGGTAGTGATAGGGGTTGGGGCAGTGATAGGGGTTGGGGCAGTGATAGGGGTTGGGGCAGTGATAGGGGTTGGGGTGGTGATAGGGGTTTGGGTGGTGATAGGGTTGGGGTAGTGATAGGGGTTGGGGTAGTGATAGGGATAGTGGTAGCGGTTGGGGGAGTGATTGGGCTAGGGCTGGTTGTAGCTGGGGGGTGGGGCAGGGAGTAACGGTAGGATGTGCTTGGGAGAAAAGATGGGTGACTTTACCGAAGGAACAAGAAGAAGGTTAAGTATTGTGGCCAAATGTATTATCAGACGGGTAAATCCGAGCATTGCACATGTATGGAAGCTCAAGGATAATTTTCTATGATAAAGTGGATGGGATGACGAGATAGACTATCTTCCACACAAACGCTTTGTAAAACTGTCATCATAATGTTACCGGTAAGTGAATGTGCAAGTTCAAATCCAACGCTTTCTGTGGATTGTGAGAACATCCATCACGCCAGTAAAATGTGTCCCATGTTCGAAACAAGCAGATTTACCAACACACAGAGGTTTGCCTGGGATGGCCACATGTTCAACTATTTTTAAGTTACTGGCCTAAATAATAATAGAGGCCACCGGCTCCATCGAGCCGGTGGGTTTAGGCAAGACTGAGCGCATTGTACAATTCGCGTCCAATGTGGTTGTCACACGACTTGCATGCAATGCATGATGGGAGTTGTGTCTTCCAGCTGCTTGTGAGCAGCTCACCTCTCTCTGTGTGTTGTTGAATCTTTCCTGCGAGTCGTGGCAGAGACTAGAGGTTCAATGTGCAAATGATTCCGATTTGTTTGCATCCCGTTTCGAGAAATGCAACAATTTGAAACTAGTTTATTCTACCATTTGAACCTCATATGCCAGTAAAAAATATGATAATTGTTTTTTTTACCCTTCTATCTGGCAACAAAACTGACACCTTTTTTTACAAGGAGTCATGTTTGCATAGACCACAATACCTGCAGTCATAATGCAAACAAAAAACATAACTCTGATAATGTGCACTGTCCTTGAAGTTGATTGGTCCACACCCGAGACAGCTTTCCTTAGAGCCTAGTCTCACATGGGTTGGACCAGATGACGCCAAAAGGGTAAAAAAGCAATTATCAGTGTTATTCTACCTTTATTAAAAAATAGATTTTTATATTTTTTTAGAAATACAATATTTTGCGCATTTAATCCTGAATTAGGGGGCGTGATGGCATGCAGTTGTTAGCGCAGTGTGCACTGAAACCGGCTTCCTGAGTTCAATTCCTGTCCATGACTGACATCAGTGGCACATACTATCTTAGCCGGTGCTGGGGCCTGCACGGCTTCTCCAATCTGGTCTGACCAGCGTGGTGATGTGTGTTCAATCAATGCCCACGACCACCGACACATCACGGGGAGGAAATCATCCAGCAGTGAATTGACGATTGACAAAGGGCTGTAATTGATTGTTGTTGTTGTCACGAACATTCCCAAAAAATGAGCAGGCTGCATTATTTTCAGGAGGTGCTGGGTGCAATTTTCGGTTTCGCTTATAAAATATTTATCTGATATACATATTCATCCTTCGTCTCTTACCTGGTCACAGATATATACTGATACACGGATGCCTTCATTCTAGGTGCTTGTACTTGGTGAAGAGATTGTACAGAACCCTCAGTGTGGACTTCAGGTCAAAGTTTACAATATCTGCAATGAATTCAACACAGGTCAGAGGTTACACTATCTGCAATGAGTTCAAGGCAGGTCAAAGGTTATAATATCTGCAATGAGTTCAACGCAGGTCAAAGTTTACAATATCTGCAATGAATTCAACACAGGTCAGAGGTTACACTATCTGCAATGAGTTCAACGCAGGTCCAAGGTTATAATATCTGCAATGAGTTCAATGCAGGTCAAAGGTTATAATATCTGCAATGAGTTCAACGCAGGTCAAAGGTTACACTATCTGCAATGAGTTCAACGCAGGTCAAAGGTTATAATATCTGCACAGGTTTACATGTTATTTTTACTACCCCTACCCCCCCCCCCCCCATTATTTCGAAGTGTTGGGTAGCCGTTCTGGCTCACCCAAAATCCTATATTACTTGAATGTTGCTTAGAGGCGTTTTATTGTGTCTGCATTGTGTGAACCACAGGTCAAGTTTGGCAATTATGTTTTTTCCACACACGGGTGAGATTCGCAGAGGGCACAGAAAATGTGAACACAAAGTTGCCGATAACAGAATTTACAGAATTTACTGATGCGCCCAAGGGAAATGCACACAAATAAGAAACGCTTTCTTTAAATCGGATTCTACTCCAGAGTCGTCCGTGAACGCGATGATAAAAACAAAACTGCCACGTTCAGACTTTGGAGTTGTAGCCTTCGACGTGTGGTGTACCCAATGCAGATATGGGAAAAAGCCTCACGAATATAATGTCACAGGTGACCCTCCGCGCACACTTGAAAGCCGAGTTTGAAATCGCAGTACAAGGTTGCATATTCCATCGGCAACACGGTCGTCCTCACCGATTAACCGCCCGCACCCAGTGTGGTATTTGCACTGAGTGGTCACCTCTGTAGATGCTTACAAATCCGATAATTTCACATAAGAGCATTGCCATCTAAATCTCACGAACATTCGCATATTTTGTAAAGCACAGTCAAGCATTCCCCCTCCCACCTCCCACCGGTCCTGCCTCATCCACCCCGTTTAAAACAGTTTGCTCTTCATTGTTGGTCCAGTCCTCTGTGTATTGCACGGTTTAATTGTCATTATCATTGACGTTCACACGTATCCGACCTTGTTCGCCGGAGGCAGATCTAAAACCTTCCCCAAGGAAGAGGGGGTGGGACAGGAGCAATCCTAATATTTCAAACTTCTTAAATATGGCCCTACAATAAATGTAATATTTTTATCTGGTAAAAAAAAACCCCAACTTTATGAATGCTGAAAGTGGGGGACTGCTGCCAAGCCATGCCCTCGCTCCACCACCCAGTTGCCAGAAGATTGTCTCTGGACAGACGCTCCCTTCCTTCGACTCTGATTTCCGGATATGTAAACGGCCTCCCTGATGAACACAATGTCAGCGAAATCACCGATTATGGCCTCTGGGCCTTCAAATGCCCCCTGAGTGCGCACATACACACGAACATCTCCTAACTTCACCGCACGCCTCGTAGAGACCGAGTCTTTGAGCGGTAGTGAACCAATGATTACACCGATTGGGTGTACTAATGTCTGATATGGCTATTGTTCACAATTGCACCAAATAATAAAGGGGGTATGTGGGGGGGTGGTCGTGCAATCGCTCCCCATCGCCCGCACGCTCAGATCGCCACTGCTGCTGCTCACACATCCGCCTATACCCACGGTGAACACAGCGAGTCGTCTATGCGATGCCGTACCTACAACGCAGGGGAGCGGTAGCGTAGTGGTTAGAGCGCTCATGGCCAACACCGGTGACGATTGTCTGCACCGATTCCTGGGCCTCGCTTAGGTCGACTCGACCTCAAATGAGCACCCGGTGCGGTGCGTGAAAACATCGCCACTGGGGAAATAGAGGCGGTGTTGCCCACCCCACCCCCTCGTGTCCCACAGTGGCGGCCTTCATAGGTGCTGCTCGCTAACAGCACTTGCCCCAACAGCCTGTTAAGGCTACACGGGGGATCTTTGTGTGTTCTCACCTTCTGGCCGAGCCTTGGGCCTGCACAGTCCGCCGTCTTGCATCAGCTCGAAGGAGAAGGAGACATTGTGCACCTGTGCAGAGGTCAGCGGCCAGGCAGTCGTGGGACATCAGCCACGTGGGTTCCTCTACCCCCCCCCCCTCCTCTACCTCTACCCCCCCCCCTCCTCTACCCCCCCTCCTCTACCACACCTCCTCTACCTCTACCCCTCCTCCTCTACCCCCCCTCCTCTACCCCCCCTCCTCTACCCCCCCTCCTCTACCCCCCCTCCTCTACCCCCCCCCCCCATCCTCTGTCCCAGTATCATCGTCCTCTTGTCGAGGAAGCTGTTGTCAAGGGAAATCGTAGAGCACGATTTAAATCAAGACTTGCACTGGAACAGGAACTGAAACTCGATAAGGCTTCCCGGTTTGCATTAATCATTACATATTTCGATGCACTTCCTGCCGCTTGTTGAAGGGTCACTCTCAAAGTGAGTGTTAGGTTACGTTGGGGCATTGCCGCAAAGCAGAATTGATCGGTAAAGACCATTGGCTTTCGTTATTAGGTTACTTAATTAATGTAGGCAGTGGGTTGTGGGATAAGCAGGAATTGGAAGTTGTTGGGTGTTACCTGCTGGGATTTTGGACTTTTTGTGATTTTAGTTTTCTTTATAATTTGCAAACCGTTCATCTTTGATGTACAATTAATTTGTTTATCGTGAATCCTATTGACTGTGATAACCTACGTAACACGTTGATCTCAGCGTTTAGCCACAGGCATAGAAATGCAACCAATGAATCGCTCATCCGAATGTTCTCATCATGGACAAGGTGCTCTTAGGGGTTCCCCGAGGCTAAAGATCCGCGCTCTGGGATGTCTCGTTACATTATGGGCACTTTTGTGTAACCGGGTGGGAACTTCAAGGGATGGTAATAGTCTCATTTGCAAGAGCGACCCAGGACACTTGCCTACCAGAAGGGGGCGATGCGATGAGTACTCTGTATAATCCCAATTCAGCAATTTGCGTGCAATTTTGGGAGTTGGCAAATTTGGACTCTTGACGCCGGCACACAAGGGCCTACTCTTGCGGATGACATCAAGGGCATCTTTAATGTCCACTGTGCAGTAGAGGGGGTGCGTAGTATTTCAGTTATTAAACACCGCGGTAATAATGAGGGCGGCCGCTGAATTTGCACCGTGAACATCTTCAACAAGTGGCAAATGTTGTACCATTTGGCCACGTAACGGTCGCAGTATATATGCAAGTACTTCATTTTATCATCATCAATGCCGTAAATGAACGCCACGATGATACTGGATGGGCCCTAAAGGTGTCGCGTTCTCACCTTCTGCTCGAAGCCGTCTGGGGTGAGGAAGAAGTTGTAGAGGGGAACAAAGTAGCCTTCAACCAGACCCATGAGCAGCACCAGGTACACGCCGTCCGCAAACTGCGTGGGCAACGACAACGGCAACGGAGTTTAAGAGGATGGCCCCCACACTGACCGGAGTCTGGGTGCACCTTTGGCTTTCGTGCTGCAGGGATACAAGGGGGCAAACTGAATAGTGTGTGGTGTCGTCGAACACAATGAATGAATGACCCCCGTGAAACCGCGTTATTTTCTATGTGGCCACGCTGTAGTGAGATCAGAGGTCGCAATCGGGTACCCGATACCCGTACCCTACCCGATACCCGGCTACCCGTATCCGTACCCGGCCGGGTACGGGTACGGCTATCCGTTTGCGACCCTGGTGCGGCCGGGTACGGGTACGGGTAGGCCGTGAGTCACTGGTGAGTCACCGTTTGTCACTCATTTCCCAACGTCTTGTCTCTTCTCACAATTCAAGTTCCTAGAATCAACCCACCCACGCCTGCAACATGGCCTCATCCCAGAGGTCGCAATCGGGTACCCGATACCCGTACTCTACCCAATACCCAGCCGGGTACGGGTAGCCAGGTATCGGGTAGGGTACGGGTACGGGTACCCGATTGCTACCCTGGTGCGGCCGGGTACGGGTACGGGTAAGGAATCAAAACCCGTTTGCGACCTCTGAGTGAGATGCACTGGGTTCCTTAGACGTTGCAATGCTTGAATCCCTAAACGTGTAAACGCTTCACACGTAACTGTAGTGTCACCGGTACATTTACTCTCCACGCAAGTGATTCCTGCATTGTGGAGACAGTTGGAAAGTTATCAAGGTCTACATCCTGTGTGGTGTGGGTTTCCCTCCAGATTTGCTTGGAATTTCTCTAATGGAATCCTCCTTGTTGTTGTAATAACAAATTACATGCTTTTTTATATTTTGCTGGAAAGCTCTGCGAAGGTCGTTGTCAGCCTATAACGTCTCACCTGTGGGCAAAAGCCTCCCCCACATTCTCCCATTACTTCCTTTCCTCAGTTGTTCTTGTTCAGTTTTATCAGTATCCACTCCAAAATTAATTATGTCAGTTTGTTCTCTTTACCTAAAGTAATATTTCTTACCTGAGATAATATTTAGTTAAAATATATAATGCACTAAACTTGTGGCTGTAAATGTACTTTTATAATGGCCGCTCCTTTTATCCCAGGCCACGGACTTCTTGCAATCGCACGCCATATCAAAATATCTAGGGGTGGTCAAACCGCAGCTTGTGAGCCGTAAGAGGGTCTTGGGCAGTCAAAGTGCGGTTTTAGGTAATGCAATACATTTTATAACACAACTTTGTGGGAAATAAGAAAAACATCTGCAGAAGCAGCAGCGGCCCAGGCCACTCGTCTGTGTCACCGGAGCCAGACATGGGTACTCCCAGGGATTTATCCCGCAGATTTTTACATTCAATGTATGCATGTATGTTGAACTTCTTTCGCACGATACCTAGCGACTTTGATAATCAGTTGGCCACCACCTTGAGTGAACTGGCCACGTGACCACCCCATGTGATCACCCCACGTGATAGATGTGTGCCTTGCGACACTCGGTTGTATCCATATTTTGGTGTACCTGCTTGTAGGGTCAGGAGCTTTGGCCACCCCTGTAATAATCATTGTAATAGCACCTATGACAGTCTATGTAAATAGCACCTACAACACTTGTAGTAGTCATTGTAATAGCATCTGTAACACCTGTAATAGTGATTGTAATAGCACCTTACCTGGGTCTCTAGTTCCGTGACCTCCAGGTTCAGCTTGCTCAGATGTTTGTTCACAAATGTGATGAGAGACTGAAAGAAAACTTGATGTTAATTATGGTCACAGATAACACTTATTCTAATTCAGCTCAGATGTTTGTTCACAAAGGTGATGAGAGACTGAAAGAAAACTTGATGTTAATTATGGTCACAGATGTCACGTATTCTAATTCAGAAAAACAATACATTTCTGAACGATTTCAATAATGTAAAATTAATGTTCTGCTATTTCTCTTAATATCCTCAATTAAAATCACGAAAGATTATCTGCAAGACACTGAAATATGAACTCTTAAGTTCTAAAACTCTTAAAATGGTTAATGTCGGAGTTCTCTCCCATCGTCTCTTCTGCTAAGGTCCTACAACCTTGCCCAACTCACCAAACGTGTGAAAAAATAAGAGTAGGTTTTACCCTTTCTGGCACTAAAATACCAGAGTCACACTAGAGAACGCCAAAAGGTGGACAGCACAAGGACAATGCCACTATCAGAGCATCGATAGCTCGGGGTGAGTAGCTACAAAATGGGACCTTTTTGCCAGTATCAAAGTATAAAACATAGATTTTACCCTTTCTGACACCATGTTCATCATCACACCGTGTTAAACCGACCGATAATATTTCAAGCAATTGACATTTTAGCCGTACCTCTGGGAGGCTGATTTAAAAAATTACCTTTTTTACGACGTTGAGTTTGTCCGGAGCGTGGTCGAACAAGGTATCGAAAGCGTCGCGCTCTGCATGGAAGACAAATTAATCGACGTTACCGCCAAAGGGATTAAGCGCTGCGAGATTGCGGTGTGGCGGCCGTGCGTTGCCGGGCAAATGGTTCTCTGTGCGCCACTTACCAAAGTGACCGGCCATCGATCTGCAAGCACAAGTTGTAAATGTTACCAAAATGAATTCGATTACATTTAGAGGTTCAACAAGCTGCGAGTGTGTAATACTGGGCCCTTGGTTAATGCATTGATTTTTGTTAAATTAAATATTTATGCTGGATTGTGTCTCATTAAAATACAAGCTGACGCGCTAGTCCACTAAGCAACCCTCAATGTTGTTCTGTGATTCCTAGTCTATGTTCTTGTATGTGTACACATAAATATGTTGAATACTTTAACAAATTAATATTTTCTGGGTGCGAGCAGGCTGGAGTAGGCAGCACGTGGCTGGTAGCCACAGCCACAGTGATTGGTATACAAGATGTGGTGTGCAGGGAGTGGGAATATTTTCTGCATCACTGACCCAGACAGCCCTGGCTGGAATTGGCTGGAATTGAGGCCCAGGTATACATTTACTCTGCATACAACTTGCCCAAAAACGATTGCTCTTGGTCAGCTGTGTCATATACATTTCATAACGGTTGGCTCGTGGGGTTTGTAGTTTTCATGAAAACTCTAATCAGTGTTCTACGGATTTACGGATGGGTGGACGTGAAAATATCGATGCTAGCTATCAGTATCCTTACGGCTCAATGAAAAATATCCCCCCAAAAATACACAAAAATAAAGCAAAAACATACTTTGTAGTGTTGTCTAATATGGGTTTTGTTTACTGCAATTATTTCAAAATGTTGACCATGAATGGCAATTAGCACTCTGCCTCACATTAAATAGCTAGAGACATTTTACCTTTTCAACTTTTTCCTGCGGCCACATTGCCCTAAATGTGCCCCATCTCGACAGCTAAGCTGGGCCGAGAGTCTGCGTGACCCCCACCTTCTCGCTGCATCTCAAGCCTCCCGCAGGCTTTCACCACCGAATATATAACCACAGTCAATATCTCCTGTCTGTACAAACAGCACCCGTTCATCCGCCGCCGCTGAATGTCAGCCCCCGTGCTACGCGACCTGTGACCCCCCCGCTTTGCGCCCTGCGTCCCGGTTCACGTCGCTTAATCTCGTCGCGGTCTCGGAGGCTAAGCACCAGAGGTCGCAATCGGGTACCCCATACCCGTACCCTACCCGATACCCGTACCCGGCCGGGTACAGGTACAGGTACCCGTTTGCGACCCTGGTGCGGCCGTGTACGGGTAGGCCGTGAGTCACTGGTGAGTAACCATTTGTTACTCATTTCCCAACGTCTTGTCTCTTCTCACAATTCAAGTTCCTAGAATCAACCCACCTGCGCCTGCAACATGGCTTCATCCCAAAGGTCGCAATCGGCTACCCGTACCCTACCCGATACCCGGCCGGGTACGGGTAGCCGGGTATCGGGTAGGGTACGGGTACCCGATTGCGACCCTGGTGCGGCCGGGTACGGGTAAGGAATCAAAACCCGTTTGCGACCTCTGCTAAGCACGCTCGAGTCTGACGAGTATTTTGGATGAGAGGCTGCTTGGGATACCAGGCTTGGTCTGCGAGGTGGCTACCTGATGGCAGTGCACCAACAGATTCTGCAATCTGTGCCACGTGTTGAGTGTCACTCCCTCGTAATGTGTACATTTTCTCCAGCTTCTACGGTGTCCAGCCTTATTACAAACGCTCATTAATTGAATTGGTCACACGTCCCAAGACAGGATCCTCCTGACAAAGAGTCTCAGCGTCTCCTAGATAAATCATCATAGTCGTGATGTTATGGTGGAGGTGTGTGCTCTTACTCCATGGTGGTCGTTATAACCTCCTGTGATTTCTGCACGAGTACTTTCCCTCCACGTTTCTGTAACAAGTAAGCATAGAGTGTATTCAAAATAATAGTAGTAGTAGGTTAAACACATACATTTTCATAATTGAGAAATATATATATTTTTTTATATTATTATTCTAAAATTTTGGTTGGTATAAGGAGCATTCCAATTGTATTGTTTGTAAGTTCCTTGGGTAAATTATGTTGAAAACGCTCATTTAACTGAACATTTCGATTTAAAGATTTCGTGACTGCAGAGATTCATCTTCTTGGTTCTTTCGGTAAAGTCACGTAGAAGGGAAGTAATAAAATAAAATAAAAATAAAACTACATTATTATATTATTTTATTATGTTTTATTTTTATTATTTTATTACTTCCCTTCTACGTGACTTTACCGAAAGAACCAAGAAGATTAACTGAACATGTTATTGAACAGTTCATACAGAACACTCCCAACCAGAGGTGGTAGCCTCCATAACCGAATGCAAGTGCTTGGCTTCAGAATGCTTGCGGAATTGATTGCAATTGGCTCTCGCGTTGACCATGAAAAGTCGTTATAAAAGTGCATCCCTGCAATTGCTTGCTCGCACTACTGCTGGCGGAAGAGCTCCTACTAGTGGAAGTGCAAGAGACTTGCCCGCCCCATTTAGAGGGCACTTGGCCTCTCGATTCCACGCTGGCCAGACTTCGAAAATTTGGAAGTACAGTACCCACATTTTACCCCACTACACGCTGGCCTGCCGATCGACTATAACGTTGGCGTTCCCCATTTTATACTGCTTTGTCAACAAAAGTGTGGGGTTTGGGGGGGTTTAAGAAACTTGCCCCAATTGTGTCTTTCAACTGCCACTCTGCCAGATTGAACCGGCGATCTCTAGATTGTTGCTAACCATTATAAACTATTTATTTTATTTTACCAGGTAAGGTCGACTGAGCTGTATAGCTTTTTTTTCAGAAGCCACGTGCCCACAAATGATAGCTGAACGAAGTGGCTTATCACGTGGAAATTTATAGCAGCCAAATACTCTAAACGCATCTTTATAAATGTGGGGGGGGGGGGGGTATGAAACCAGACGACCCGGAGAAAAACTCATGCGACCACAGGGGAGTAACATGCAGACCTCCTGCATACCAGGCGAGGGAGTTAACATCTCGCCACCGCGACACCCGCAGCAGCAGCATCAAAGTTCCGTAGCGTGTACGGTACCCAAATCTTTTTTGGGGGGGGGGGGGGGGGTGTGAGATGTGAAGCCTCCCACACGTACACATCCATGAGATACCTGTGGGTGACACTCACCTGGACGACGACGAGCTGCACCGTCACGTGGTCTGGCAGGTGAATGGGGGCGCGGAAGTGAATTGCGAGCGCGACCAGCAGGTGCAGGATAGCGACCACGTGCTTCGAGTGAATCACTGCGGGACAAATCAGCCACGGGCACCCCATGCAGCGTTTCGCGTGCGAATGAACACGATGTGAATATGAGCGAATTTGTATTTACTTAATTAGTTGGTCAATGTTATTGCACTCAATATATTGGGCCTAGCGAAGGGGGGGGGGGGCACAGCTTCCGATCTCTGAGATACAAGAAAAGTGAGACCATATGACAAGAAGGATATCTCTCAATATCGGATGAGGGGAGAACCATACATAATTGAATTGTGTTGATTGGTGTATTATCAGACAGCTGACAAAAACTGAACTTTTAACTTCCTTGAAAGACTTAGATATTTCCTAGGACACCTGCCTCACATAGAGGACTCATCATCGGAAAAGTAGGACAGGTGCCAATCATATGTGCACCCGGCAAGCCGAGTTTTATTCGCAGCCACGGCTAACATCAGTGGCGAGTGACATCTGAACCGATCCTGGATCCTCTTCCACCCCCTCCTCCAGTCCGTACCTTCACCAACCCGCACTGACCAGCCTGGTGAAGTATGCTCAAACGATCCTCCGTAACTGACACTACATCCAGCATCAGATCGATGTATAGGACTGTGCATCAATATTAGTAGAAAACAAATATTAGGTCCGATTCATATATCGATGAGTTAGTTCCTTTTTGTAATTTTTTTTCGTGAAAACGTAGCCACGTCTCAATTACTAAAGAAGAATTGGGCAAGTTGCCAAGGAGATTTGCAGTAAAACAGGTAAAGGTGCTGCCCTGAAATCGCTCGCTCGTGCCACTGCTGGCGAGAGGGACACTGCAATGAGCTTTAGAGAGCTATAGAATGTATTTGGCCTACTCTCCTCCACACTGGCGAGACATCTTAGAAGAGGTGGAAATACCTACACTTTACCCACAGCAAGCGGGCTGCCGATACCGCAAACCACATTGTAGCCATTCATACAGCTGGGTGAACAGAGGTGGGCAGATTTAATAAAAACTCCCCCAATTGTTCCAGCTGCCACACCAGGAGATCGAACCTTTAAATCCTGTGGACTGCAAGTCCAGCGTGCTAATCGTCACACCGCAGCAGTCGTGTTGACGTAACGCAATTAAATTTCGATTTAAAGCTTTCGTGACTGCAGGGATTCATCTTCTTGGTTCTTTCGGTAAAGTCACGTAGAATGGAAATAATAAAATAAAAAAAATAAAACATAATAAAATAATTTTCACGACGTTTCGGCCACAACGCAAGCAGCCGTCCTCAGGTGGAGAGCAGACTCTGTCTACTCGACAGACCTGCTCTCCACCTGAGGACGGCTGCTTGCGTCGTGAGAATTATTTTATTATGTTTTATCTTTATTATTTTATTATTTCCATTCTTCGTGACTTTACCAAAAGAACCAAGAAGGTAACGCAATTATTTCGGTCATTTCATAAAAATGCGAATCTGCCGTTTGTTCTCTTAACAAAACTCAAATGACTCCGGGTGCGTGGCGGGTGAGGAGGCGGGAAGTTGCCCGGGGAAAGTAAAACACGACAACGCTCGTTGCCGTTACGTACGCTCGACAGACCACCTGACGCCGCCCCCCCACTGCTGGGGCTTGAGTGTCTGGTTGACGGCCTGCAGCACCATGTGCAGCTTCTGCTTCTGCGTGATCTCGCACTGCGTCACCTCGGCCACGTTCAGCTTCCTGTGCTCCAGGGCCTCTGCGGCGATGAGCGGAGACGCACCGTTAGGACGAGGGGTAGGGAGCTACGGCTCGCGAGGACCGGTCTTTACAAGCGCTGCCTTAGGGGAATAAACTATAACACTTAAAAAAAAATGTACAAATTATTTTACCAGGTAAGACTCACTCAGCTATATAACTCTTTTTTCAAACACGACCTGGCTATCACAAATGATAGCTCAACGAAGCGGCTGATTGTGCGGAAATGTATAGCAGCTAAATACTCTAAACGAGTGTTTGCAAATGTGGAGGGAAAACGCGGAGGACCCGGAGAAAAATGTACACGAACACGGGGAGAGAGACAAGAAAACTCCAAATATACAGGCATCAGAGTCGGGGTCGAACCCACGACCTCTTGCACACTAGGCGAGGTGGTTAACATTTCGCTTTGATCTGTTCTTTTTTACATTTGGCATGGCTGCGTATAAACAGGGGGCGCGCGGTGGTGGGTCGTGTGGGGCGTGAGAGTAATGCACGCACGCGTAAACAAGCAGCAGCGAACACGGACGCGACTCGCACATGTTTGCGATAACGAATCGCTCAACTGGCTCTGCCGTTCGGCACCCGCTGGGAGCGTCGCTGCGTCGGTGCAGGGCACGGTGTGGAGCCGACGCATCCTCTCAATTACCGAGCAGCTTTTGCAGGACTTGCCCATCGTAGAGGTCGTCCTCCAGGTCTTTGACGATGATGCGGTCCTCGACCAAGACGTCGTTGATCCAGTCCTTGAGAACCTGCGCTGGGACCGGCGTTAGTTTCGTGGGGCCTACGGGGAAGGCCGTGGTCATCTGGGTTCCAAAGGTGGTGAAATGTTAACCACCTTGTCTGGTGTAGCAGGAGGTCGTGGGTTCGATCCCGACCCTGATCATTGTCGTTTATTTGGAGTTTGCGTGTTCTCTCTCTGCGAGGTCACGTGGATTTTTTTCCTGGTCTGCCAGGTATTTCTCTCCACATTTAGAATCATGTATTTAGAGTATTTGGCTGTTATCAATTTCCACATGATAAGCCACTTCAATCTTGACTTAAAGCTTTCGTGACTGCAGGAATTAATATTCTTTGGGTCTTTCAGTGATCGAAACGTTGTAGTTTTTAGTTATTTTCTTTGAACCCATCTTCATGACTTTACCGAAAGACCCAAAGAATAAAAGCCACTTCGTTGAGATATTGTGGTCAGGTTTCTTCTGAAAAAGAGCTCCATTACCTTGTTTTGTTTTGGTCGTCGTACAGGAATTATAATTGTAATTTACATTATAATTAATAATTATTATAATTTACATTATAATTTACATTATAATTATTATAATTTACATTATAATTATTACTGTAAGGCGCATTTCATCCTTAGATTCCAATGCGTGCTGTGTATGGAAAACAGGAAATAAACAGAACCATCATAAACGAGCAAAACTATGCGGGAAGAGGCCAGTTTAAAGAGGTTAGTTTTCCAGACTGACTTAAATATATCAAACAACTCAACTTGGTAGTCTTTGTTTAACTCAAAACGGTGGCTTTCGCAGCCAATGCTACGATTAACAACATTTTTTTTTTAGTTTGGCCACATATACTAAGCTGGCCACATTATCGTGATAATTGTCGCTCAGTTTACCGTGTGAGAATAAACAATAATATACAGTTGGCGAGTTGTTAAACACGTGCATGAGCGACACATTCATCTTGCTTAGCTCTGTCAGGTGGTGGAGGGTTTTACGACAGAAACTTGGGTCCAGGTAATTCAGTGGCCTATCCCAAAAATCTGTTTTAAATCAGTGTTAGTTTAGTCGACAGTTACCCATGGAATTTTAGACAAACTTTATTCTTCATAAGAAAGGTTTTATTCTGTGGATTTAATTTCGTCTCAAAGCAGAACACCTTTACTTATATAACAATGTCTTCTTTGTAGCTATTTAACACAAAAGATAATGAGAACCTGCGAATTGAGGATAGCAAAATGTAAACCATACGTGTATATGATCTTCATAAATGAGCCAAAGTTACCAGATTAACAGCACGGAGATATCAATAGCTCATATGAAGCATCCTTCACCGACCCGCGTTGACCAGCGTGGTGAAGTATGGTCAACAAACCGGCACGGTGTGTGGGGGGAGGCCCTCAGCCAGCGATGGATTGACGGGCTGTTCGTATGAATATCCTGCACAGCGGCAAGAGTGTTTTTTCCCTCTTCTGTATTATATCTATTCCCACTTGGTATTGTTCCAGTAAGCTTCAGACCGCACACACATGCTCAGGCGCACTCTAAGAGATTACTAAGTGGATTAATATTCCACATAAAGGTCCACTTGAAAGTACAGATTAAGCACTATTACATAAGGAACCTGCGAAACATCAGCGTCTGCGAATGCCGTAACGTACAAGCACCCCCACAACAGTGATGTGACTGAAGTGCGCGCAGGTTAAAGCATTGATTTTGGCTCGTGTCACCTTTCAATCCTAATTGATTCCCTTTCGTTTTCACAATGTGTTCCTTCTCCAACTTTTTAAACTGTCACTGGCCCACATTGGAATTCTTATGACTTTGGACACTTGCGGATGAGATATGGGTGTGTCATGCATCGTGCTCACCTTGATCAGTTCCTGCAGCTTTGGATCGTCTTTGTGCTTTGGATTGATGATGCTACGCTCCTCATTCTCTTCTGAAAAAAAAACAATGAAAAGTATAGACCATCATTACCATCATCATTGCCATCAGTATTACCATTATCATCATCATGATCATCGTCATTCTGAATCCTGAGTTGGAGCATGATGATCTATCTCCTTACTGGTAACAATTAAATTGCTTCCAGTGGTTTGATGAATAGACACTATTCAGGGTCATTATTCGTTTCAATAATCGATTATTTCATGCAACATTAGAGTGAATGGGTGTGCTACACTGGTCGAATGGTTATCACACTCGACTTGGAAGGCAGAGGTTGTCGGTTCTATCTCCCTGCATGGTAGTTGAAACAATGGTGCAATATTTTTAAACCACCACACTGCAGGTCACAGCAACTCACTCACCCACTCACCACACTGCAGGTCACAACAACACACTCACCCACTCACCACACTGCAGGTCACAACAACACACCCACCCACTCACCACACTGCAGGTCACAACAACACTCACCCACTCACCACACTGCAGGTCACAACAACTCACTCACCCACCCACTCACCACACTGCAGGTCACAACAACACACCCACCCACTCACCACACTGCAGGTCACAACAACACACCCACCCACTCACCACACTGCAGGTCACAACAACACACTCACCCACTCACCACACTGCATGTCACAACAACTCACTCACCCACTCACCACACTGCAGGTCACAACACACTCACCCACTCACTACACTGCATGTCACAACAACTCACTCACCCACTCACCACACTGCAGGTCACAACAACACTCACCCACTCACCACACTGCAGGTCACAACAACACACTCACCCACTCACCACACTGCAGGTCACAACAACACACACACTCACCCACTCACCACACTGCAAGTCACAACAACACACACACTCATCCACTCACCACACTGCAGGACACATCAATACACTCACTCACTCACCACACTGCAAGTCACAACAACACACACACTCACCCACTCACCACACTGCAGGTCACAACGAGTCACTCACCCACTCACCACACTGCAGATCACAACAACACACTCACCCACTCACCACACTGCAGGTCACAGCAACTCACTCACCCACTCACCACACTGCAGGTCACAACACACTCACTCACTCACCACACTGCAGGTCACAACAACACACTCACCCACTCACCACACTGCAGGTCACAACGCTTCTCTTTCTGTGCCTTTCCTCTCACGGCTCAAATTTGAAATGCTCTCCTCTCATCGTCTCTTTTCCCGAAACTTTTCTAATTTTTGCTCAATTCAAGAAAAGTGTTACATTAGTATCCATGGCAACATTAAAAGTGCAGTTTGTTGCTGACTGCTTGTCGTTTTTCAGGTATATCGACCTATGCTCGCCAGCGGTGAGTTAAAAAAACGTGCATGATTAAACAATTAACCATTGAAGATATAATAAATAAAACATTCATACTTAAAAAAAGATCAACAAGACCTGTAATCCAACATGCATACACTTGTAGTCAAGTGCGATTTACTTTTTGTACGCATCGCATTCCATCCTTAGCCTCGAGGGTGGAAAGACACTGCATGAAATAGACACGTGTAGCTAATTAAATTAGCGAAGAACATTGCCAATTTTGTGCTTTGTCAAGATATCGAATTGCAATAAAAAATATCAAGTAAGCTAATAAAGGAACCCAGTAAAGGGGGGTGTGTGGGGAGGGGACAAACGGGATTACTAATGATTGACACATCTGTGCAATGAAAGAGCTCTCACCAAATGGGATGACACTGTACTCAGTCAACCTGACTGACAGGATTTAGCTTTTAAAACACAGAATGCGTCACACACAGAGACGTACTAACAAAAGGTTCTCCCACCTTCTAAACCTGTGTCTCGATTCTCTGCTGTCACCTCCTAATGACCCTGATTACCACAAACCAGCGCACAGGAATTACAACCTGCACCACCGGGGCAATATCCGCATGACTAATCAATTTTAAAGGTCAAAGGTTGCCTGCCTATTTCTCCCTTGGCAAGCAGCTGCCTCGTTTTAATAAACAGATTTTTTTTTAAATCTTCCAGTGAAATCCAATTTGTATCGTCCTTACGCCCTCTTCAAATTACAATTCACGAATGAACGTTAAACGGTGTAATTCAATCTGAAAGCTTTCTCAACATTTGAGGTGCGATGTGTTTATATATCATGCTTCAGTGTCGAGAGGTCGATTGTTTTGCTCCATTGCCACTCAGTTCCATGATTGCACACGTGCATTGCAGACAATTGAAGGAACTGGGTCATCATTTAGGTAATCATCAAGTGGTGTTTACTCGGCCACAGTCTGCCAACAAATTAGGACTGGAACTCGGATGGCGACATAAGGGGGACCCTGCTGATAATTTTTCATGGTGCTGGATGTACTCAGACAAACAGCATTCTGGGATAGTAATGGAGTGGTCATTTTCAATTGCGTATTCTTTGGTTCTTTCGGTAAAGTCACGTAGATAGAAAAAATGTATAAAAAATAAAGTGAATACAAATAATAAAAAGAAAATATTAATTTTAATAATATTTTGGCAGTCTATATATATTCTCCAGGTGGTCTATATATAGACTGCCAGTACACTCACTCCGATTAAGAACAGTCTACATTAGAGTTGTCTCTTTTTGTTTGCATTTTGGCTGCAAGTGTTGTGGTTATTGCAAACATGACCCCTTGCATAAAGATGTCAGTTTTGGTGCCAGATAAAAGGGTAAAACCCTATTACTCTATCTTGTTACTGGCAAAAAGGTCTCGTAATGTTTTTTTGTTGTTTATTGTTTGTATTTTATTTGCATTATTTTAATTCACTTTATTTTTTTATTACTTTTCTATCTACGTGACTTTACCGAAAGAACCAAAGAATGTGAATTCCTGCAGTCACGAAAGTTTTAAATCAAAATTTCATTTGTGTGTCAAGCCACATTCTTCGTCTATAAGTAAAAGTGTATATTCTAAAATTATTGATAATTATTTCATATAAATAACCCAAATGGCAATAAATACCCATAGTCATTTATATGCATTCATTAATCCCCCCCTCACTTCGTGCAAGAAGGGCACACAAGTGACGTAATTACATCTCTCCCTCTATTCAAGGAATGGAACAGGAGGATTTCTCCACAAATCTGGCTGTCGCCTGATGAAGCTAGTTGTAATTACTGGTGAAACGTCGTACTCAGAATGCAAATATTGTGGCTTTGCCCTCCAACACACTTGGTTGTGCTGTACTAGTAAAGAATTGGCATATTTTTTTTCTCTCCGCCTGATGAAGGCCGCTTCTGTTGTGGGTTTTTTTTGCTTTTATTATTTTCAATTGATTATTTTCATTGAAAATTTTTATTTTATTATTTTTATTTTTTAGTTTCTATATACGTGACTTTACCGAAAGAACCACGAATATGGCATGTTCTGTTTACGTGACAAACCTTACTAATTTTCTGTGTTGGGTGGCGGCGGATTTAACGACACCTTTATATACAGAATGCTTCAAAACAATGTTAACACTTAAATGTGACTATCGTTTTTAATGGCAAAATAACGGATAACACACTGTAACATGATAACAAATGTAATGTTAATAGCTTCAAAAAGTCAAAGAGTCTCCACTTGTTCGCCATCATTGTCAACACGCGCCTGGAATCTTCTCCAGGTGGTCTCTAGAGGCACATTTCTTGCAGCATTGTTGCAAATTCTCAGAAGTGTTAAAATATTTTATTTAAGCACCCTGTATTTACGCGATCTAACCCCAAAAAACTGCATTATTAATTACTTCATAGCTCGTCGGATTCCTCATGTCTACGTTATTCTGATTCCGGAATGCTCCGTGCTCGTTGGAGCCGACGTAAATACTCACGGACAGCGCTATCCGCCAGATGTAAGCGGCCTTCCGCCAACAAGTGAATTGCGCACATGGTCCCTCAGCAGTTCTCCTTGGGTGTCTCCAATAAAGAAAAGTTAATTGAAATGTTCCAATACACAAAGTGAATTGAATTGTTCCAAGAAACAAAGTGAATTGCATTTTTCTCAAATAAACAAAAGTAAATTAAGTTTTGCGGAAGGTAAAGGTTAAAGCCCTGCAACTGCTTTCTCAGGCTACTGCAGGAGGAAGGGCCTCCACTAGACGGAGGTCCAGGAGATCTCCTCTCCAGAGTACCTTGGCCTACTCTTCCATGCTGGTCAGATGTCCTGGAAGGGGTGGGAGTACCCAGACTTTCCCCCACCATGTGACCTACCGATGTAATAACCGTGGTGCATGGTTATTACATCGGGGCGAGGGGGGGGGGCGCTGTTTATGAAACTTGCTCAATGTTTCAACTGCCACGCCAGGAGATCGAAATGGCACCCAATGCATTGCGAATAAATTTTGCCAACCCTGAAACTGTGGCAGCATTCCTCAATTTGCTGAAGACGTGCAATGGAATTGCGTTTTCTTTTTTAAATGTGATATGAGTCTCGAGGTGACTTGTTGCTGGAATATTAAACATAAAAAAATATGTTTTAAATATACAACAGCAAATGGCAATTAAATTTGGAAATAATTTACGTAAGCAGGTATTTCAAATGATGATGCAAGCCCAAAAAAGGAATATATCTTACCTTGTAGTAATGTACTGTAGATAGACTATGTTGATGAGGCTGTCTGACAAGTTTTAAGCTTCGTCAATGGCAACATATTAAAACCAGGGTCTGTGAGCTTTGTAAAGATGTTCACGGCATCAATGCGTCGATGTATTGAAGTCTATTGGAATGGCATCAGTGACATCACTAGTGCCATAATGACACGCCTGACCCAAACTTTTAGTATTCTCTCACTAATGAAATGTAAAAGTCATGCCGAACAACCAAGGACACACACTCCAATTCCGTGTTTATAATTTGTGAGCTGTAGACTTTTTGAGTTGCGTATTACTTTAAGTGACTCTATAAAAAATCATTATTAATGCAAATAGACAAACCGTGTTCTTTTTTTTTTTACTGACAGCCATTTGTCAATTATGCTGCTGGAAGAAGGCCTCCCAATGCCATATCAGTCACGTGGGGATGCCGGTCAGTGCCAGGTTGGTGAAGGATGGGAAGAACAAAGACGAGTTCGGATATTACTCGCCACTGAAGCGAACCATGGTTAGGAACATGAACTCGGGCCATCGGGTTCACTGCGTAGTGTACGAACCAATGCGACACCAACGAAGTGCTCCCTCCCATTGATTATTATTTAACAATTGGGGGTATTAAAAACAAAATCTCTCTGATGGCTTTTTTTAGATTTTACTGCTGAATTTTTAGTTCCTGAAGAAGCTCCCCAGTGGGCTGAGAGCGAATCTTCGGACACACGTGAGACGACCCGACAAAAAAAAAACATACACTTCGGAGAGGCACAGAGCACGGCAGCGGAGCAATCTCTGACGCCAGTGACCTCGGAAATGAAGAGAAGCCTCGTCCCACTGGTGGATGACAACATTACCGAGTCGGGCGCCCTCTTGGTTGATTTCCTCGCTTGTTGGGGAGAGCGCTGAGCCAGTTGATTTCATCGCCTCTTCCTGGAGCTCTGCGACTGGAGAGGAGCAGAGGGGGGTGGAGGGGAGCCGAGGGTCACGTCCGTCCATGAGATGGGCAGCGGTGGCAGAGGGAAGCCCCCGAGCGAGCCAGAAGTCAAAAGCGAGGGCAACCCCCCCCCCCCGTTTCATGAAGATAACAAAAATAAAAAGTGGAAAGTACCACGCAACAAAAATCTGCTCAAAGTCGTAGCCTATTTATACACCTATATATATGTGTGTGTGACAAAAAAAAACATTTATAGAACAAAAAAAAATACAATTGTAACGAGAAAAAATCAACGCGACCGTTTCACACAACGGGAATACAATTTAAGTTGCGTAGCTGCTCCAGCGTACAAAGTGTGCAGTTTCTGCTTAGCCCCCCCACCCCCCGTAATGGGTTAGCACCGTCGTCCCAGCGCAGTGATGGTGAGCAGCATTTTCCGGGCTAATTTGTGGAGGCCCGTGTGGCAAGCTGTGCCACTGGGGTGGTTTCCGCTGTCGCTGTGAATAATTCCACGAGCGCGGGACGTGGCGTGTCGTTGACCGGGTTCACGGAAAGGCAAACGAAACGAAAAATGAGTCTGCGTTTTTACAATTCAGCATTTTCAAACTAACAATAATGCTACCGAGCCTTACAGTTCACAACATTATGACGTTAAAGTCATTAGTTGATCAAGGTTCTGTTTGGCAAAATTCGTGTACTCTCCTTGCTAATTATTTTACGCTAATTAATACATATTCTTGGTTCTTTCGGTAAAGTCACGTAGAAGGGAAATAATAAAATAATATTAATAGAATGAAAATGTTCTTGCTGTGGATTTCACACCTGATGACGATTGCTTGTGTTGCAGTCGAAACGTCGTGAGAATTTTTATTGTTTCATATTTATATTATTTTATCATTTCCCTTCGACGTGACTTTACCGAAAGAACCAAGAATATGAATCCCTGCAGTCACGAAAGCTTTAAATCAAGATTTAATTAATACAGTTTCATTCAAGTACTGACAATCGGGATTTATCTTATTCCTCAGCATCATAATTTCCACAGATCCATATATGCTTTGTTACATTTTGAATGATACAGTGAGTTCACGGAAAAGGTACCAGCGACTGAAAGCTACATTTTTTTTCACAATTCAGCATTTCCTGGAACATAATCACATTATTTCCTTCAACAATTGAAAATGTAAGACTCGGCAGTGCGATTGTGGCCATGAAACCCAAACTATTGGGCCGTATCATGAACCACTGTACTCAACGGAGGAGGAAGAGCGAAACGACACGAACTCTCTACTGAAGCCCTCTTGTGGCTAGCAAACCTCGAACATTGACATTTAGCTCCCAAACATTCCCACTCACAAGAGTAGAATAGCTACAACTGAGTGCACCACAGCCTGACAATTCACAATGATACAGCACGAGTGAGAACATTTAACTGTAGAATTTTAATACAATAAGTCCGTAAAATTATTTCAACCAATTTTGCCTGAAATTTACATTTCATTGACATACTGACGGATACATTTAAAAATATATATATTTTATTCCACAGCAGTTATTATTTCTGTTACATTTTTCTCTGCAAGATAAAACCAATTATTTTATGCTTTGCTGATTTATTTTGCAAAATTGGTACAATTCAGCAGGAAGTCGCAGCTGACATTACATCACACATTCATAAATACTTATCAACTTATCGAACGCTACGCTGGTGTTCCATAATTGCCAGCAAAAACATGGATAAGTACTTACACATTATTCACCACATTAACGATTTGCCGCAAAAATGGGAAAGAAAATGTAATTTGCTCTTCCATCACACTTAACACTGTTTAACATCATCGCACTCAAGCTGTCACGCATCTTCCCCCAGATCACTCCCTAATTGAGCTCCATTTTATACGTAGCCGAACAGCTGTATTTAAATGCCATTTCCATCTCAGCTATAAATCTTTTCACACTCCCCCCCCCCCAAATGTATTTTTCGCCCGTGTAAAACTGCAGCCACTGCTGCTGCTGCTGCGTAAAGCCCGAAGGACACTGTTTATGACCGTTACGCACCGTTACAGCAAATGCGGCAATCCATTTCGACGATTCTTTGCGACAGCAGCATCAGCAGCCAGCAGCAGCAGCATCAGCTCCGGCTGCTCTGAATGCAGCCGGAGCGAGTGCAAGGCACACCTGGCTCGCCTTGCCAGCGCCGCTCGCTTGCCGCATGCCGTTGCCAAGGCATCCGAGCGCATCAACCATGACCGACAACTACGGCCAATTAGGAGGAGGAGGAGGCTTCCCTGGAGACGGCCGGTGAACGTGATCGGAGCTCGCTTCGTGTCGTATCGCAGGCAGAGCCCTGTCTTGGGATGGCTCCTACAACCGCCCCCACCCACCCACCCAATGCCTCCCCCGCCCCCCACCCACATGCTCCCCTCCCACACACATCCAACCATCACAATCACAATCCCACGACATTCACAGAACGACCCAGCCTGGAGCGAACGTCTCGCGACTGGAATGTCGTGAGTTAGAATCTTGGGCTGGGTTGGTTGATTCGGACCGTCGTCCCTTCGAGGTCGATAAATAGGAGCCACCTTATGGGGAAGTCAACATCGGTTGTCCGATGGATAGACTCTTCGCCGTCATAGGAATGTGGAATGTCCACTATTGGCTGAAGGTTGTAAACAGGAGACGAGCAATTGCTCGCCGCTTATTGAACAGGAACTCACTTTGACCTGTGTATTCTTGAGACTCGGTAAAGCTTTCCTGCCTTAGAGATATATATATGTACATGCATGTGTGTTTGCACAAGCACACGTAATAAATAACTCAACACATTTGTCAATAGCACTGCCCTAAAGATGACCAACAATACTCTACATTAGATCACATGTTGTCCAATGGCCCTTCTTCATAAAATAAATGTTGACAAACATATTGAGGTTTTGTTCATAAATAAATGTCACTAATATGTGTGGAAGGAATGCCACTTAATAAGGACATGCCACTTGTGAGATATATAAATATATATATATACAATTTAAATTAGCAATGTTAAGAATTTACAGCACAATTTTCTCCTCTCTTAATCCACTTCTGGATGAGAGGCCTCCTGAGGCCGTGTGGGTCGTGGGGATTGTTTTGACCGTGCATCAGTGTCAAGAAGGTTGTTGGTGGGTGTTCTGGGCCATCACTGATGTTAGCCCTGGCCGGAAATCGAACCACAGGTCACAGAGTTCACTGACCACTGTGCAGTTGAAGCAGCACTGTATCTTTATCGTGCCATTGTGGGTTTTTTTAAAATCAAGAATCACGGTTGCAATGGTCACACTGGTCAACACATTTTTTTTTCTGGCCTGGACTTTTGCAGCTGTTTTAGACTAATTTCAGAGTGCTGATTCCAAATCTGTTCTCAGATTTGCTCTATCACATCTCATTTTTATGCTATCGGCATACCCCATTTTCATTGATTTTACCCGAAATTAACTCTGTCACTTATGATTGCAAGTTGTTGCGAGTCAGTGACTGCTTTAGTGTTAAAATATGGTGCTGTATTTTTAGGATAGTGTGTTTATAATATCATTTTATGTAGATATCCACATTTAATTAATATTTTTCTTCTGCAGTTTTTTATTGAAAATGCAATATTTGATATCTCAAAAACCTGATGTGATAGACAAAAACTGATGCCAGATTTGGAATCAGCACCCCAAAATTACCTTTAAACCGTTGGAATACCTTATGGCAGAAAAAGTGTGTTGACCAGTGTCATCAGATGTTAAGGGGGGAATGCAATGTCAGTTGCACCTTATAGCTCTCGTGGGATTCTCTGTCAGCAGAGATGGAGAGTATAATAAAGGTAAAGGTGCAGCTCTGCAATTGCTCGCTCACGCCAATGCCGACGGAAGGCTTTCCACTAGAGGGTATTTGGCCTACTCTTCCACGCTGGGCAGATGTCTTGGAAGAGGTGGGAATACGTACACTTCATCCCAGAATCAGAATCTTTATTTATCCTGCAAAAATCCGATGATCTATGAAGCGAGGGGATTTAATTAAAGTAACCATTGTTTCAACATTCACACAGGGAGCTCAACCCGGTAAACACTGCATTGTGAGTCTCAAGAGTGATAAACATTACATCATCCCAGCATCCGGAAAGTTTCGCCGGAAATTGATGTTGCTCTTGTTTTCCATACCTGCATTCGGCATGCGTAATTGCCGCATTGACACAGCTCAGTGATAAATTGTAGCATCTTACGCAACATACATACGCTTGCCATTTATCTAATCAATGAGTACATACATACGTACGTAAATAATATATGTTTTTGTTAAGAAACGTGAAGATCAGGCCAGTTTAGATGTATTATATCAGCGCTGATATTCATGCAAAGTGCTATCTTTAATTTAAGACAACATTCAGAACGGTTTGCTAATTTCCGTGTGAAAGAAGTTTACCATATATAGCTACGTACAATTAATTATCACACTAGCTCGAATGTACATCCACTTGGACTTTAAATATTTTAATTATGCAAACACTGTCACTTATGAATCGTTGCTTCGAGGTGTGTCTGATGCATTTTACAACGTGCATTACAGTAAATCAACGTCAAAGTAAATAATGAAAGGTTGAATGCAGTAATTTTTTATCACGGTGATATTAATAACGACAGTGTGGCAATCACGTGGAAATATTTGGGAGGTATCCAGGTGGTTCAAAAGTCAGACACCTGAGCCAGCGCAACTGAAATCCTGGGTTAGAATCTGGGTTTCAGTCAACAATTATTAGCCTGAGTTCGCAAGCGGAGTAAGTTGATGGTTTTTTCGGTAAAGTCACGTAGGTAAAAAATAAAATAAATTAAAGTGAATAATTCACTACAGTAATTTTGGCTGTGGCGGTTCCATATGAAGACGGAGGCTTGTGTTGCTTCCGAAACGTCGTGATTTAATTTAGTTTTAATTTTAATTTATTTTATTTTTTACCTACTTGACTTTACCGAAAAAAACTAAAAGTATGGATCCTTGCAGTCACGAAAACTTGAAATCTAGAATTAAGTTTATGGTTTTAGGCATGCGACGAATGACTGGTCAAAAAACTCTATCATTACGTTTCCTTATCACTTAATTTGACAGAACTTCCAGCTGTGAGAATTAAAAATAAACTTTTGAATCGCCTGCCATGTAGACGAACATCAATATGAAGGCAAATGGGAAAGGACACCCCCTCGCGTGGCTAGGTGGTGACGTGAAAACATTTCAGAAGTAGTTCTATGATATCACCTTCCACGGGAGGTTATCTTGCAGCAGGAGATATCACTAATCTGAGAGCGTTCTGGATGGACATGCAGTCACCCAATGACATGCGGACCAATATAGCATCACTTGAATATAAGTAGAAATTGTAAAACATGATACATCATGGAAACGTAATTTTAATAATGCGTCATATTTTACTGGAGAAAATTCATCTAAGGCATTCGAACATTTATTAAAAATGCATGACTCCCTTAAAATATTTGCAGGGTACAGAATACGACTAGATGCAGGGAAATCGTGTTTATACTGTACGAGAGCTGGTGGTACTCATTCAGAACAAAACGATAACGGAATCGCTTCTGTTATCATACATCGCGATGCTAAAACCCATTAGTCGGGTAAAAAAAGAAACTTTAAAAGTCCTTTCTGTGCTACAATGTCAGATAAAATATTTATTAAACCGATATGTACTTGTTTTTCATCTCGTCTTGCTCACTAATGTAACTTTTGTTCCCTGGGAGGCACCTTCAAACGTACTGTTAAATAAGTAATCACCTGATAATTAGTCAAAAAGGAAACTCTTCTGTAATGCATGACATAGCCCTCCTTTTAAAGTGCTCAACTGCAATTTAAACGCTGTCCCAGGCGGCTCAGTGGCAGAGAAAGCGGCCCGCGAATGAAAATGTATGAGTTCAAATACCGGTTGGAGTTTGATTCAGCCCGTTATTTTTCTCGGCTAAATAGAATGATTAACACTTTTATGGAAATTGTTTCCATCACTGGCTCAGGGTTGTAAAGAGGAGATGCCTCGACGCTCATTGAGCAGGAAATGACTTTTAGCCTTTACGTTTATTTACTTTTTTATTCAGTACACGTAGTTTGCTGGAGCAATGCGCGGTAATTCGGCACGCGCATGCCATGCAGGTATGTAAGCGAAATAAAACAGCAATCTTACCTTTTTTACTTTTCTGCTTTCCACACAAAAGTCCATCCATGTTGGCCGTACTTTATTAACGTTATTCGCTTACGAATCTACCTTTTTCCAAAAATAAAAACGCACGTGCGGTTTTTTCCCCCGACACCCTACGCGGCACAAAGTTTCAGCAATAGGTCTCAAATCTATCGACGCTGAACGCCGCGCGGCTTTGCTGCGTGTAAGTCAAAAGGCGCGCATCTGAGCCGGACAAGTCGGAGCGTAATACTGACTCTGGGTCTGCCAGTAGTGCCAGCGTGCAGGCGTGCTCGCGCGCGTTCCTTCTTCTATCTTAGGCAAGAGGGTGGGGTGGTGACACGTGGGTTACCCCACTTGCAGCGTGAGAACAACGCTGCGGGTGACTTCGCCAAGCGGCGGCAATAGCGGGAGGCGACAGCTGAGAAAATCTTTTGAAAATTGCACCGCTGTCGTGGTCTTCTATTTGCGTCGGGCTATTTGGGAGGTCGTTTGGGAATCCGTGGGCAATGTGACACCGCCGGGATGAGCCGAGGCTGCTCTCTGGCCGAACGCCGGAATTTTTAGACGCCGACAAAAGCCTCCGAGGCACGAGCCGAGCGTGGCACGAGCCGAGCGGTCCGTTCGTGTTTGGGAAGGTTCCGTTCCATCGTCAGGCCGATGAAAGCACAAATCGGATTAACACCCAAGTCAGCGGCGGCTCCGTCATTGCTTAAGGGTGCATCGATTCACTCTTTGCAGTGATTCAGTCATTTTTTATGGCCTCTGTTGTTCTTGCAGAGAGGCGGGGGTCACGTAAACCCCTTACATACAGCATAGACAAGTATGACGACAATGTACAGCGGTTGGTCATCCACTGCTGGATAAAGGCTTCTCCCACCCTGCTCCCACCTCTCACTGTGGAGGTCGTTTGAGCGTCGTTCACGGCGGCCGTCAGTGCATGATGTTGAAGGCGGTGGGGTGCTCAGGAAGGGGACCCCACATCGCTCGCTTCCAGTGGCTTCATTTGCAGCAGCAAGAATGGTCTGGAACCCACTTGGCCACGCCAAATCCGTCCCGTGTTCCGAATCAACGACAGACCACTCCAAGAAAACAACTCAGTCACTCGGTAGGACGATGGCACAAGACCGACTGACTCGCACGCTGTGAATGTCCACACACCCCACAGTTTTGGAATCTTTATTTATCCTGAAGACATCCGATCAGCCATGAAGTCCTTTTTCACAGACGTTCAGTAAGGGGGGCCATCCATTGAGTAGGTACGCAAAAATCTGTCAAAACTTGACCCCTCCCCCCCTCCCTGTACGCACGCGCACTTTTTACACACACCCCCCCCCCCTCACCTGAATCCTATAGAACGGCCGATATCTAATCCACGCAGAAGCGATCAAGGATTCATAATATGAACGTGTTTAAGCAAACAGATCGTCCACCACCGGACTGTCTAACTCAATTGAAGGCCAATGTAGACACATTATTATCGAGGCTTCACCCTACCCCCCCGCTTCCTATGCGTACATTGTCAGTAGACCCCCCATACGCAAGCGTACACGTTTGGGTTAACCCCCCTCTCTCCCCCCCATGCGTACGTACTAAATGGATGGCCCCCAGGCTGTTGGTAGTCGTAGTTGTGTCCGCATGATGCTGTGGTATCACTGGATTACAGCATTACAACATTGTGGAAAGGCGTTACTTGTGCTCTAGTGGTAGTGCCTTATGCCGAGACTCCCTGCTCCAAGGCAGCCTAGCGGCATTGTTGAAAACATCGCGTGAGAAGTGAATCTCTGCTCGCCGCTGATGTTGGCCATGGCGTTTGTAAGTTACGAATAACGAACGAATGATCCAGTGCGCGCAATCATGCGATTAGGAATCGACTTCAATGTCGATGCATTGATCGCTGCGCCTCTCATCACTGCCATCACTTGGAGGGGGCAGGCTGGACAGCAGCCACCTTCCCCGCTCATCCGCATACGACGTGCTCCCACGCAGCTCGTGTTTGTGTTGATCGTGTTTGTCGTGTTTGTGTTTGTCGTGTTGATCGTGTTTGCCGTGTTGATCGTGTTTGTCGTGTTGGTTGTGTTTATTGTTTCTAGATTTGAAGTTTTCGTGACTGCAAGGATCCATACTCTGTTTTTTTCGGTAAAGTCACGTAGGTGAAAAAATATATATACGCTCTAAGCCTGGTGGTGTTTCATTCAGACGCTGTCTTTCCGACAGACCTGTTCTTCACCCGAGGACGGCTGCTTGCGTTGTGGCCGAAACGTCGTGAGAATTATTTTATGTTCTATTTGTATTATTTTATTATTTCCCTTCTACGTGACTTTACCGAAAGAACCAAGAAGATGAATCCCTGCAGTCACGAAAGCTTTAAATCGAAAAATTATGACGGATGCTTGTGTTGCTTCCGAAACGTCGTGATTTAAATTTGTTGTTTTATTTTTTAAATATATTTTTGGTTTTCACCTACGTGACTTTACCGAAAAAACCAAAGAGTATGTGTTCATTGTGTTTGTGTTTATCGTGGGTGCTGGCGAACAGTGGACGAACAATTCGGCCACGAAAAGCAAAGTAGCAGATGTGGCTCTCGCCATATCATTAGGCGAAGCTTGGCCTTCCGTATGGCAAAGTCCATCACCCAATTTGCCTCCCCCCACCCCACACATCAAAGCGTGCCTTGAAGTGCAATTTGTTCATGAAATGCTACTGTGACCAGGGGCGTCTTTAATGTCCACACTAATGGACAGTGGGGGCGGCAGGGTCATGCCGGGCAAGGCCGTGATTATAATATATATTGGGGGGGGCACATCCCCCCCCCCCCAATATTCAAATATGCTCAAAATGTCCCCTCCTATATTGCTATAAAATAGATTTCTGTTTATATGATTGTGGTTATGGTTGTACTTTATTCATCTCTAATCTCTGTCAGTACATACAATGAAACAAGAAAAGGTAAAAAAAGAAAAAACAGAGCAATGTAATACAATACACTATTAGACATTATTGTAAAAAAATTAAATAAAAAAGTCCATCTTATGTGTTAGTGATTTTTGAAATATTTTAGGCAGGAAATTTGTTTTCAAATTTAGATTTTCTTCTGGGGGGGGGGGGGGACCCCCAGACCTGGACGATTTGATCCCCCCCCCCCCCCAATGTTGACTCCATGGCTATGGCCTTGTTGCCAGGCCCCCGTCGATACAAGAGGGGAATGAAAATACTTGCCAGGCAGGCTCTGGAAGGAGACAAGGAGAGGCCCTGGGCATTTTGACAGATGGTGGTTGAGGGGCTATCACGAGGGGAGTCGGGAAGAGGTGGGAGGGGGGGTAGTAATGTGAGCTTTGGGTAGCAGAGTGGTTTTCAGTTAAAGAAGTCGTGATGGAACTGTGCTTAGTACAGAGGCAGCACATGCTGGAGAATGCAAGAACAGCAGCTGTAAGTGTGGCGAAGCCTTGGCTTATGATGCATTCACATATCATGGGAGATAACCTTTGAGCCCATTCCATCACTTGACACAAGGGCATACGAAAGCCAAGATATCCCAAGTCCAACTCTCTCCTTGCCCCGTTGAACTATATGTGCTGCTCATCTCTGTTAGTTACCCTGGGGCAGTGATGGAAATTTCACATTGCTTTGGCCTGGGAGCAGTCTTTCTATAGAACAGCTACCGTCAATACCCCCCATTAAGTAATACTCATCGCACTGACCCTGTTCTGATGATGTGCTTAGGGTCCGTCCATAAATGACGTCACGCGATTTTGTCAGACCCCCCTCGAATATGACGTCACAAAGCTCTGCCCCCCCCCCAAAACCACATTTCCATTTTGAAAATAAAACATGCTTCAAATCGCTTTAAACTATTGTCATTGGAGTGCGTATTTAATGTGGCGCTGCACTCTGATGTTGTAGGAGTGTTGTTATAACAATTCGTGTTGTCGTCACAATTCTATATTTATTTAAATTTGCGCATTTTTAAGTGACGTCACATTTCCAACCCCCCCCCCCCCCTTGTCACACATCGTCACACATCATCACAAATGTCTGACCCCCCCCCCTAGGTGCGTGACGTCATTTATGGACGGCCCCTTCATTCTAACATGGTTTTGAACCGACACATTTTCCGTTTGTCAATTACAAGTATTATACTGAGCCAGCGAAGCTCATATTATGGCTTTGAATCTGAAGTTCAGCAACCCTGATTAAACCTGGACCCTCAAGGGTATAGTCAGTTGATGGTGTCAGCCGAGTCACCTATGAACTGTTAAAAAGGAAAAACCCCACCACATTAATTGTGTGCGTTCACTTAATTTGACCTATCCCAGTTCAGACAGTTAAACATTTTCCTTTGACTGCCACGCGACAAACATGTACCAACAATAGCATGCGGGAAGGTGCGATGAGCACGTGCGCCCCCTAGTGCGTCGATAAAGAGGTCACGGGCGGAGACGACCGGCCGGGTGGCTCAAGAGGTCAGAAGCCCCGTGCTGCCACTGACACTTCGTTGAGCTTCCATTCGTGACCAAGGCCGCTTTTGAAGAGTAAGTGAACACCTCAGTGGGCTGTGTCTGGTAGGATGGGGGTGGTTTAGTTTAATGTGTCTCTGTGATATTTTGTTTGTGGGGGAGCGGTAGTGTAGCGGTTAGCGCTACGCACCCGGCGACCCGGGTTCGATTCCCTGCTCACGGCCAACACCGGTGACGATTATCTGAACCGGTCCTGGGCCTCTCCTAGGTCGACTCAGCCTCAAATGAGTACCTGGTGCGGTGTCAACATCGCCACTGGGGAGAGAAAGGCGGTCGGGGGTGGTGCTGGCCAACCACCACCTCGTGTACCGTTCCAGGCCTTCATAGGTGCTCGCTAACAGCACTTGCCCCTACAGTCTGTTAAGGCTATACGGGGGATCTTTGTCTTTTTTTGTTTACCTTTCCTCTACTTTGCGCGCCTATCGTGTTTTGTATTGTTTGTTATTGTAACGCTCTTACCCGCCCTCACTCGACATATGTGAAAAAGAGCTTTATAGCTCATCGGATTCCTCCAGTATCAATACATATTCAGATTCTGAATGCAGGATCTCAGCCGTCATGCGATGAACATTAATTCCCACAGTGCACTGCGAGTGGGAGAGCGTTTCCCTCGACTCTGTAGACGACTCGAAGGAATCAGAGGCAGCTCTGTAATATCCCACTCCTTGTGGACAGCCGTCGAACGCACAGGGTGGTGACGCACCGCTATTTGAGACTTCCCGGACAGGTAGTTAATCTCGTCACATGACACCGGCAGCAAGATTGGAAGATGGGAAAAAAAGATGGGAGTATTTAAAATTAGCATGTGGCTCACAATCACAGAAGCCTAAATACACGAGTATCTGGGAAACCTCAGACCCACTCACCGCACATGCCATTTAGAGTCCACGAGAGAAGGATATGGGCACATTGGGATGTGATGGTGGAGTCTGGGCAGCGAGAGCATTGGAGAGGTGACTGCTAACAACGTGCACTGATGCCCCACAATTGTACATTCCAGTGTGCACGGCAGCTACATTTCTGAGAGCTTAGCATGATAGCGCACGCTGTCCACTTATTCTTTATGTGCTTGCGATGCGATGGATAATTAAAATCGCGAGGATTACAGACAAATTAATGGTGGGTATAGTGAAGGGCTTGAAGGTTGGGAATAATTCCAATGGCTCTTCCTTTAATTATGCATTATTTCTTCTTCGTTTAAACAGCGCTGGTAAGACCACTTGTGATGTCACAATATGCTGGTGCCTAAAAGCTGTAATTCCACGGGGTGAGGGAAATAATGCAAAGTAAAATATTACATCTGACGAGCACTCCATGGAATCGTCTACTTGTCACCCTGCATGTGTACAGAAATAGGCACTTGTGATTACCGAAATTAGTAGAAATTAACATTTTTTTCTCTTTACTGATACACGTGCATGCATGCCGGTGTTACTTTCGTCTGCATTGTCTATTTTAGTTGTGGTCTTAGTATAGTCGATGGGAATTTTAGCCGAGTCTTATCCGCCGGGTTTCAATCATTCATTCTCTCTGTCGAGCTGACTAAAGCAGTGAAGGCTAAAGCAGCCGAGACTAAATCTGTCTAGCTTACTAAAGCAGTCTGGCTGACTAACCAAATCAATTGACACATTTTCCCACGTGACAATTTTATTTTTGAATGGCTCCATCGGGTGGTGGAGGGTTATTGTAAAAAACATTTTTTAGACCATACCTAGACAATCTCACCCAAAATAAACCAATTATACGTATTAACAACCAAAAATCAGAGTTATTTCTGCAGTAGTAAATGTAATGTATTATTAACCAAGGACAACCCCCCCCCCCCCCACATATGGCGTTAAAATGACAGCAATTAACTTTTTATACCCAGGATAATACCCAAAACCGTCGTGAATTTTAGACACGAGACACGGTTAACTGTGACCTCACATAAACGTAAGAATTATTCCACAATTTGGGCAACATTGAGCCATTTGTAAAATACTTTCTAAGCGTTTATTAGTTTTTGTTTTGCCAGTCAGCGTATACTCTCTTTAATGCATTTCTATATTTATTAGATGCATTTAATAGCCAAGAATGTTTATTTGTTCGCCTCGGAGGGCGTGATGGGTTTATTTTTTCATTCCTTATGCTCCGTGTCCCCCCCACCCCGTACTGCTCCCGTTCTGCTATAATGTTCACTGGATGCCTCCGTTACTGAGGGAGATATTTGCACGCAAAATAACGATGGATTGTCCTTAAATAGTTTGTGCTTCAAATTTAGAGCCCTTTGTCAATCCGCTTCTGGATTAAAACCTTGCCCAGAGCTTATCGATCATGGGAGCTGTGTGGGGACTTCATTTCGCCACTGTGCCACCTTCCCTCCCCGCCCACAGTGTGCGATCGCACGGATTTAAAATTAAATCACGTTTGAAAAACTCTAAATTTGTAATAATTTACTCTCATCTCTTCTTGCTTGCTTGTACATATGCATGTTGCACTTCTTTCGCACCGTACGTAGCCAATCGTGCTAAATCAGAGGTGCGAGAATGGCATTGAGGGCCCATCTTGATCAATACGTCCCATAGGTAAATGCCCGTACGTTTTGTCAACATCAGCAACGGGATGCAAAGACATCCACGTTATTTTCCAGTCATAACTGCCCACTGATAGAAATATCTCCAAACAGTCCACATGTACATCCCAATATCTCCAACAGCCTACATGTACATCCCAAGTTCTCCATAAGTCTGCATGTAAATCCCAATATCTCCAAACAGTCCACATGTACATCCCAATATCTCAGTCTACATGTAAATCCCAATATCTCCAACAGTCTACAATCCCCCTCTTTTCAATCCACTGCTGGATGAGGCCTACCCCACGCCGTGCCGATCATGAGGGTCATTTGACCGTATTGGTGAGGTGAAGTGGAAATAAACGGGAGCATCTAGACCCAGCTGTGCATCACATGCACAGTGGTGATGTCACGTGTCATGCAAGGCATGATGGGAGGACTGATCACATGGTCACAATCGTGCCCTTTTGCCGTCTACAAATCACCTTTTGCAGGTTTTATTATTATGCCTCTCATTTGCTTCCAGCCTGGATATACTTTTCTGTTTGGCGAGCTTCTCCTCATTTACAGAAACGTGCTCCAATTGGTTTTATGTCACCCACTCCCCTCCCCAGAGCCTTCCTTCGACGATCCCCTGCAGAAGGAACTTCATTGCCACCAGTTGTGATTCGTGCTCGTGCCGCGTTACAAAAATTCTCAGCTATGGGGATGACTCGATATCGGTAGCGAGACGAAGTTACGTCATATTTGCACCGGAACCAAACGTAACCTCTCTCTGCCGTTTTAGAGTTCATCACGAACAGACTTAGTTCGGCATGCCCAGGGTCTCGGAGAGCTGCTTGTCTTCCTCTTTCTCCAAGAGCCTCTGCTCCTCCAGAAGGGACACGAGAGTGTTCCTCTGCTCCACAACCTCGATCTTCTCCTGCAACAGTCGATCCAGCTCCTGCTGCTCCTCTTCATCATAATCCGACGCTGTCCGACACAGAGAGAGAGACAGGACCAAGACATTAATACCTCTAATTGGAGTAAACGTCGCAGCCCTTGCGATTTGTTTCTTGCACGTCTGCTGGCGGAAGGGCCTCCCGCTAGGGGAAGCTCGAGATAGAGCCCCCTCTAGAGCAGCGGTTCTTTACCTTTACTGCCGCCTTGCACCCCTCTGGTTCTCAATCGTAACAAAAAAAATGTATAATGTTAATACATTCATAGGTTTGACGAAACTAGGTAGTTGTACTTACGTGCCCGCGCTTAATTTGTTTAGATGATTTACCTTCTAAAAAAAATCTAGCATGTCTCGCACTCCCAGAAAGGGCTTCTCGCACCTAGGTTTGATGAAACAAAGTAGTTGTACTTACAGTGCCCATCCTGAATTTGTTGAGATGATTTATCTTCCAAAAAAATCCTGCATGTCTCCCACCCCCATAAAGGGCTTTTCGCACTCCCAGGGGGGTGCGTGCACCCCAGGTTAAGAACCACTTCTCTAGAGGATATAATGAAAGGTAAAGGGGGAGCTCTGCAATTGCACACTCACGTCACTGCTGGTGAAAGGGTCTCCAGATGGTATTTGGCCTACTCTTCCATGCTGGCCGGACGTATGGGAAATGATGGGAATAACCAACACTTTAGAATAATAGTCTTAATTTAGACTGGAGGAATCACCATCAAACACGATCTGCTGATCGACTGTGTTGTACTCAGCTATACTGCTGGGCAGACTAAGTCGGTGATTTAAGAAACTCGCCCTGTTTATTTCAACTGCCACGCCGGGAGATCGAGTTGAACCGGTGACCTGCAGATTGTAGGTCCAGTAAGCTCACCATTGCAACACAGCAGCGTCTGTATTTATAATAATAATTATTATTATTCCACCCTTTATTTACCCAGACAGGTCTCGAAGGCTTTTAGGAGGAACCTACTAAATTGAGATATTTGGCCAATTCCATTCCTGTGTGTGTTTTTGGCCATGTGCAGAGAAGCAGTAAAACCTGAAGAAAAATACATTCATACAAGGAGAGAACACTCAAAAGCTCTGCACAGGAAGATTCAAAAAGGCAGCGCTGTGTGCTTCCATCTCCTCGTCACCCCGCAACCTTGGCCTACAATACTGGGCATTCCGAGGCAGGCTCTTATCCGAGCAATAACCAGGCCCAAGCTGCACTTTGCTTCCAGATTTCGACAAGATTGGGCACCGTCCAAGGTGATTAAAGGCAGAGGAATCAAGATTATTGCGTTGTGTCTGCCTCAGCGGTTTGTTAGTTAGCAGGAGTGCGTGGTCGGCGTACCATTTAAGGCGCTGAGGGTGTCAAGTCTTTGCTGCAGACGTCCTTGCCTGTCTTCCAGCTCCAGCTCTTGCATCCTGCAGCACCGACAGACCCATTATGCTTGCACTTGCACATGCCACGTGTACACAAATGTTGAAGGTGGAATGACGCATTGATGATGCAGCGATTAAATATTGATTGAATTAATATCGAGGATATGTGCAATCTAAGGGCATGTGAAAAGACATCAACGTTCGTCGCTGGGGTATATGTTGTGTGCAATGGGGGAGCGGTAGTCTAGTGGTTAGAGCACTGCACTACAAACCCGGCGAACCAAGTTCGATTTCTGCTCACGACCAAAACAATGCCGAATTTCTGAACGGGTCGTGGGCCTCGTGTGGTGTGTAAACATCTGCATGTAGGGTGACAAAGATGGCTGAGCATGGTGTTGGCCACCCACCCCCTCACAAGCTGTGCTGGCCTTTATAGGTGTTCGCAAACAGCACTTGCCTCAACAGTCTGCTGAAGGCTATGTGGGGGATCTTTGCCTTTTTGCTGTATGTAATGCGTGGGTTCAGGTATCCTTCTCCACTATTGTCAGCCATTATTGGGAAACACACTCAGGTCGCGAGGTTTGTACTGCTCGCCGTGTTGCCCCATAATGCACTGCGTAGGTTAAATGAGTGTTTGCTGGAAACTCGTATAAAGGAGTTCCAGTCAGGCGAGTCTGGGACTTTGGCTTTATTGCGCCTTACGCACGGCGCGTCGTCCCACATCAGGGAATCGCTCCGTTCGGGCGGTGCCACGAAAAGCTCCTTCTACCCCTCCCTCTATTCTCTTCCCCATCCTTGCTGGAACGTTCCGTGACTCTCCACCAATCCCCCCTTCATTTCTCCCCAAGTTCTCCCAACCACCTACTCATTTTCCATTTAATGTTCCCTGACGACCAAATCCGATTTCAAAGGCTCTCCACCTTCAAATGGAATCGTGTAAACTATTGTAAACTATTTTTTATTTTACCAGGTAAGGCCCACTGAGCTACGTAGCTCTTTTTCAGAAGTGACCTGGCCACAAATTATAGCTCAACGAAGAGGCTTATCACGTGGAAATTTAAAGCAGCCAAATACTCGAAACACGTGTTTATAAATCTAGAGAGGAAAAACCGGAGGACCCGGAGAAAAATCCACGCGACGACCGCGAGACAGAAACACGCAAACTTCAAATATACAAGCTTCAGGGTCGAAATCGAACCCACGACCTCCTGCATGCCAGGCGAGGGAGTTAAGATCTCGCTCTGTGTCGGCTCCGCTCTGTGATAGCTCCTGGCTAATGAAAGTCGGGGAGCGCGCCATTCGAGCTCACGACGAACCGTTAGAACCCGGTGAGTGTTTATTTATCGCCTAAAAACAGGTTCGCCTCTTGGCATCCCCGTACACACGTTGAAGAGACAAATCAACACAGACATGGCACCCTCCCGAAGGACTGACTGAGTGGCACGGCAAACTCACATGATCACGATCTCGGACTCCTTGCGCAGCAGCAGGTTCCTCTCACCGATGAGCTTGAACCACTCCTGCATCAGCACGGGGTTGTCATTGTCCACCCCGTCTGCACACACGCAGACAACGCGAGTGTGACAACAGAGAGAGAGGGTGAGAGAGAACTCGCACAGTCGGTACCACTACCCTTGACGTGAGCGAATGCGGCAACGCGGTACGATGAGATATGACGGCGCAGGCTTTCGCGGTTGCGATTGTGGTGTACGCCGATTTTATTGACGCTGGGAGGGTTGATGGATCTGACTTACCAGGATTCGAACTTGTCATTTTCACGACTGGGAATCTTCCTGCTCTACCACCTGACCTACATCCCACCCATTACGTTACGGAAAGTGAAGGATATTATAACGGAGTAAGCATCATACAAAGGATGAGTTCTGGTTTTAAAAGTAATAATAAATCTAATTTCGTATTTTTTGATGTTGGAGAATTTTTGCATCATTATTAATATGATGCAGTCCTTTGACATGTATTTGCGCTGACAAAACTAATGTCACAAATGCCACGTGATGCAACGTTAGGTGGGACAACATGTTTTTCTGATCAGTCTGCAACACTTATTTTTTGGATCGTCCGAAATGTTATACCCAGACCTGATTTTCCGAAAATCGGAAAAAGCCATCCGTACAGCATCGCCGGGCGGTAATGGCTATGCACACCTGTAACCCGGCAATGTGGAAGCAAGTGTTGCTGGATCCCAGAGATGTCGTGCAACTCCATTCCCGTGGGCGCTGAAGTGCTACACCATGATAATTGTTTTTTTACCCTTCTATCTGGCAACAAAACTGACACCTTTTTTACAAGGAGTCATGTTTGCATAGACCACAATACCTGCAGTCATAATGCAAACAAAAAACATAACTCTGATAATGTGCACTGTCCTTGAAGTTGATTGGTCCACACCCGAGACAGCTTTCCTCTAATTGATTGGTCCACACCCGAGACAGCTTTCCTCTAAGGAAAGCTGTCTCGGGTGGTGGACCAATCAACTTTAAGGACAGTGCACATTATCAGAGTTATGTTTTTTGTTTGCATTATGACTGCAGGTATTGTGGTCTATGCAAACATGACTCCTTGTAAAAAAAGGTGTCAGTTTTGTTGCCAGATAGAAGGGTAAAAAAACAATTATCATATTTTTTACTGGCAAATGAGGTTCCAATGGTGTAAATGCTTACCCGAGCTCTCATACTCTGATGGTGCATTGTCTTTGAGTTGTGCGCCTTTTGGCGTCATCTGGTCCGACCCATGTGAGACTAGGCTCTAAGGAAAGCTGTCTCGGGTGTGGACCAATCAACTTCAAGGACAGTGCACATTATCAGAGTTGTGTTTTTTGTTTTGCATTATGACTGCAGGTATTGTGGTCTATGCAAACATGACTCCTTGTAAAAAAAAAGGTGTCAGTTTTGTTGCCAGATAGAAGGGTAATAAACCAATTATCATATTTTTTACTGGCAAATGAGGTTCCAATGGTGCTACACCCTGGTTCGCCAGGAGAAGGCGTTGCAGCAAAGCGAGGACAAATATAATGTCTCCCTTCGGAATGGGATATTGTGTGTTGTCCCCTCGCCTTCCATGGGTTTTCTCAGAGTGATCCGGTTCATTCCCACACGTATAAACACTTAATGAGTTGTCTGAATACATCTTGATATGTATATATGTACCTCCGCGTTTGTGGATTGTATATCACGGAGATGCAGTTTGCGTGAATTAAGCTGTATAAAATTGCTCGCTGTCACATGTTGTAATATCTGCCAGTGATACATATTACAAAGATAGGATGAAAATAAATATTATACTGATAACAAAGTTATCCGAGTTAGATCGCGTACTTATAAATGTAGGATTAACCCACCACCACCCGACACAGCCAATTCGTAAGGTCTGTCACGTGAACAAAACGTGCCGGTTAGCTATTACTTCAGCACATCGGTGTGATGGTCAGTAAACCCGCAACATTTACAATTGTAATTGTGCTCACCTCCTCTTAATGTCTTCTCTATCTTCACCCCCTCCTCCTCCAGGATTCTCTGCTTCTCCTCCAACTCCTGCAGTTCGCGCTGCATCATCTGCGAAAGGTGAAATAAAAAAAACGAGATCTTACGCAACTTTTTCAAAAAAGAAAACGCATCATAAGTGTATGAAGCTCTATGGGTAGGGCAGTGGTGCAGCGATTCGTGCATTTGTGCAGTGAGCCCAGCGACCCGAGTTCAATTCCCTTCCGTGGCTAACACCAGTGGCAAATGATATCTGGACTGGTCCTGGCCAACTCCCTTCACCAACCCGCGCTGATCAGTGTCGTGATGTTTGGCTAAATAGTGCACAGGAAAGACACGGTTTGGGTAAGCCATCATCCCCAGCAGAGGATTTACCGAGCGCTATAAATTGTGTTATTTTCCTGAAGCTCTTACAAAATATCTGATGATTTATCAAAACAATAACAATTTAATTTCCATACATTTCCATAAGCTGCCGGAGAGTTGCAACTTCAAACGATTGCCCGACGTTCGCTTGATGTAACGTACATTGCATCGATGAGCATTTGAACGTGAATAGCTGTAACTGTAATGGATTGCCCTTCCCACGAGTTGAGTCGAACGTGATTGAGGGTTGTTAAGTTATTGTTTTTAATAACATCAAAAGTTCTTGTTACAGAATGTTAAATTGTTGTAACGTTGTACAGACCCATCTGTACGTGCCAATGCTGTACTGCATGTGCAGCCAATACGACTGTTGCAATACCCCTGTTGTTGTTATTATTATCAGCAAGAGCTGAGTGGGCAATTGACAACACCCCTGTGTGGCCACCATTTAACTTGTGGCTCCGTTAATCCTCCCCACGGGTTTTACTTTATTATCATCATTATCATTGTGATTGCTATGCTCGTCTGCCCCTGGAAAGCCTCACGGAGTCTCATGGCGCTTAATCAGGAGGGAAGTTTTTTGGAATTGGCAGGGGAGAGTGGGGGTGGTGGGGTGCAATCAGCAATGAAAATTGAGTCAATTTGCCGGTACATTTTTTGCCGTTTTTTGGCAAACCCGGCACGTGTTGCCAGCGCACAACGACCCACTCTTGCGATTGACGTCACGGGATCTTTTGACGTCCACTGTGGAACCCGCAGTAGCCACTGGAGCTTTGCACTTTTAAATCTGGATTGAAAACTCATTTATTTTAGAACTGCTTTTTGTATTTCGTTTGTTGTCCTTCCCCCGCACCTCCGATAAGCACGGTTGGCGACAGAAGTTCAACATAGATACATATACGTACAAGCAGGGTGGGCGCTGCATTCGAACCGTGAACCTCTGCAACAAGCGGCGAGAACGCCTCGTCACCGCCACTGGTTTCACCACCAACTATAACCACAGTCAGCATCTCCTGCCTGTACAAACAGCGCCTGTCCCATCTCGTGCTTCTAAATGTCACCCCTCGCGTTATGCGATCTGCGACCCCTGTGTGCGTCGTGCTCTGCGTCCCGCACCTCCGATCAAGCACGGTTGGCTACGTATGGTGCCAAAGAAGTTCAACGTACGCACGCAGGCACCCCGTTCAACCAGCCAGGTAAGCTCAGCGATGGAGTGAGCAGCTCAAAATTGGAAGGTTGCGAGTTCCCATCCTGGTTGGCGGGTGGTGTACACCACTTGTGGGTGGTTCTATGTCGAGACTCATCGTAGCCATAGGAATGTGGAATTTCCCGCCACTGACTCAGGGCTGTAAATATTAGATGAGCGGCACGGCGAATCGTACGAGGCGAGCGTCTGCGTTGTTCACCTGCGCCTTGTTAAGCCGCTGTTGCTCGTGATGCCGAGAGCTTCGCACCGACTGCAACACCGACATCCGGTGCTGGCGCTCCATCTTCGTCAGCCGTCTCTGAAAATCCAGCGCAAACATTTCACTGGCCACCCATCCATTCCAGGCGTCATCATCGATGTCATCGTCAGCAGCCACAATCAACCCACTGTCGGATGAAAGCCTCCCCCCCAAGCAGAGGTCGCAACCGGGTACCCGATACCCGTACCCTACCCGATACCCGGCTACCCGTACCCGGCCGGGTACGGGTACGGGTACCCGTTTGCGACCCTGGTGCGGCCGGGTACGGGTACGGGTAGACCGTGAGTCACTGGTGAGTAACTGTTTGTCACTCATTTCCCAACGTCTGGTCTCTTCCCAAAATTCAAGTTCCTAGAATCAACCCACCCACGCCTGCAACATGGCTTCATCCCAGAGGTCGCAATCAGGTACCCGATACCCGTACCCTACCCGATACCCGGCCGGGTACGGGTAGGGTACGGGTACGGCCGGGGAAGGGTACGGGTACCCGTTTGCGACCCTGGTGCAGCCGGGTACGGGTAAGGGATCAAAACCCGTTTGCGACCTCTGCCCCCAAGCCACCGCCATCTCCCACAGTGAAGCGCGACAACAATTATTGCCACATCCATCCCGGTGGATGTCCTTGGAATTACATTGGAAGACAAAGAGGAACATGTGGATTAGAGAACAGATTTAAGATATAATTCAAGATGCTGAGAAAAGTGAGTGGGCTTGAGCATGACACGTTGCTGGTAGGAATGATGGGTCGATGTTTAAGATTAGCGGCGGCCAAGGATTGTTATGTGTGCATTGGATGACGGCCTAGGAGATGGAGCGATGAAATCAACAGGAGTGAAGGCGGTGCTATAGTTGGACTGTTGCATCGCATAACTGTGAAGGACGGTAATGACTTTGGGAGGCCTTTGTCCAGCAGTGGATTGATCACGGCTGACGATGATTAAATGTATAGAATACAAATAGGCATCACAAAGGGCTCCGTAAAATCGTTCACTGTAAAGATGGCTCTTTGCTGTGCCTGGACTGTTAGTCTCAGAGCGAAATAATGAGATTAAAGAGCATTTAACTACCAATTCCACTTCATTATAATACATTTTCCATTAACAATCAACACAGACTATCTATATTAACTTTATTAAGCCAAAGGCCATTACATTTATTTTGGCCACTTTTTTTTTTTGCAATCTGTAAGTTCCCGGCAGTAATTTATTTTTTACGGCTTTCCGGCTGAAAATCATTGTTCAATTAAAATTAGTGCCATGTGCGATTTTTTTTTACCTCGCCAAAGTCATGATTAAATGCCCCCAATAACCCATAAATGTTTTAGCGTGAACATGGGTGCAGCCACCATGCATATTCATGTGACACGGCACAGTGCAGACACTAACGGGGGGGGGGGGGGTTGAGGCGGGGGGGAAGTGGGGGGCAGGGGGGTGGGGACAGTCACACGGACAACGGCACAATGGAAAACGGGATTGCAAAAATAGCCCGCAAATAACTAACATCACTGCTGTCAATAACAGCACTGGGGCGTGAAAGCCATCCATTGCTTTTCTCCGCACCTCCGATTAGCACGGTTGGCTGTGTACGGTGCGAAAGAAGTTCAACGGACATACGTACGTGCGACGTGCATACATCCGCGTAGAACAAAACGATTGCGCAAATTACGAACAGGGGGGGGGGGGGGCGCTTACCTTTGGTCTCTTGTCTTCTCGCTCGTCGCCCGACTCAGAGGTCCCCATCGAGTCGCTGTCTTGATGCGAGAGAGACGAAGCTTCTGCGAAATTCAAGCAACGGCCGCGTGCGCATTAAGCATCGGGAGAAAGTTTAAATCGCACCGCTCTTGCGAAAATGCAGTTCGGCAAAGGTTTAGGGTAAAAATAATTAATCGTACCCATCGGTTCACTAAAAGTTGAATCCCGTAAGGTCGTGTTTTTCGAACCGAGAATCGATATTTCGTCCCATTACCATCTCGTAAGGTACCGTTTCTCACCTTGTCTCTCGTCTCCAGTGACGTCTGCCCAATTAGCCTAAATGTAATATGAACATATCATTTGCATATTTTGTTCATTACCAATGCTCATGCTCGCAATCCAACGCGTGCATCGTGAGCCTCGGAAACCTCTTTCAATTGTCGAATCGATGGCATCGGTACACGCCTGATCGCGACAATGCGACACGTTTGGAAGGGAAAAAACTAGATTTGAAGCTTTCGTGACTGCAAGGATTCATATTGTTAGGTTTTTTCAGTAAAGTCACGTAGGTAAATAATGTAAATTTAAATTAAGAAAAGTAAAATAAAAATAAAATAAAAATCACGACGTTTCGGAGGCAACACAAGCTTCCGTCTTCAGTTGGAACCGTCACAGCACGATAGCTGTATCAAGTAAGAGAAATTCCAAGAAAACAGTCCTTGTATATATACTGGTTGAGGGTGGGAGGAGCCAAGGTAGGCCCTGGATATTATTATTATTGAGAAGTTGGTGCGGCTAAAGCCGCAACAAAGGAATGAGCCTTTGTTGTGTAAACTGGTTGAACTGGGAGGTTCCAAGAGTTGTTAAGGTGCGGCTGATGTAAAGGTGCGGCTGCTGTAAATGGGACTGAGCCTTTGTTATGTAGAGGTAGAATAGGGAAAAAACTGCTCAAAAGCAGCGCTCGGTATATCACCTTCTTCTTTTACGTCAGGTGGGAGGACATCCATCTCCGCGCTGTCCTGGTTGAGAAAAATCTTGGACCTCGTCGCATTTTTGCGGCGAAGCCCGGACGCCGACTGACGCGCCGATTGCTTCCACGCGGAACTGCCCTCCTCCTCCAACAACTTCCCGGCCCCGAGTTTCACGCCGTTCTTCTCCTCCGCGTCCCTCTCGCTCCGTGGCGGGCTGACCGACAGCGGCTTCTTCTTCTTCTCCTGCTCGTCGTCGTCGGCGGGGATGTGCAGCGGCTTGCAGACGTCCGCGACCACCTCCACCTTTCTTGGGACGGCGTTTGCGTGCTCCTCCGCGTCATTCCTCGCGGCTGCGTCTCTCGACTCCGCTTCTTTAATTCTGGGCGACGTGGGACTCGCCAACGACAGATTGCGGGGGGGTTTCGGAGGCGGCGTCGGTCTCGCCGGCAATTGGGGCTCCTCTCCCGGAGGCCGCGTCTCCTTCGGCGGCTCTTGGGCATCTCTCACGGACTGCTTCACTGCGTCCAAACTGTCGCTTTCTACCGCCTTCCACGGAGGCTTGCGCGACGACGCTCCCGACATTCCCGCATGCACCTCCGATCTTCTCACCGAGGGGCGAGAGGGGAGGGACAGCGTCCGCTGCGAGAGCACCCACACACGCACACGCACGCACGGTGCACCGAGCCAAAAGGTTACTTTGTGCACGCGCCAACATGAAATGGAAGCTGTGCTGCCGGGGAGGTACGACTACGTGGCCCCGGCGTGTTTTCGGGTTGTGCCGCCTGTTGCTCCACCTTGCCGGAAGCCTTAGCTACTGAAGGCGGATCCAGGCGAGGGCAGCGAAACGTCGGACACCGCGCCGAACAGCACGCGGTACAACCCGAAAACACAGCAGAGGGCTGTACGGCCACATCTGCGAAAACTTACGCACGGGTTGTGACTAAACAGTTATTGTCCTTTTTATGCCTTTGCGCCTGCACAAAGAGTTTATCGCAAGCTTTGCTGCATTATTGTGAACTATTTGTATAGATGGCGTAAAGGCATCGCCGAGTTTAATGGTAGAATTATTGAAACCCACAGCTTGTCATCTGTGCTCGAGCCAAGGTGAGTAATACAATTAAATAAAATATTTGTTGTCGGCGAGTGTGTCGCTGTAAGGTGTGAAAATTATTACAAAATAGTCACTTACACGCAACCTCTTCCGTGTCCCTCGCATTGAAAACCGACGTGGAAGCTTAGCTTCTGAGAAGACAAAGACAAAGATCCCCCGTATAGCCTTCAATGGACTGTTGGAGAAAGTTCTGTTCGTGAGCACTTATGAAGACCGGCACGTGCATTTACGAGGGGGGTGGGTGGCCAGCACCAGGCCCGGCCGCCTTTGTCTCCCCAGTGGCGATGTTTACACACCGCACCAGGTGCTCATTTAAGGCTCAGTCGGCTTAGGCGAGGCCCAGGACCGGTTCAGATTTTCGATGCTGTTATTGGTCTTAAGCAGGAATCGAACTCGTGTCGCCGGGGTTGTAGCGCAATGTGCTAACCACTGCACCACCACTCCCCACAAGCACACACCTTTTTTTTCCTGAAAACAACTGATCACATGCGTTAAAAAGATGTGTACACATACACACAGTATCCGTCTTAATCAGCATAATTTACTTGATGAGGAACAAGTCTATTCATCATTTGGAATTATTATTACGATAATTCTCGCCTACCCAGCAGGGTCCTGCCATGTTTTTGCACAGTAGGGGGCGATGTTGCTACATGTTTCCGACCTGTAAGCCCAAATGAGTAATGATGTTGCGTTTCAGCATTCCGATGTTTGGCCAACCGGTTAGATTGTCTGTGTTTTATTTAGCTTTGGGGGGGGGTGGGTAAACCCATGCAGAACAGCAGGAAAGCATTTTAACATTTGCTTATGTATCCAGGAAAGCCACACTGGGTCGTAGGACTATTTTTGAAGCAGGGTCCTGCACGGGGGCGTTTTATTATTAAAATGTTTTCAGCCACATAATGACGGAGTGTTTATAACCCAAGTTTTACAGCCACGCACGCGAGGCTGCAAAACTCCATCCCCGTAGAAAAATGAAAAATAGATAGCGATTAGTCAACTTGCTGCACTGTCTTCTGGTAAGTCAGAGTGGGGAATCCCGATGCCCACGGGAAGGGAGTTTCACGACATCTGTGCCTCGCTGGAGTAGAGACCACGTGCATCAACACCGCCTGGCAGACAGACTCCACGCGGAAAGGCGCCCGAACTCGGAGTCGAACCCGGGACTTGGTGACGATTAAAACATTAATTCCCATCCAATTATCACGCAGTGTGTGAAGCACTCTGTTTATGAACCGATGCATCAATGATATATTGTAAAGTCCAATCTTGATTTGAAGCTTTCGTGACTGCAGGAATCCATACTCTTTGGGTCTTTCAGGTAAAGTCACGTAAGTAGAAAAATAATAGATCAAAATAATAGTGATCTATTAATAGATCAAAATAATAGTGATCTATTTTTTTCTACCTACGTGACTTTACCGAAAGACCCAAACAGTATATTGTAAAGTGTTGAGTGAATGCTTTTTTTTAAACAGCCTTTTGTTTTGTTATGAACAACATTAGAATACAATCCGGGGAGGTTGCTACGCACGCCTGCAATCCAGCACTGTGGAGGCAGTGAGGGTGCGGCACCTTAAATATCTAGACTACACCTGTTCCATCTGCATGGGATAGTGTTTCTCCCTCGCATGCGTAGATTTTCTCCGGATGCTCCGGTTTCCTCCCACATGTAAACAGTCATTCATTGGCTAATTACAACACCTTAACATTTAGAGCACAGCAGAGCTTTGGAAATTTTTTACGTTGCTGCCTTTCTGCCTGTCTGGCTCATCATGCCCAGGGCCGGATCAAGGTACTTGTAGGGCCTTGTTTCACGCGGTATTTCGTCCAGTCGCTGGACCGATGTCGTTACTGCCGTTACGTCTATTACTTAGTCCGTGCTCTGTGCCACAGAGAAGAAGATTTAATTTGATACACTGTGCCTATCCTTGCTGCATAAAAATACTTATTCAAGAAGATATCTTGGATACATTTTTGATCATACAAAAAAAAAACTTTTTTTCGTAGGCCCTTTTAGTTTTCGTAGGCCCTAGGCACAGTGCCTTTTGTGGCCTATTGCACTGGTCAACACACTTTTTCTGGCATAAGGTATTCCAACGGATTTAATGTAATTTTGGGGTGCTGATTCCAAATTTGGCATCAGATTTTGTCTATCACATCAGATTTGCTCGCTCACGCCACTGCTGGTCAACATTCCTACAATCTAGAGAGGGAGATATCAAATATTGCATTTTCAATAAAAACTGCAGAAGAAAAATATTTAAAAAATGTGGATATCTACATAAAATGATATTATAAACAGACTATCCTAAAAATACAGCACCATATTTTAACACTAAAGCAGTCACTGACTCGCAACAACTTGCAATCATAAGTGACAGAGTTAATTTCGGGTAAAATCAATGAAAATGGGGTATGCCGATAGCATGAAATGAAATGTGATAGAACAAATCTGAGATCAGATTTGGAATCAGCACCCTGAAATTAGTCTAAAACAGCTGCAAAAGCCCAGGCCAGAAAAAAATGTTTTTTGTTTGTTGACCTGTCGTTATCTCTCTTCGAGAGTGATGAGTGTGCTTTATAACTTGAAATTATTGCTATTATTACGTTCCTGACATGTTTTTTTACCTTTGTCACCATTCACTTGGTCATCTTGCTCGTTATCAGAACAAACAGATTTATCATGTATCTTTTGGTGGTCTCTGAGATCTGTCAGCGACCTCGATCTGGAATGCAAAAGAAGGGAAAAGCTTGAGCGAGTTTACGTTTTTTAACATTTCCAGAGACACCAAGATCTAGACCATAAACCTTGCTCTTTTGCAGAATGCTCTAAAATAGCTCTGTATTTTTTCTTCCGGTTGCACCATATTTTGTTCTGCATGATGTCTGACATGTCACTCCACGTGCCGACAGCATCTCCAGGAACCAAATAAGCTTCTTTTCCTCAAGAAGCTCTCGGCAGATGGAGCGAAACGTCGGGCGCCGTGCAGAAGAATGCGCGGTAAGACAAAACAACATGCTGAACTTAACATCATTCACTCGCCTGAACATTCTTTTAAATCTTTTCCAAATGCTCTTCGACTTCTTTGGTTGTTCCACATCATCGGCAGCATCTTCTGAACCAGGGACCGTGTCCTTGTCCTTGCCTTGTGGCTCCTCTGTGACGCTTGTGTCTGGTCGGTGTGGGACATCTAAAAAGATGAATGCGAAAAATGAAAAACAAAAACATACTTTCTGCAAATAAAGAATCAGAAGTGTTTTTTTCTAGATTTGAAGCTTTCGTGACTGCAAGGATTCGTACTCTTAGGTTTTTATCGGTAAAGTCACGTAGGTAAAAATAAATAATAGAAATAATAATAGAAATAAAATAATAAATCACAACGTTTCGGAGGCAACACAAGTCTCCGTCATCAGGTGGGACCGTCACAGCTGAATTTACTGTATTAAGCGAGGAAAAAATACAAGAGGCAAGCTCTTCAATACAAGTTAAGGGAGGGGAGGGGGGGGAGGGGCTTGTCTGAATGTGGTAGCCAGGGGTATGGCCTGATGGTCCTCGGGAGCGTTCACAAATAATAATAATTAAATATCGATTTAAAGCTTTTGTGACTGCAGGGATTCATCTTATTGGTTCTTTCAGTAAAGTCACGTAGAATGGAAATAATAAAATAATAAAAATATTAAATAATTCTCACGACGTTTCGGCCACAACGCAAGCAGCCGTCCCCAGGTGGAGAACAGGTCTGTCGAGAAGACAGAGTCTCACGTCGTGAGAATTATTTATTACGTTTTATTTTATTATTTTATTATTTCCATTCTACGTGACTTTACCGAAAGAACCAATAAGATGAATACTTAAATACCTGGTTTTGCATTTTCCTCAGCTTTTGTCGTCTTCTCAACGGATCCTTGTCCCACTGAATTTTCATCTTCTGGTTGAGATTGTTCCGGTGTCAGGCGGTCACCTCCCGCCGGAAGGTTTTCCTCGTTCTTCACCGTTCCCTGAAGTGGTTTTTGCTCGCTGGGTTTTTCCAATTCTGCTTGTGATTTTTCTTTCGACTCTTCTGCACTTTTCTCAGATTCCTTCTTTTTCTTCTTATTGTCCAGAGATATTTTCTTTTGTTAAGCATTGCACAAAAAAAAAACCCCAAAAAAACATTCTCTGGTTAGGGAGCATGTAAATAAATGACACCGCGATTCAAAATAGATTTTCGTGTCGCATCGTAAAATTTAATTACGAATCATAACGCGAATCACCAAAGGCTACGTGTTAAATTAAACAGTTCTAAAAGCTGAGTGTACTGTAATTCTAATGTCATTGTCAATCTCTGCATAAAATAACTTATTCATGAGTCAATATTAACTTCATGAAGGCAATACATTAATATTATACAGCCTCCTCCTTTATTAGAATGATTACCTCATAGGCGGGTCATCCAGATGATTTCTAGCATTTTCATAACCTTGAAATTTAAGTATATGAGTAAAATCGAAGTATATTCAGGCAACATACTTCCTAGAACCAATACGATCCTAGAAAGTACGTGACTGATTTCAGCTGCATGAAATCAGTTTTTTTTCCAGGTATTTTGCTAAAAATGTGTGGATGCCTCTAAAAGTCAACAACAATGGGGCAAATTGCCAATGTGATGCATTTCAGCTTTTTCCCCTCTCAATTGTGAATGTGGGCCCACTAAAGGCTGCATTGACCTAAACTGTAAATTCCACTCAAGATAAAATCAGGGCAGATGCGTCACATTCTTACAAATTTTTTTTTTAAACCGTACCGCGGTGCACAAACACTCTTACAAAAACACAGAACAGGTTCGGTCAACTCTGTCGAGTTTTCTCACTCGAAGTTTGCTGGACATTGCAGCCCAAGCCAGTATCTGCAGTGCACAAACATTCTTACAATAAATGTTAAATACCGTACCACAGTCTGCCGCATCTTCTCAAACATTCTTTTTCTCGTGCTGAAGGTCGGACTCTTCCGAAAGCAGAAATGTGGTTTGCAGTAAAACTTTTCTGTGGTAAAACAAAAAGTAAAAACTCGTCCAGAAAGAAACACAAACATTAAGTAACTGAAGTAAGGCTCAGTTGTGGCAATGTGAAGGTTTAAACAAGGAATAAAAATTATGCACAGGCATGGCTTCCGTAACACTTTGCAAACGTGCGTTTGTCCCCCAGTATTTAATTAGACGTGACAAAAATGCTGTGACAAAAGTGGCGTCATCGGTTATGGAGGCGCGAGCGTGGTGCGTGATGTCGTCGCATTGGTAGCAGAGGCTTCTTCATCATTACTGGGTTTATTTTTTTACTTATCATCAAGTTTTGGATAAGCCTTTGATGATTTTTCCATTGTTTTCTTGAAGGCAAGTCCCTAATTCCAACGCAACTTTGCACTCACGTTTAATTTACACTTTATCTTGTTCATGAACGCGATTGTGACCGCACGTTACAGAGAGACGGAGAACAAGCAGGGCTAACGCACGTCCCACACAGCTGTGCAATTAAAGCGTGAAGAAAACACAGAGTGAAATACACGCGCTCATAACGACGGTGCTTTGGTGGATATACCAGCAAGAGGAATTCTGTGCAGGATACATTTATAGAACACGTGCCAGTTAGACATCGTACGGATGACGATGAGGATGCTGCTTTGATATACGGCATAGTTCAGAAACATGGTCATTCACATTTTGATTTAAAGCTTTCGTGACTGCAGGGATTCATCTTCTTGGTTCTTTCGGTAAAGTCACGTAGAATTATGAGGGTTTTTTCTTTTTATACAAAAGCTGAGAAGCATGCAAACGTAGCATGGATAGATGCTTGCTTGAAATTACATTGAGAGAGAGAAAAATATAAACACGTGGCTTAAAGAGCATACGCAGGTCAAAGACATAATTCAAGATATTAATCCAATTTATATTTCTAGAGTGACTTCACTCAAGGAGCTTGACATGGCTTACCAAACGGTGACAGAATGGAATGGTGATGTAGTTGGCAGGAGGATACGAGGATTGAACAATGCGTGACAGCCATAGAGGGATACTTAGGGGTCACGAAAGGGTGGGAGAGGGGGGACGAGGAGGAGTGGAGGAGGGGCGAGGGAAGAGGAAGAAAATGGGCAATAGGGAAGATGTGATCTGCTTAATGTACAGGGGAAGTTGATTCCACTGGAGGGGTGGCACAGAGGTAGAAGCACCGTAACACGTGATTTGGTACAGGGAGAAGGAGGGACAGAGAGAGAGAAGATTGGGAACGAACAGGACGAGAGGGGACACGGAAGGAGATGAGAGAGGCAAGATGAGGTGGGGGCAAGGCCATGAAGAGAATTAAAGACTGTCGCCATGAAATTAAGTGCGCTTGGGCAGGGCACGTCAGGGCCAGCGGTGGCGATGATCGCCGGTGGCCGAGACTAACGAGGGAGTGGAAGCCAAGGGAGGGAACACGCCCGGGGGCGGTGAGGGGGTATCATCCGCGAAGATGCCGCGATGAGACTGGGGACCTCTAGAGCGGGACCGCGTCCAAGGAGGTCACCTTCCTCGTCGTCGAAGGCAAAGTCTCCGAGGTGCAGGGCGGCCTCGCAGTGGCTGCACCGGAAGCACTCGCGGTGGAAGAACTTCCCCTCGGCGCTCAGTCGCTGCAGCACGTACACGTGCTGCTCGCAGAAGAAGCACACGCTGCTCTGCGGCTCCCTCCTCAACGTCTTCTGCGACGATGACGACCGCTCGATGGAGGACTGCTGCGGTGGCTGTGGCTGTGGCAGCGGCCGAGCAAAAAGGACTCGAGTTAAAAAAAAAAACACCGAGCACTGTTTTATGTTCCACCATCCACCCGCCGTCCGCCACACAGAGGGGTCAACTTATTCTCTCAACACAAAGCCAAAGGGGGTGACGCTTGCCGCGGTGTTAACGGTCAGCGCACTGGACTTGCACTCACTCCGGAGGTCGCCGGTTCGAGTCGATCCCCCGGAGGAGCGATTCAAATGATGGTAAAAGTTTCTTAAATCTCCGGTCGGTACCCACCCCTCCCCCCACCACCATTCTCGCAGCCTCTGTCCACCCGGTAGCGTAAATGGGTTCAAGCGCAGTTGCTCGATCGGTAGGTTGCATGCAGTGGAGGTAAAGTGCGGCTGCTCCCGATTCAAGAGCCGAATGGCTCACAGGGCTATACCTAATAAATGAACTTGAACTCCCACTTCTGCCATTAGAGATGCCTGGCCAGTGAGGAAGAGTGGGCCGAAATTTCCTCTCAAAGGGCTTCCTCGGGCTCCCCTCTCTAGATTGGAGGAATGTTGACCAGCAGTGGCGTGAGCGACCAATTTTCTGGGCTCCACCTTTACCTTTTTACGAAGCCAACGCAACATCCGTCAAAATAAAATTGAGGGGCGTACACACGGTGCTTTTAGCGGACACGTCATCAAGGAACGAGCGATGCTGTCCAAGGATGCGCTTCGGGAACATCGACGGGTTAGAGACAATCGGATGAAACGTGAAGAAGAGGAAGTGGGGGCTTGGGCAGAACGAGTCGCGGGAAAGAAGCGATGGCCGGTGGCTGAGACTAACGTCTGCAGAACTTATTTTCGCCCCGTATGTAGCCAACTGCGTTAAATCGGACGACAGAGTGGCAAAATAAAAATCGTGCGCCGCTGGTGCGGTGTGTTGATTACACCGCACCTCCGATTAGCATGGTTGGTAACGTACGATGCGAAAGAGGTTCAACATACATACTGCTCAGAGACGGTCTTGAATTACGCGTTGACAATTGGTTTCCCTTGCTGCAGCTGAGAGCAACACCATGATCACCATGTCCATTCGAATCACAATACCAGCTACAAGCACACGTTACAAGTAACACAATCTGCCCTATACACACACCAAGGATAAAAGCATACTTAGCTAGAACTTTGTTCTTTGCCTCCACATATAAATGAAAATGTCTCAGCCTAGCAGTCTATTGGCTTTCCAGAACAATATCAGCAAGCACCACGTGTTTAAGCAAGCAAACTCTTTAACCAGTTTCCCGTCTTCGGCATCTCATCAGCAGTCAGGGTTGTTAAGCAAATGCTGCTGGACTACTAGATGTAGGGGTGCTACGGTGGCGAGATGTTAACTACCTCGCCTGGTATACAGGAGGTTGTGGATTCGATCCCGATGCCGGTATATTTGGAGTTTGCATGTTCTCCCCATGCTCGCATGGATTTTTTTGTCCGGGTCATCTGGCTTTTCCCTCCACATTTAGAATCATGCGTTTAGAGTATTTGGCTGCTAGAAATTTCCAAATGATAAGCCGCTTCGTCAAGCTATCATTTGTGATAGCCAAGTCGCTTATGAAATAAAGCCATATATAGCTCAGTGGGCCTTACCTGATATGAAAAAAATTTTACTTGCAAGAAAACTCCCAATAAACAATGGTTGCCTGGCTGTCTCAGGCAGCGAGGTGTGGCGCGTGACACTCTACCTCGCCAGAGTCGTCGTCCTGTGTGGCTCCAGCCTGACTGGAGGTGGACGGCAGCTTCTTACGGATCGCTGGGACAGGTTTTACGTTGTCCTTCGTTTGGCTCGATGTGTCCGCGCCGATGGCATCCTTTACGCAACAGCGCAAGTGCATGCGTGTGTGTGTGCGCGAGCGAACGGTTAGACTCCTGCGGTAGCGTCGTGCGAATTACGTTCACGATTGTCAAAGGGGTGCACTGCGCGATACGTTTGTTTGTTTGTTAATCCACTGCTGGGACGACGAGGGGGCATCGCCCACGCCCCGAGAGTCGTGCGGCAGGTTACGTCACCGTACTTCACCGTGCTCGTCAGGGGGGGTTGGTGAAGACCGGGAGTGTGGATGTCGGAACATTGCACAGAACAACAATGCTGCAAGGACCTCAACAACGACTTATCCCCCACGTTTTGTAAAAACTTTAAAGTTTTGTTGAACAAAAAGGTGTGTTAAAGGCATTTAACGGTGTACTCCAATAGAATTCCCTCCCCATCGGAGGGAGGGGGGGCTCTTTATTCTCGAGGGAATCTCTCGTGCTCCGACCAGTGGAGGGCCAATTCATTTCGTGGCTGCGCCGTTACAAATGATCTAACAATCAAAACGCCACCCGTACCTTCATGGTTGGGGGTTTGTGGCAGCGTTGTGCGACGCATAGGGGCCCAGTCGGCCACAAGGGGGCCCCGAATCAACAAAATAAAACAAAATTTAAGAAAAAGTTTAAAAAATATAAAAACATGTGCTCATCAAAAATAACCTGCGGTCTACTATGGACCAAGCCCAATCAACCCATCTGGCTATCGTATCAATAGAGCAGTATAAAGTTGCGCTATCCACCCCCTTTGAGAAAATCCTAGACCGATGGGGCCGGCATGAATGTAAGATGCACGATAACTTAATTGTGAGTATTGTTACCTTTAAATCAGTTTTTTTTATTAATTCCTGCCACTGAGACTTGTCTTTCTCTAGACCCTATACACGGTGCCACTAACATTATATACAGGGCGCTTAAAAAAATATTTTGCAACAACACCACAATAAATGTGCCTCTGGCCTCTGGAGACCACCTGGACAAGATTCCAGGCGAACACGTGGAGACTCTGTGACTTTTTGAAGCTCTTCACATACATTTGTTATCATGTTACAGTGTATTATACGTTCTTTTTCCATTAAAAACAATAGTCCCATATAAGAGTTAAAACATTTTTGAAGCACTCTGTATATAGCCTACATATTATTGTATATGGGTTAAAAACATCCGTAGCTATTTCGTAAAAGTGAGTCGGGAGAAAGGAAGGGGGCCCACAGTGTTATCGTGCATACCTTTGTTATTTTCTTTGAACCTATCTACGTGACTTTACCGAAAGACCCAAAAATATTAATTCCTGCAGTCACGAAAGCTTTAAGTCAAGATTCATACCTCCCCCGTTGAAATTGGGAGTGGCGCCCCTGCATACCTTATTTGGAGTTTCCTCGCCACGTTTCGGCTTCCTCACGGCATTTCTCCGTGACCCCTCCTGGGAAAGACAACATCAATAGGAATTCAGTATCTCCACGATATCCCTCTAGCACGCTGCTTCGTCCAATTGCATCCGTTCGCGAACAGTAAAAAAAAAACAGAGTGGGAAAAAAGTAATGCATTGGTTCGTGGAAAATCTGCTGTCCTGGTGGTCTCATTTTAAAATGCATGGGTGTAATTGAAAACTCAATGCAGTATTAACACTTTGGGTTTTGCGACCAATATTATCCATAATGGAGCTTTTTTTGGGTAGGATCACGTAAATATAAATGTGTTATTAAACCTGCCACCACCCAACCGAAACAGGTTTTCTCCACAATTCTGGCTGTCGCCTGATGATGCTAGGTTGTAATTTGTGGCGAATGTTGCGAGTTTACTCTCCAACACACCAGTGTGCTGTACTAGTAACGAACTAGCATGTTCTGTTTACATGACAAACCTTTATAATTGGCTACATCGGTTGATGGCGGATTTAACGACACATTTATATTTACATGATTGAACCCAAAAACCTCTATTATGGATCACTGTAGTATAACGTCGATTAAACCACCACATAACCGACCGCCACACATCCGACCGCCACAAATCCGACTACCACACGTCCGACCAACTAACCGCCCCTCAACACAGTTCTGGGAAAATGGCTTCCTGCCACGTCTGCAGCAGCTAGGCAGAGGCAGCGGGCAGCCCGAGGCAGGCCCAGCACTACGAACATCTCCGTTCCGTCGTGGGTTAACGTGGCTGCAATACCACAGAGATGCTTCATGCAAAGCACACGGGTGACTTCTTGAAGAGTCAAGAAGCCATTAAAATGTAACTTATTGTTGCTTTTTTTCATATATACCTTTTTATCTTTTATAGAAGGCTGATTGAATAATATTGTAAACCACGAAGTATTCTTAATAATTGTATTGCAAACCACACAGTATTCTTCGTAAGCATTTTGCCACATTCAAAACGGTTTGCGCTTTCGGTTTTGTCCAGCAATCCTATTTGTGCAAGGCGTTACCGCCATTTTCAATGGATGTTCACGCATCTGACCTTTTCACATGGCACGCCTAACACGCAACTCAAAATCCACACCGCAGACTCACAATGCTTCGTCACAGTGGGCAGGTGCACCCATGTAAACAGATTTCCATGGCTGAAGGGATAATGTTTGGTTGGGCACTGTGGTCGATGCGCTCCGCTGTTACATTTTTTCACGCAATCAGTGATGAATATGCTCGTCGACGGAGTGAGCTTTTTCTTTTTACAGTCAACGGTGACTGCGAGTGGATGAACATCATCAAGGCTGGCGATGAATGCAACTACCGAGCGAAGATGAAAGCGCGATCAAAAGTTAGAGACAAAATTAACTAATCAAGACGGCAGATCGAGATAACTTGGTCAAGTTTGCAGAGACTGCATGGCGCTGAGAGAATGATCAAACATTTTCATCGGATGTACATCATAATTTTTTTACCGAGTTTACTAACTGTCTAGGATGGGGCAGGAGCAATGCATGCCCCTCACACCGACATTTAATAACTGAGAGTGAACTGCATCGTTGACCTGCTTCAATCGTGGAAACCAAACTAACCAAACTAATGAATCCACAGACTAAGACTACGACAACCATTGGGAATGATGACTACTTTACCCACCGGCGTTGTTGTGCCGTGTTGGTCACAAGGACCCAGCCTTACCAACGACTTCCGCCTCTTGTAGAAGGTCTGCCTGAGCTTGCTGGCGAGGACGAGCGGCGAGTTGGACTTGATGGTGGTGCGCTTCCTGCTGATGGCTGGCAACCCGCCGGCACAACAACGTGCAGAGACGCACAACACAAATCGTTAACACTTGCAGCCGATGTGGTCGGCACTTCCTGGACTATTCACACACCGATTATACACTATGTAACACGATTTTTGTTCCTGGGTAGTAAGTGTTATTTTCCAAATGCTTATGCCTCAAAAGTATAGAAAATACCAGGACTTTATGTGAAGGAATAACACAAATGCACACGTTTTTTCATTGAAAATAGGGACATTTCAAAATATCACTGTCCTGGTCACAAAAGCAAAGTTTGCGAGGAATAATAGCCATTTTCCGTACTTTTGAGGCATAAGCATTTAGAAAATAACACCAGGAACAAAAAATAAATCGCTAAGATGCGGATATCGATGCAACCGGTTGCCAGCGACCGGTCTCTTGCAGTAGAAACAGCCTCTCCTCGCGATCGAGCACAGTCGCGACCGCGACCTCTCCGTTTAATGTCCTCGCTGCGCGACTCCACCTCGCTCAGATGTGGACCCGGCTGCCGCAGGACATGAATCCTGACTCTTTCCCCGTTCCGATGACGTGCGTGTACGTCATCGGTTTTTCTTCCGATTCCGTTCCGGTGACGTACGTAGGTGTACATCATCAAACACGAAACCGGAAGACAAACTGACAGAAAACAACTTTATCGGTGCCGACGCTGCCACAAGGCCACTGCGGGAGCGCGTGCGGCACAGTTTGGCACCAGCTATCGTAGAGCGCGGTCGTGTCGCTACAGTTCTCTGCGGTGAGCACGATGTTTGTAAAAACAACGGCGTTACTGCGCCCCTCTAAGTAAAACGAACGAGACACCGCGCACCCCGTGACGTATAGATGTCCCGGAACGGCAAAGAGTTAATTTTTTTCTCGGGCGGTGTCTAGGGGCCCGCGGCGGGCGTGGGCTCAAGAGACCTGCGGTCGGCGGAGGGGTGTTGCCCAGCAGGTTGTAGAAGCGGGTGAGGTACGCCACCATGGCCAGCAGGTCAGGCCCGCCGTCCTGGCACCCCATCTCCTCGGCCGTGGTGATGGGCGCGATGCCCAGCTCCCGCTCCGCCACTTCGAACGCCTGCCGGTTGTTCTCCACAGCGTTCTCCGCGTCTAGTTTGATGAACTCGCTGCGGGAGAGAAACGCCGGGGGGCATGGGGACGGGGGTGTTATTTTTTATTGCCGCTGATTTTTAGCCAACGTGCTTACGTACGTGTTGAACTATCTGTCGAACCGTGCATAGCCGACCGCGCTAATCGGAGGTGCGGGATATTATGCTCGTGTTTTTTATCTGGAGAAACCCCAAGGAGAGGACGTGCAAAACTCTACACGGAAAGGCAATCCCCGAGTCGGAAATCAAAACCCAGGCAGTTCTTGTTGTGAGGCACAAGTGTTACCACTGCACCACCCTTCTTCCTACGTGGGGCCTACGGGAAGGCTGCATCATCTGGTTGCCATGGTGGCGAGATGTTAACTACCTCGCTTGGTATGCAGGATGTCGTGGGTTCCATCCCGACCCTGACGCCTGCTGTATATATGGAGTTTACGTGTCTCTCTCGTGTAAGTATGAACGTGTCATATCCCTCCACCACCCAACACAGCCAGTAAAGTTTATCACATAAACGTGCCAATTAGTTACTACTTCAACCCATCGGTGTGTTGGAGAGTGAATCCACAACATTTAAAATTTGAGTAGTACAACGTTTTTCTGGTAATTACATCCAGCATCATCGGGCAATTTGCCGGAATAGTGAAGCCATCCACCTGTGTTACTGATTGGCCGTGTCAGGTGGTGGAGGGTTTCGACACATTTATACTTACGCGATCTAACCCAAGAAACTTTTATTATGGGCGGTAAATCGTTAGGATATTCCGTAACATAACGGCAGGCGGCACTCACATGAGGTCGGGATGGAACCTGTGGATGAGGGCGCAGAGCGCGAGGCCGTCCTGCCAGGAAGTGGTGAGGTCCGTGATGTTCACGCCCGGGTAACCCCGAGTGCACTCCTGGCACCACCTGATCAGCTTGTCGCGCCGCAACGCCGGCACGGGTTTTGGCCTCGCGGGGTCGCACACTGGGACGGTGGGAGGAGTCGGCAGGGGGGGGGGGGGCAGCCGTGAATGGAATTAATGTGACGTGCAATTTTTTGAGTGGAAGCAGCGTGAAAAGCTACCGGCTTGAGATCAAGAACAAGCTGGGCTGCTCGAAACGTTTTGGACAAGAGTGGTGGAATATAAGGTGCGTTATTCGAGGCGTCTGGGCATCAATCGGTAAGTTGGAGGTTTAACCGTGTAGTTACGAGTGGATTAATAGAACCCAGGAGAATTTATATTTGTAATCGTGTGGCAGCTAATCTTAGCTCGGGTGGTTTGTAAAATATAATAATGCACAAGCACAAACAAATAGCCGAAGGTCACATCAGCCATAATGTGCCCGATCTCGTCATTTTTCAGAAGCTAAGTAGATTTGAGCCCAGAATGAATGGTTGACCACCATGCATAACTGGTGTTACAGGCTGCCGTAGGACTGCATTGTGGGAAATACACTTCAATCCCCCCACGTTTACGATCCCAACCTTCACCAACCCGCACCTGACCAGCAAGATGAAGTGTGGTCATACAACTCCCAGGAACGATACGGCCTAAGGAGGCCTTAACCTAGGAGTGGAAGACTTTTACTCACCGCTTTCGGCCGGTATTGGTTCTTCAGTTTTCTTCAGCGCCTTGTCGGCGCCTTGCGATTTTTTCTGACCGATGTACAGAGGAGCGACCTACAGACAACGGGGAACTCTCTGATGTCGTTTTTGAACCAGGCGAGAACGAGAGAGCAGGAAAGAGTCTCATTTTTGCCAGTGAAATGGAGCATTCGTCTGCTGGTAGGAGGCGGTGATTGCTGCTGCTACGTGTATAATCCCCGATGTAGTAAATTGCAGTTGTAATTCACACATTTTTTGTCAAGTGCTTTGACCCAGACGCCGGCGCACAAGTGGCCCACTCTCGTGACTGGCGTCAAGGGATCTTTAACGTCCACCGTGAAGCAGACGGCACGTAGTATCCTGAGTATTATTACAGTAAATCACACACCGCAGTAATAACCAGGGCGGCAGGCTGGACTGGAACCACGAACCCCCGCAACTGGGGGCTCCGAAAAGTTAACGATTCGGACCACCTCAGACTCACGCGGCACCGACTTGTGATCACATTTGGTTGAGATAAATCGCACGCAATGGAAATTGCAAATCGTTGCACACCATCACGACTGATCTCGTGTTTCTAGACATTTCCATCTCACTTGAAAAGCAGACACATCCACAAGTGGAAAGAAGGTCAACCCTCGATTATCCGACATGATAATACAAAAACACTAATAATTTCAAGCAATTTAAACACGTAGGATTTCTCGACCAATATCCATAAGAGGTTTTTGGGTTAGATCGCGTAAATATAAATGTGTCGTTAAACCTGCCACCACCTGACAGTGTTGTGGGTTTACTCTCCAACACACCGGTGTACTGAACTCGTAACGAATTGGCATGTTTTGTATTGAATTAAATGATGACGTCACCCTGCTGCTGCTCTATTTAAGACCGGGAGCAAGAGGAGAGCCTCACCATTCTGGCAAATCGCCCGATGAAGCTGGATGTAATTACCAGCGAAACGTCGTACTAACATTTTAAAATGATGTTGATTCGCTCTTCAACACACCGGTGGGCTAAAGAAGTGAATTATTTTGTCCTTTGTAAACGTGACAAATGTTTTACTGTTTGGCCGTGTCAGGTGGTGGAGGGTTACGACACATTTATAAATAACGCGATCTAAACCTAAAAACTTTATTATGAATGTTTTGTTCACATGACTAACCTCACTAATTGGCCGTGTCGGGTGGTGGCGGGTTTAACGACACATTTATATTTCGCAATCTGACCCAAAAAAACGTCTATTATGGAATTTCAAGCAAATGTAATTTAGGCTATAGCAATATATTTAGTTCATATTTATTTCTTACTAACAATAAATACAAAATATTGCGTACGAACAATAGATATTATTCATCTATCCAGTTTTTATTCACCGAATGCTATTTATTATTTGTTCTTCATATATTTATTGTCATTTGTCTTCAAAGAATCGGCTTGCTTGCCAAGAATCGTGCGGTCAGCTGGGCATCCGAGTCGCTGACCCTCGACCCCCCGACGAGTCGCGAGCAGCCAATAGGATAAGGAGACGGGCGCCCTTGATCCGCGACCCCGGGTAATTGACGCGCAAGTAAAAGATGAACCGATCGCGCACTCTTGCGTGCGTATCCCTCTGACCTGCTGGGGTCGGCAGGCGTTTAGGTTGAGGTTGGTGTAGCGCATCGCTGGGTTGATGCTGAAGTTCTTCGTGCTTGATTTGATGTTGTTCGAAGATGTCTGTGCCAGCAGCTTGAACACGCTCTCCCTGAAGGCGTCAGAAGAAACAACAACTTACACACTCATACTCTTAGTTGTTTCGGTAAAGTCACGTCATTTTTTACCTACGTGACTTTACCGAAAAAACTAAGAGTATGAATCCTTCCAGTCACGAAAGCTTCAAATCTAGAATTAAAAACTTACACGTTCGATTTGTAATGCCACTCAAGTACAATTTCAGATCGTTTCAGTCCATTATATAAATAAGTTGTATTCTGAGGTTCCCAGGTGGATGTCAACTGAGCTGTACATGCATACGGACGTACGTACACATGTGAGTTTTCTCCAGGCACTCCGAATTGCTCTCACGTTTATAAATACTCGTGAACGGAGTTGGCCAAACATCCCCGAGTATAGGATCACAGAGCTTGGGCAACATTGTTGGCACCGGCTGTGAACGCGCTCCCACTCATCTGTGATTGTCCGCGCGTTACAAATTCTAAGGCGGTTTGAGATGTAAATTTGCATGAATGGCACCATAAATATATATTTAAAAAATCATGATAATTACCATTGTCGTATTTACCTGCATATTACACATTCGTGTGTGTATGTATGTATGTTTTCTTGAAGGAAAGTCCTTAATTGCAACTCAACTTTATACTAACGTTTAATTTATATTCAATCATCTTTAAGTATGTATGCTGAACTTCTTTTAGGCAAGGACAACAAACTAAACACAAAAAAGCAGTTCTGAGAGAAATGCGATTTAAAAAAATCTAGATTTAAAAAGCACACAAAAAACCCACAGAAATACAATCGTAAGGGTTGTGACATGAACTAAAAAAGCCGCCTTGCCTTTCAGCCAGCAGCTTCAGAGGAGGTTTCCCCTTTGCCCAGCCCACCACCATCCAGGCCATGTCGAACGCGGCCAGAAACCCGCGGGCGCAGCCTGTGCCCAGTGGCCAGAAGGGCTGCACGCAACAACGGCGAGACGAAAAACGACGATGGGTGTCAAGTTAAGCGAAGTCGCCCCCCTCCCACGTTCGGAAGGCCGCACGAAGAAGACGCTCCCGAGGGTGACGTGAAGGCGAGCGCACAGACACGTGGGTGGGGGGGGGGGGGTGGTCTCCGTGAGATGCCCATCTTGCGTGGCACGGCGGCACGTCAAGTACGGTGGGACAGCAGGGGGTGACTGCAGGTCAAGGTCAGCGGCCGCCCTGTTTAGTTCTTAGACCGTGAATCGCGTGGTGTCCGCTTTGCGGCGTACGTTAAAACATCCCGTTATTTGACAGAGGGCAGGCAACGTGTGCGGGCCTCGTGACACCAAATTACATGGACCAGTCGCGAATCGCTTCATTGAGAAGCCACGCAGCAACATCACCACCCCCCGGTTGGCAAACTGCCCAATCGCCGGTCACTGCTGCTGTAACCTTTACACTCGTAGGGACAGCTGCCACAGGACGGTGAGGGGAATGGGGCGGAGAGGGTCCCCTGCCACAGGGCGATGATTACGACGCTGGTGGTAGTGGCGGTGGTGGGCAGCATGCAGCTTGGCAGTAAACAGTCTGCCTCAGCAGCAGACCATGCTTTCCCACCTGATGACGGACGCTTGTGTCGCGCCCGAAACGTCGTGATTTATTTTATTTTATACCTACGTGACTTTACCGAAAGAACCAATGAGTATAGTAGTGTAGTGGTCAGCACGCTGCAAAGTTCAATTCCTGCTCACGGCCATCACCGGTGACGATTATCTGAACCGGCCATAGGCCTTCCCTAGGTTGACTCAGCCTCAAATGAGTACCTGGCACGGTGTGCAAACATCACCACTGGGGGGAAGACACAGGCAGGCCGGGGTGTGGTGCTGGCCATCCAGCCCTTCGTGTTTCCGCGCCGGCCTTCATTAGGTGCTACTGGTGTTAGCCACCCACCCCGAAAGGTCCGGTCTAGGGCCTACGTGGGGGGACCTTTCCTCTTCGTCGTTGGTGGGGCAGCCGCGCACGCGCGCAGCTCTGCGCCGCTCACCTCCAGCAAGCTGTCCCCCACGAGGCCCAGCAGCAGCCGCGTGCCGTGCACCTCGCGCACCAGGGACGAGTGCTCGCCCTGGCGCATGCACGTGAAGTCGAAGACGGCCACGTCGGCGTCGCCCCGGCCGTTCCTGGCGAAGTCGAGCCGCGGCAGGCTGTTGTCCGTCGAGTAGTTGGCGGCCTCGAGCGCGAACTTCTGCAGCGCCTCCTTGTTCACGTTCTCGGGCGACAGCAGCTTGTCGGCGTCCTTCTGGTCCTGCGGATTTGGCCGCGCGACGAGCGTGGGTTTCCGTCGGCGTGTGTGTGTGCATGCGCGTGCGCGTGCATTGAACTTCTTTTGCAAAGTACGGAGCCAACCGCCAGTAATCGGAGGTGTGGGGGACGGACAACAAACTAAACACAAAACGCAGTTCTAAAGAAGTGAGTTTTAAACCTAGATTTAAAAGTGCATACGCTGCCAGCAAGGGGGCAGTGCAGTAAAATACATTGTTGTCCTGTACTATGCTTCAACATCTATGCTCCCTGCCTTCGCCAACCACATTGACCGGCATGATGAAGGTACGGTCAAATAATCACCGCGAGCCGCGCAGAGCGGTGAGCCTGTCATCCAGCAGCGGATGACAAACGGTCTGTGCATGCACAGTACATTCGTATACAAAGATCCCACCCCCGTATAGTCGTGAGAGACCGCTGGAGCAAGCGCTGCGAGCAAGAACTGACGAAAGGCCGGCACGGCACACGAGGAGGCGATGTTAGCCGGGCGACGATTTAACTGCCCGCGAAGCGACGCTAACGGTGGTGTACGAGGCGCGTGCGTGTCACGCGTCCCTTCTGTCTGGCCACTTTCTGGTGAAGGGGGAACCAGCTGCAAGACTGATACATCACTCGCCACTGGCATTAGCCACGGTCAGGAATCTAACGTAGGCAAATGGGGTTCACGGCGCCGTTCAGCGCCCCACCTCCACCACCCTGTTAACTTTGACATTTGTGTGTGCTCGTTAACAGCACTTGCCCCAACAGTCCGTTAAGGCTTTACGGATGATCTTTGTCTTTGTATATGAATGTTGGGCAGTGGTAGTGTAGCGGTTGGCGCACTGCCCTACGAACCCGGCAACCCGAGTTTGATTCCCGCCCATGGCCAACGCCAGTGACGATTATTTGAACCGGTCATGGGCATCCCCTAGTTAGACTCAGCTTAAAGTGAGTACTTGGTGCAGTGTTTAAACATGGCTACTTGGGTGACAAAAGGCAGCCAGCGTGATGCCAGCAACCCCCTCGTGTGCCATGTCTGTCTTCGTTGGTTCTCGCCAACAGCGCTTCTGTCTGTTTAGACTATATGGGGGTTATTTGTATATGAACGGATTACATATGTACAGCCCGTTTGTCCTTCACTGCTGGATGAGGTGCTCACCGCTCTGTGCGGCTCAAGATGATTATTTGACCGTACCTTCGCCATACTGGCAGGGGGCATAGACGTCAGAGTGTAGTACAGGACAACAATGTATTTTACTGCACCTTCCCCTTGCCAACTTCCCCGGGGCCTACGCGGTGAAGATCGCGTTCGTACTGACGAGACAATCCTACGGTGGGGACTGCTGCATGAGAAAGCAATTTCCTATTTTAATGGCTCGTGACAACCCAAGCGGTTATTGTTTAACAGACTTTGGCCACCGTAACATCTACAAATGGTCAGTAATAAAACAATGGCAACAATACCAGCTCTGCAACTATTGTAGCTGCTGCTCTGTGTCCTGTAACGCTACGCCAGCCGCCCACGTGAATGCATTGCAGAGCCCTACGTCCGGTATCGACGTTTTCTTACGTAGCAACCTGGGTGCCGCTCACAATCAGAGCGTGCAGGAGGGATTGGAGATGCTCAAGTGCGATGAGAAAACATCCCAAAGCTTCAACGCGAGTGAAATGTCGGCGTACTCACCTGCTTCAAGACTTTTTTTTCCAACAGGCTCTGCTTCTTTGCCGTCATCACAAAGTAGTGAGTGTCGCCCTTGTAATAGACGATGTTCTCCAAGCTGATGCCTGCAGAATTGTACAGGTGTGCAATTATTTACGCGCAAAATGGCGATGGTAACGCCGCGTGCGCGCCTCAGGAAGCGTCACCGAATCTTAAGGTTTTTTGTAAGGCAAAATATATATTTAATTGTAAAATAAATAACGTTTTATACTCGAGAATAGCATGCATTCCATTTTCGTATAGCCTGCAAAGTACCCACAGCTATCAGTAATATTTATCAAGCCTAATAGCAATGGCTGTATTAGTATTACATGGCTAGATAGCCTAACAGCGATGGCTATGGTTGCTGCCAAGGCCTATACGGATCTATCATGAACGCCGCCACATTATTTACCATCATTGGATATTCTGCACTGATGCACCAAACAAATATGCGCAGAAATTCACGGAAGGGAGACATGGGGCAATCTGCGGGGAAGATTTTAACAACCACTGTCAGTGGGCACTCGCAAATGCCCAGTCACAAGCGCTTATTTACATCGGGGGGTGGGGGCGACCTATGGTGCACACAGGCTGCATGCGGCCCACAACTCACCTCATTTAACGTGACCCGCAGCGATACGAGGCCTGAAAAAATCGATTGATTTGTCACCGAACGCGTCATCGCCGCGACAATCGGGTGCCAGAGGGCAATATTTTGAACCTGGAAACAGCGCCGCGTTTCGAAACTTTAGTGCCGTGCTCAGTCACCCGTAAAAGCGATATCTAATTATTATTCATCGCACTGCTATTATTGTTGTTGTTGGACAACGCTGCGTAGCGGGCTAATGTGTGGCCTGCCGAGGGTATTAAAATTCCAATTTGGCTCCGGGTGAGGGAAAAGCTTCGCCCCCAACCCCCTCCCCCGTCATTCTTTTAAACCGGTCGTGCGGCATGTCGAGGTTGATCAGTGTTGTACGAATAGAAAAAAAAGACACAAGCAGCACCACACCGGTGGCTTCGTGAAGTTCGTTGAATAGGTTCTGGTTGTAAATGGAGGCCACGCCGCTGATCTCCTTTGCCGCGATCTCTTCTTTGGTTTTGCGGTTCACAAAGTTTGCCGTGACGCCGATAGCCAGCTGCCCGCGGCACTCCTTCACTTTAAACCCTGGAAATGAGAATTTGAAATACATTAAATAAAATACAAAGATTCCCCGTAGTAGGGAGCGGTAGTGTAGCGGTTAGCGCGCTGCTCTACAAACTTGGAGGCCCGGGTTCGATTCCCGCTCATGGCCAACACCACTGACGATTTTCCGAACCGGTCCAGGTCCTTCCTTAGATCGACTCAGCCTCAAATGAGTACCTGGTGCGATGTGTAAACATCGCCACCGGGGAAACAAAGGCGGCCGGGCGTGGTGTTGGCCACCCACCCCCTCGTGTGCCGTGCCGGCCTTCATAGGTGCTGCTCGCTAACAGCACTTGCCCCAACAGTTAAAATAGATCACCCGCACGCAACATTGTCACACCAGTGACCACAGCTCTCTGAATGCACCCGATCTTATCTGGTCTCAGAAAGGTAATAAGCGACACTGAACATAGGTGATGCTTGCACGGGGTGAGCGCCGTGCATGGAAGAAGACGTCAGGGGCTACGTGGTGGGCATTAGAGGTCAGTTACAGGAAATGTCCATCGTTGTTCTGTACTTCTATGCTGCTACTTTTAAGCTGGAAACCCAGTAAATAACTGAACCTGGCCATGGGCCCAAGAGTCGGCAACCTCATGGTTAAACATCTTAAATCGTCGGAATAGCATATGGTGTGTCATTTTGAGGATAATTATCTATAGTTTTAGAAACTATAGAATGAGCCAGTGGTTTGACGCGGACGCAAATGTATGCAGGATGGATGAAAAATTCAATTAGTCTCGGTACATGAGTATTTTCTCCTCTCTCAAGAAAAGTGAATGCATCATTTCTATCGGACTTACAGCCCTACACAAATAGCAGCTTCACTATTATACTGCTCTAACAATTACCCAGATGGTTACAGCGTCCGAAATGTATGTCTAAAATCGCTTCATCTCCTCTCACGTGAAACAAAAGATAAATTAAATAGAAATATTGGATTGTTACACCGAAAACCCCATCAGAGAGTCTGTCAACTTGGGGAGGCCCTCATCTAGCAGTGGATTGATCACGGCTGCTGCTGATGACGATAGACAAATCCACAAACCAGCAGTGCCAAAAAAATCGGGGTATCAGGACCAATGATTAAAACAAAGTATATTTTCAACAACAATATTATTTGATAATTGGCTTTTTACCCTTCTATCTGGCAACAAAACTGACACCTTTTATTACAAGGAGTCATGTTTGCATAGACCACAATACCTGCAGCCATAATGCAAAAAAAAAACACAACTCTGATAATATATGCACTTTCCTTGAAGTTAATTGGTCCACACCCGAGACAGCTTTCCTTAGAGCCTAGTCTCACATGGGTTGGACCAAATGATGCCAAAAGGCGCACAACTCAAAGACAATGCACCATCAGAGTATGAGAGCTCGGGGTAAAAAAAAAGGTGTCAGTTTTGTTGCCAGATAGAAGGGTAAAAAACCAATTATCATATTTTTTACTGGCAAATGAGGTTCCAATGGGGGAACAATATTATTTGTTGAATGTTTACCGTCCAGTCTTTTTCCACCTGCTCCTCCAGCTTCAATGAGGACATCGAACTCGTATGCAGACACGGCGTGGTTGTCGGGCTTCCAGGAAGCTCTCCATCCGTGCTCTAAGAGAACAACAAAAAATGTTGGAAGTGCTCATTATTTGCATCAATTCTGGTTGACTCTATAAAACGATTCACAGTTAACAGCTGTCAGATAAATTCCCCCTTATTGTACAATGTGTGTTCATGGCATATTGCACAGGGCGTTACTATTACTGCAAAGCCCGTTAATCATTGAGCCATGCAATGCCATTTGTGTAAATATTCATTGCACAATAATAACGGGAATATTCCTGAGCCCATCAAACCCTGGAAGCTAAGCGGGGTTGAGCCTGGATATAACTTAGTTGGGCGACTGCCACAAGCACAGTAGGTAGGAAAGGCCTGTGCAGCAAAATCTGTTGCTGTTCTGTACCACACCACACCTTCACCGAGCCACAGTTACCAGCATGGCGAAGTATTGTCAAAACACATTCCTGCGGAGGGAGCTGGTAGGAACGTTGGGTTGCTCGGTCAATGGCCAGGGTCAACGGCGGCGTGGTGTATTCCGCAAATATGCCCGACTGTGAGGGCGGGCACAAGCCGGCGTGAGTAGGTTAAACGTTGAGTTTTATAAGGGCACCACGGGGTTACCAGCCCCTCCCCACCCAGCCCCTCCTCCCCATCCTCCCCATTCAGCCCCTCCCCACCCAGCCCCTCCTCCCCAACCTCCCCACCCAGCCCCTCCCCACCCTCCCCACCCAGCCCCTCCCTGCACGACGGACGGACACAATAATCCCGTGGGCTGGTGTAACCAGGAGGTTCCTACCAGTATAACCCTCACTATTCACACGGCATGGAGAGTGGATTGACAAAAACAGGCTATACATGTACAACACCAAACTATGTATTCGCATACACTGTGCACCCAAGCGCAGTTTAAAAACAAACGCGTATTTATAATATGCAAAATACAGGTCACATGTAACACTCGCACAACTGAAAGTAGGGAGGAAATGCATTGGTTGAATACTGTACCTTTAGAATTTGATTAAAAACAGAGCAGACACGGTTTACAAGTTTGTAGTCTGCAGGGATTAAAATTATCTAAACAAATTGAGTAATGTGCAGTGTGCCATTGTCTAGTCGTGTCAAAAGAATGCCGCCAAACTGGATTCCAGGGAGAGCAATGGCAACACGAGTGGAGGGAAACAGAGGAAGAGAATGATGGACCTATGTACCAGAAGAGGAGAGGAATGACTTTGACACATCATCAGCATCCGGGATATGATGATGACGATGATGAGGAGGACTGCTGCTGCTGGCAGAAATGCATGGACCTCGGTGAAGAGGCTGAACGTGTAAAAAATTAACCCGTAAAAACAAAGTTTTTCACTATCAAATCTTTATATGCGTGGCGGCTAGAGTCCTCTCGTCCTCTGGCTTGAGATGGCTGCCACCTATGGGTCAGATGATTGCATGCCACCATTAAGCAATTGGTAATTAAATATAATATTTTTGTCCTAAAAAGTGTAAAATTTTGGAAAAAATTTTTCACTAAAAGTAATTGTCACGCACAACGAGTCTGTGTGGAAAATGTCAGCTCGATTGGATCACGGGAAGTGGGTTAAAAAACGACCGAAAGATTTGCACGGTCGTAAGCAAGCAAGCAAGCAAGCACGCAAGCAAGCATGCGAACTTAATATAAAGGATTTAATAAAGGATTTAAAAAAAGGAGCGATTACTGTGCGGGACTTTCTGTAGAAAGATGGGATATCTGAGCGGCCTACTACTCACTCTTGTCCGCCGTGGGCTCCACGAGGCCGACGAACTCGGTGTTGACATGGACCTCGACACCCACCATCAGGCACAGCTTGAGCAGGATCAGCTGCAGCTGTCGAATACCTGCCAGGGATCCCAGCATTTGTGTGTTTTTATTATTGTAAACGTCGAGCAGAATTAACAAACACAAAAAACGCCGCAAAAACTCAGCAGTGCTGGGATATCGCGATGATTGAAGTCGGTGTTCTTTACGAATTGTCAGAAGGGGGCCACTTTCATCGATAAGACATCAGTGTGAGGGCTGCCACACATTTGGAACCATTGGGGTTTAACAGCAGCACGATGATGGGGGGGGGGGGTGTTGTCACGTGTTGTGTATTGTCGAGGGCCGCACGTCGGGGCCACACTAAAGGCCACCAGGGGCCGGCCGAGGCCCGTGGCCTTGCAATGAAGAGCGCCGGTTTAAGTTATGGATTGTGTGACCGATTATCACTTTAATTAGTCGACTAATCGGATGGCAAGAACATAGTTGGGACTTGCCCCAACAGTCTGTTGAGGGCTACACGGTGGATCATTCTCTGTCCTTTGATGGATGCAACTAAATACCGAAAATTATTTTTTTAAATGCGTAAAACAAATTTCACACGAATCTCTTTTCCAATGGAAAAACTACATCACAGAGCATTATAGCGTGCAAAAAGCGAAACAAATAATAATAATAAAACTGATAATTGGTTTTTTACCCTTCTATCTGGCAACAAAACTGACGCATTTTTGTTGCCAGATAGAAGGGTAAAAAACCAATTATCATATTTTTACTGGCAAATGAGGTTCCCATAGAATAATAAAACTTTTGGAGGTTCTATTTATACCAAAACATTAAAATAAATTAATTAAAATGTGATGATTATTGGTGGACTGGCTGGAAGAGCTGAAAACTTGGCCAGGAACGAAAATAAAAATAATTATTTAATTTAGCTACTGCCACTCATTAAAACCTCCCCATGGTGACAAAAGCTAGTTTGGAGCGGTGGATTTGCAACGCTGCAAACGAGATGTGTGTCTTGTACAGTGGTGGACACAGCTTGTATTCAGTACTACTCTGTCGTTGAAAATTGGCATGTGTTTCAGGATATAGAAACATCAACATCAACATATCCATTCACCAACTCCAACCTTGAACACTGCAAATACCAACTTCTGCTTTTAACATAATCGACTGCACGCCTCTCTATGTCAAAGCAAAGCCAACAACAACCGCAACACAAGCATACGTGTGTGTGGCTTGATTATTGAGCACCTTTTATGCCCGTGTAGTTGTTTTGCGAGATAGTTTGTTTATTTCCACGCCTCAAAGGTTTTTTGGCAGGAGGTGTCGGCTTTCCTGCAAGCTGCCTTTCCAATTGTTATACAGTACTACTGTACATTCTGGTCTCCTATAACGTGGTAGTTGCGTTCCTTAGGAATACCGCATGAAGGAAAAATCGCGTTATGATGAATAATATAATAATATCGTGGTATAGCACAGTCCGTGACAACGCGTGAGACGTGTACGCAGTCTGAACAAAGAGTGAGGCGTGTGGGTAGCATCTAGAAGCATGCGACACCGAGGTAGCCGCACAACCACCTATTCCTACTCACGTGACGTAGTTCCATTCACTCAATTGCGTTATATCCAATTCGCAACGCGTTATATCCAATTCGCGTGCTGAAAACACGCTTTATAGGAGAACAGACTGTAATGTGTGCAAGGCATGGATAATATAATGTTATTATTACTGCATTACATTCTTAATCTCAGGGTGTAGCCCAGGAATTATCTGCAAAACCAATATTGGCATCATGTATATTTTGGCATCATGTATATTTGGCTAGGGGCCAAGGGCCAGGGGCAAGGCAAACGACCCGTCAATTGCGTGTCACCCGTCAATTAAAAACTAAACAAAAATATCTGCACACGGTACGGTGAAAACAAATATTTCATATTTTACCAGGTAAGGCCCACTGAGCTATGTAGATCTTTTTTTCAGAAGTGACCTGGCTATCACAAATGATAGTCCAATGAAGTCGCTCATCAAATAGAAATGTATAGCAGCCAAATACTCTAAACGCAGGATTATAAACGTGGAGCGAAATACCGGAGGACCCGGAGGAAAAATCCACGCGACCACGTGGAGAGAGAGACACGCAAACTCCAAATATACAGCAGGTGTCAAGTCAGGGTTGGGATCCAACCCACGACTTCCTGCACACCCGGCGAGGGAGTTAACATCTCTCGACCGCGTCGCCCGTCACTCGAACTCCGCTGCGCGTCCCCGCGTCATCCCACGCGTCCCAAACTCGTCAACTGTGCTCGGTCCGCCTTCCGCGGTGGAAAACAAAAACAAAAAACGACTCGGCGCCCCCTTGAGCCACAGCCCGTGTCAACCGGGGTGAACCGGTGTCGTGCGCGGAGGTGCCTTCAAGTCGAAAAGACGTGGGGGCAAAACAAGGGGGGAGGGGGGACACGTACTGATGTGGTCCAATCCGCCGGTGCAGAACTGCCTGTAGAGCTTCTTGGCCCCGAGCTGTGCGAGGTCGTCGACCGTGAAGGGCCACAGGTGCAGGACGTTGTTGCGGGCGAAGACGTCCCGCTTCTCCACCAGGACGACGCGCGCGCCCAGCAGCGCCAGCTCGACGGCCACGCGCAGGCCGCACGGCCCGGCACCCACCACCAGGCTCTGCCACACGGACGCGTGCCACCGCATTCGTTGATGATGGCCGTCAACCACCACCACCAAACCCCCCCCCCCCCCCCCCACCTATCTGAAGGTCTCCAAGTTGTGCGTTTTCTGGTTTTATCCATGAGGGTTTTTTTGGGGGTGCTTGATCGCGTAAATATAAATGTGTCGTAGTAATAGGTTTTTACCCTTTTATCTGGTACAAAAACTGACAGCTTTATACAAGGGATCATGTTTGCAATAACTGCTTGTGTTGTGGTTATTGCAAACATGATCCCTTGTATAAAGGTGTCAGTTTTTGTACCAGATAAAAGGGTAAAAACCTATTAATATATTTTGCTACTGGTAAAGGAGGTCTCATAGTATAAATGTGTCGTTAAATTCACCACCAACCGACACAGCCAATTAGTAAGGTTTGTGATTTAAACAGAACGTGCCAATTCGTTACTAGTACAGCACTTATCGGTGTGTTGAATAAACCCACACCATTTACAATTCAAGTAATGGTTCAGTTTGTTGTTGTCCTTCCCCCGCACCTCCGATTAGCACGGTTGGCTACGTATGGTGCGAAAGAAGATCAACATAAATACCGCAACGACACATTGGAGGAGGCGTCCCCATAAATACGTATGTTGAATCATCCCGTACCGTCCAGCGTAAAAGAATGGTCAAAAAAACCCACGCGGCATGGCATGGCGTGGTGTGTGGATGCCCTCATTCAGCAGCGTACTGACAAGCGGGTTGCACGTGTGGGTGTGCTTTTTTCTGTGAAGCTAAGGCACACACGTGGGGGCCAGCTCGCATGTCAGAGGAGGAGACCAATGATAACCCTGGCACGGGTCGCAGAGATAACAGAATGCGTAAATGTTCTGTCACGATTAAATATAAATGTATGTTGAACTTCTCTTGCACCGTACGTAGCCAACCGTGCTAAACTGAGGTGCGGGTAAAGGACAACAAACTAAACATAAAAAAGCAATTCTAAAGAAATGAATTTTCAATCTAGATTTTAAAAGTGCATAGCTCCAGCAGCTCCCTCATTTCGGAAGGAAGAGCGTTCCAGACGTCCGCAGAAGCGCATCTGTTAGCGCGTGACACGTTGACCGTCTTTGTTCGATGGGTAGCCAACAGCCGCTGTGAGGATGACCCGAGTTTGCGTGATGATTGATGCTGCTTGATAAGACCAGCAAGGTGTTGCAGTTCATGTTGCGTCAAACACTTTGTGTGTAAGGAGTACGATCTTACAAACTCAACGTGCCAGCATGTATTTCTAGATTTGAAGCTTTCGTGACTGCAAGGATGCATATTCTTAGGTTTTTTCGGTAAAGTCACGTAGGTAAAACATTAAAATTAATGAAAGTAAAATAAAATAAAAATCACGACGTTTCGGAGGCAACACAAGTCTCCCCGTCATCAGGTTGGACCGTCACAGCCAGATTTTCTGCATCAAGTGCTGCATCAAGTGATGCAGCAAATCTGTCTGTGACGGTGTTGCCTCCGAAACGTCGTGATTTTTATTTTATTTTGCTTTCATTAATTTTCATGTTTTACCTACGTGACTTTACCGAAAAAACCTAAGAGTGTGCCAGCATATGTTGCTGCTTATCGGCGGGTGAATTTCACATTCGCGAATTTGGCTTTGATAATTATGGGGGAATGTTGTGAACAAGAGTATACATCTTTAACATCTATTTAACGCAATTGCTTGATCACGCCACTGCTAAAGGTGACACAAAGGTGACGTGCATAGGTGTTAACACCTTCATTTGAGTAAGTTATTTGAGGAAGGCTGCAACAAAAGCAAAACATTTGGAGATCAAATGCTTGACAGGCGGAGGTGACTATTTACTCTTCCATCATGACCTCCGAAGGGAAGTGTATAGTAGGCAAATAGAAACAGATCAATTCCTTCATTCATCACGCATAGTCAGAGAAGGACCTCTTGCGACAGCGTTCACCTAAACCGCTCTTGCTGTCTCGAGTGATTTGTTTGATCCACGGATCACGGGGAAGGGGGAGAGGTGACCACGATGTCAACGCCATTCCTTTGAGAGTCGCAGTTCCCACTGCGAAAGTCCACCGCCGACTGAAACGAGCGAAATTTTCAGCAGTTTGCGCATCAAGGCGGGGGCGGGGGGAGGACGTGTCCATGAACTGACGGCCGTCTCCCTCCAACTAAGCTCTCAATCGCTTAGGAGACCGGTCGCAGATGGTAACGGTGACATTTCTGAAAAAGTCGAACCATCGGATGCGAAGAAGGCGTCTTTGGCATCGCGTGTGGAAGGACTGCAGCCAATCCAAATCAGCTTGGAGCAATGTCCAGGCCTCCACACCATGAAGAAAAACTGATAAACACACGGCACTGGCAGCCTCTCAATTTGGTGCCCAGACTTGAACGTTTCTGTGACTCAATACGGTTCAGACGCTGTCGCCTCGACAGACCTGGTTTTCACCTGAGGACGGCTGCTTGCGTTGTGGCCGAAAAGTCGTGAGAATTATTTTATTATGTTTTATTTTTATTATTTTATTACTTCCCTTCTACGTGACTTTACCGAAAGAACCAAGAAGACGGTTCAGACCGTTCATGATTCCTGAGGCCAAGCCGATCCGGTGCATGACATCCAGTCGACCATCGTCCCTCAGTGGTCTGTACAGATCCTAGGTAGAGAAATTCATCCACTGCCTCGACAGCATTGCCATCGATTACGCCGAAATAGACACAATGGGATTACGATCATAATAACAAAATTACTCGTTTGTTTTAATTCGTTTTGTGCAAGTTGGTAGCATTCTTAAGTGACAGTAGTGTGCTCCGTAAATTATTGAAGAATGGAAATTTACAAACTGTTCTGTTTGGGAAAACTGCTGTACATTAACTTGTGTTGTTACCTTCAAAGCCATAACTTCTACATTTTACAGCGATTTGGACATCGTGTTGGGTTTCCGCATAATGCTTGCATGCAATGTTTGTTTCCGTTGTTTCAAAACACGTTCTTTTCAGTTGCAAGTTTTGCAGGTTAATTAAAATGTACAGGAAGCTTTGTTTGAATCGATGAAAATTAGTGCGCTGCTGCAAACAAAAATATTGCGATATTCCTAACCACACATTATATAATCCACACTCATCAACCATAAGCGATCGACTGCTAGATGAAGGCCTCCCCAAGTCGTTACCGTCTCTCACGGTCCTGCGATCACGAAGAAACCCACCCGTGACCTACAAATTATCCTATTTAATAGTTCCGTCTCCAAGACGGATGTCCTCTCAGTCGTATCACCGCACCATCACACTCGTTTAAAAGCCTTGAACACTGTAGTTCATACTCTTTGGTTCTTTCGGTAAAGTCACGTAGGTAGAAAAAATTATAGATCACGACGTTTCGATCGCAACGCAGGCAATCGTCATCAAGAGTATGGATTCCTGCAGTCACGAAAGCTTTAAATCAAGACTGTAGTTCACGTTGAAAAGTTTTATGGCAGGTGAGTCATCATTAACGGTGTTGAGCTTCAAGGTAACAGGATTTTGACTCTGGGCAATGTACAGTATTGTGCTTCCTGCCCATTTGAAATGAAGCCCTTTCTGCCTGTCAAGCTTAGATGTATATACTCCACCACCCAGCCCTGCCAGTAAATCAGTCTATCAGGCCGAAATCCTGTTGTGCAACTGACATCAATAATATAGATTGCTACCTCCATTCCATGGCAAGGGTTAGACGAGCGGGGATTTTTGTCCATCGACTGCTGAATAATAATAATTTGTTTAATTTGGTATTCACGGCATTCTTCCAGCGCAGGGCTATCATGAAGGTGCAATGCAAGGTTGGCTCCGTACGGTGCCGAAGAAGTTCAACATACAATGCATTGTGGGCAGCAGTTTCACAACATGGAGGGATGTTGTGACGCGTAAACCCTATTGAGTGACTCGGCAGGTGATTTTTCGAATTTGGACCATGACGCCAGCACACAATGGCCAACCCTTGTCGTGATATTGAACGTCGACCATGAAGCACGTGGCACTGATTGCACGGTTAACACACGCGCGGCATTAACCAGGATAGCCTACTTGAGTCGAACCCCCCGAAACTCCGCAACGAGCGGCGAATGCGCTCCCGGCTGGGGCCCGCGTCACCGCCCTGGATGATGGCCTCCCCATGCCGTGCGGGTTATAGGGGTTAGTTGACCGTAATTCACCAGAATGGGCCAGTGCATGCTTGACGGTGTGGGAGCATAGACAATGCAGCAAATAAGTACGGTACTGTACAATAATGAATTTTGCTGCACTGCCTTCTACTCCCCACCCGCCCCCCCCATCGTATTCCCCAGAGCCTCATAAGACAATGACAACCTGGTGCTCATGGTTGGTCACCCAATCCAGGCAATATCCAGGCTCAAATCTGCTTAGCTTCGGAGGTCGCGCAAGAATGGGTACATTTCAGATGATTTTATTATAGGCATTGCATTGGTCAACTACGGAATAAGTCAAGCTGATGATGTTGGCAAGCCGATACTGCAAGGCGTCTTGCTAACGTTAACCATAATCTCTCAACTTCCTCCACGTGGCATCAGTCTGCCGCTTCCGCATGGGGAAACTACGGCGGCGCACACCGAGCGAGCGTTACAACGTGACATTTGAGGCATCGTGTGTTTTTTAATTATCAGAACTCAGTGCTGGGACTGCATTTCGGAATGTGGGTATCACGACATGAGTTGCGCATCCAATACGAATTGCATTGCCTCCGAATGTGTTCTGCAGCTGAAGGTTGACTCTGTAAAAGGAAAAGTGTGCAGCGCCCTGCAATTGCTTGCTCATACCACTGCTGGCAGAAGATCCCCCACTAGAGGGAGCTATCAGAGAGCCGCTCTAGAGGGCATTTGGTCTAAGATTTCAAGCTGACCAGACATATTGGAAACTATTAAACTATTTATTTAACTTTACCAGGTAAGGCCCACTTGAGCTATATAGGTAACTATTTTTCAGAAGCAACCGGGCCACAAATGACAACTCAACTCAGTGGCTTATCATCATGTGTAAATCTATAGCAGCCAAATACTCTAAACCAGTTGTTCTTAACCTGCGCTGCATGCACCCCATGTGAGTGCGAGATGCCCTTTCCAGGGGTGTGAGACATGGCCAGATTTTCTTTTAAAGGTAAATCATAGAAAGAAACATTAAGCACAAGCACGTATCACTTGCTTCGTATCATCATCACAACTACGTCTGTATTAACATTATACAAATCTAGAACCAACGGAGTGCAAGAATATTAAAGGTTAAGAGCCACTGCTCAAAACGGCACAGTGCGGTATTACCCATTTGAACTGCTGGGTGGAGAGCGGCGAATGGGAAATTAAGAAACGCTCCCCTCATTGTTTCAACCGCCGCAATCGAATCACACTGGCGGCATCTGCGTTGCAAGTTCAGCGTGCTAACCGTGACCACCACAGCAAGCATTACGCTCCAAAATAAACAATCAACTAATTTCCCCACCAGCCCCGACACTTACCTTAACTCCGCTACATGCCTTTCCCTGCTCGTATTCTTCCATGTTCGCCCGTTTGTCCACATGTTTAAAGAGTTCCTTGGCCTGCCACACGTTCTGAAGGGCGTCGCGAAAGCGTGGATAAAAGGGGCTTTCTTCTTGATGATCTACCCCCAGTTGTTTGCAGAGTTTGGCGAAGGAACTTCGAATGATCTTCAATGTGCTCGCGCTCTTGAATTCCTCGTAGAGGAGTTTGTTCTCAGCGACGTTAATTTGGTCTTCCGACATGATCGATGAAGGGGCAACCGGTGAAAGAACGAACTCACGGGGGGTTGGGGATGGGTGGGAAGGGGTTCTGTGTGCTTGTTACGTGGCCGCTTATCTGAAGGTTCACCGCACAATTTTAATTGCTGTGAAGAAAATGAAAAACACACACAAACCGGATTGACTTACAGTGTCGCAGTTGTGTTCGCTGTCATGATCACGTGACAATGCCATCCAGTTTTACAAGAAGATTGGTATTCACAGGAACAGGAAAATGCATATCCTTTAAGCAGAAAAACTGGTTTCTTTTTACGGAAGTGAAATAACTCTCAAAGAGCTTTTCCGTCCAGTGAAAGCATGCGCCAGCAAATATGTTTCTGATAAAAATACATTTTCTGAAATTACGAGTTGATCTCTCAGCAAAAAATGTGGAAACCGCAAGCATTAGTTTTATGTGGCAATCAGCAGTTAACCTCAAACAAAAGCGACTCCGGTTCTTATCGTCCAACGCAATCAATTGGGCACGAACTTACTTCCTCACCGAAGCCGACGTAGGCTATGTTCGCCTGTAATTCACCCTGCAAACGTTCAGCAGAGAGAGAGAGAGAACTCTGTACCCCAGCATCCCTTTATATACACAGTCCCTTCCACCCCCGAGGCTGTTAATGAGTTACCAAAGGTGACATTTATAGTGAGTTCCGCATCACGAGTGGGTGAATAAGAACCGTGCACACCCTATATTCCGGGAAAGGCATGTATAGCCACTGTGATGCTCTACCCGTGCTGGTGTTTGTTCTCCATGCAACAAAAAAAGAGTTCTTTAATAATGCAAGTAGACAGATGCATATTTACACTATGAGACCTCCTTTACCAGTAGCAAAATATAGTAGTAGGTTTTTACCCTTTAAACTGGTACAAAACTGACACCTTTATACAAGGCATCATGTTTGCAATAACCACAATACAAGCAGTCAAAATGCAAATAAAAGAAACATCTCTGATAATGATAATGATATGCATATTATTATGATATGCATATTGTTATCATTATCAGAGTTGTTTCTTTTTGTTTGCATCATGTTTGCAATAACCACAACACAAGCAGTCAAAATGCAAACAAAAAGAAACAACTCTGATAATGATATACATATTATTATGATATGCATATTATTATCATTATTAGTGTTGTTTCTTTTTGTTTGCATTTTGACTGCTTGTGTTGTGGTTATTGCAAACATGATGCCTTGTATAAAGGTGTCAGTTTTGTACCAGTTTAAAGGGTAAAAACCTACTACTAGACAGATTAATATTTGTTTTGTTGTTGTTGAGGAGCAGCTGTCATTCGACTGTTTTCAATTAAGCCCACGTTTGTCTTTGTGTGTCTCTCTCTCTCTGCATGTGTGTCTGCCTATGCTGTTCCCGTGTCTGTGTTTTATCATTCATTCTTACCTGATGGTTGCTTGTGGTGCAATCGAAACGTCGTATTCTATTATTATTTAATTTTATTTTCTACGTGACTTTACCGAATGAACCAAAGAGTAATTCCTGCAGTCACGAAAGCTTCTAATCTACTTTTCCAACGTTCACACGCAGCTCTATTCCCCCCCCCCCCCCACGAGATCAGCAACGCGTACGGACTTTGTAATCGTTCGCTTACGGTGTTTGACCCCCTGCACGAACTGTATACGAGTTCTGAGGTCGTGTGTTGTATTTCAATAACAAGTGTATTTACGTATTTCTTGAACCACAATTCAAGGAACGAGGATAGTCAACCTTTACAAGAGTGACCTGGTGGGTGTTTTGCATGCCTGCATCGTATTGCGGCAGTTTGGTGCTGTGCTAAGAAATACCTGCAGCTCAGAAGGTTGTGTATTTTTTGGAAGGAAAAAAAGAAACCTCTTAAAATATTTCGTTTCATTTAATCCACTCATACCGAGGACTCGTTCCACCAGATCGTCTCATTCAGATTGTGTTGAATGCTCTGATCATGGATGACACCTTGATGGGACACCATCTATATGAAACAATTCAGTTGATCTGTACTTTTGATTTTGGCCAGAGGTGAATCCCAGTGCTTTATGCGACTGTATTTGTCTTGTACTCGTGTGTGCACGCAAGGAAGGGCAAACAGCTGAAGTTATCCGGTTTGTTCTGACACGGGTGACCAGCGATGTTAGTGATGTTTGAAGAATGAGTTACGGGTGAAAAAAACAAGACTGCTTTGCATGGAGTGTGAGAAGGTTGGGTATAAACAACCATTTAAACTATTTTGGAATTTTGCCAGGTAAGGCTCACTGAGTTGCATAACTCTTTCTCAGAGGCGACCTGACCACAAATGATAGCTCAACGAAGTAAGCTTATCACGTGAAAATGTATAGCGGCCAAATACTCTAAAGTGTCTAAACGCATGTGTCTAAATGTGGAGGGAAAAACCGAAGGACCCAGAGAAAAATCAATGCCACCACGAGGAGAGAGACACCGCAAACTCCAAATATACTGGGTACTAATCACGACCTCCTGTATACCAGGCGAGGTAGTTAACATATTTCCACCGTGGTGAGTGCTACGCTGCGCTAGGAACCCGGTCACCCAAGTTTGAGTCCCGCTCACGGCCAACACCGGTGACGATTATCTGAACCAGTCCTGGGTCTTCCCTAGGTCGACTCTGCCTCAAACGAGTACCTGGTGCGGCGTGTAAACATCTAGCCACTTGGGAGACAAAGGCGGCCGGGCGTGGTGTTGGCCACCCAACCCCTCGTGTGCCGTGCCGGCCTTCATAGGTGCTGCTCGCTAACAGCACTTGCCCCAAAAGTTAAAATAGATCACCCGCACGCAACATTGTCACGCCAGTGACCAAAGCTCTCTGAATGCACCCGATCTTATCCGTTCTCAGGGAGGTGATAAGCGACGCTGAACGTGGGCTGTGTTTGCACGGGGTGATCGCCGTGCATGGAAGAGGACGTCAGCGGTGTGCGGAGGGGCTCTGTGGTGGGCATTAGAGGCCAGTTACAGGAAATGTCCATCGTTCTGTACTTTTATGCTCGCCAACGGAACTTGGCCGAACAATCTGTGAACGGGTTCATGGGGAGTTTTTACACTATGGGAACCTCATTTGCCAGTAAAAATATGATAACTGTTTTTTTACCCTTTTATCTGGCAACAAAACTGACACCTTTTTACAAGGAGTCATGTTTGCATAGACCGCAATACCTGCAGTCATAATACAAACAAAAGACATAACTCTGATAATGTGCACTGTCCTTGGGAGCGAGAATGGGAGGGGGGGGGCTCAACCAGCAATCTACTCATCGTGTTCCGTGTTGCCAAGCTGTGTTCATAGAGGTTGTTTGGGTAAAGAATGAATCTGGTGGGGATCAAAATGTGTGTTTGTGTCAAGGACCAGATTTTGCCGATATACAGAGCTGTTGGCCCCAAAGCGAAACAATATGACGTAAATATCAAGTCCTGTCCTGTTTGAGAGAGTAGATATGGAAGAGAGAGTTATTCAGCGGACATAAATACGAGCGCGCGATAAAAAGATAAGTATTCAGATAGAGACGCAAGAGATCACATGACATTGGAGAGAGATGAGATTGCTGAGAGAGTGTGGGGTGTGTCCATAACACTGGTCAACAAAAAAAACTTTTTTTTCTAGGCTGGACTTTTGCAGCTGTTTTAGACTAATTTCAGGGTGCTGATTCCAAATCTGATCTCAGATTTGCTCTATCACATCTCATTTTTATGCTATCGGCATACCCCATTTCCATTGATTTTACCCGAAATTAACTCTGTCACTTATGATTGCAAGTTGTTGCGAGTCAGCGACTGCTTTAGTGTTAAAATATGGTGCTGTATTTTTAGGATAGTGTGTTTCTAATATCATTTTATGTAGATATCCACATTTATTTAATATTTTTCTTCTGCAGTTTTTATTGAAAATGCAATATTTGATATCTCAAAAAACTGATGTGATAGACAAAAACTGATGCCAGATTTGGAATCAGCACCCCAAAATAACATTGAAACAGTTGGAATACCTTATTCTAGAAAAAGTGTGTTGACCAGTGTAAGAGAAGAGTGGCGCTGCAACAGGCGAGGCGAAACGAGGTCACGTGCCGCTTAACGCAGCACCGCCGTAACTTTTATTAGCCTCGAGAAAGGTGAAGCGAAGGTTTGTTTGCATTAGGTGGTGGAAACTTCTCAGATTCAGCAATTTTGCTAAATTACTTGATACAGCAATTTTGCTGTGACGGTTTCACCTGAAGACGGAAGCTTGTGTTGCCTCCGAAACGTCGTGATTTAATTTATTTGTTTTCTTTAAACCTACGTGATTTTACCGAAAAAAACAAAGAGTATTCTCAGATTTAGTATCGCGGAACAATGCAAATCACGTGAATCAAACTAAGGCCACCTGTATAAAAGAGGAAGCAGGTCACTGCGTTGCCCCGATTGATCAGTCAGTGGCGCAACTGCATTGTGAGCCCCAGGGGATGCGCTAATCGGTCAAGGTGGAGCCCCAATATTTGATTTGAACGGGAAATAAAACGCGCGTCGTAAATAAAAGCATTTTGCACGGCAATAAAATTATATAAACCGCGTTTTGACGACGCGTCGTTTTTCTTTTACACTGGCTGTAGAACACCATTCTCGTGGTGGTTGCCAAGGGCCCCCTACCAGAGGTCGCAACCGGGTACCCGATACCCGTACCCTACCCGATACCCGGCTACCCGTACCCAGCCGGGTACGGTTACCCGTTTGCGACACTGGTGCGGCCGGGTACGGGTACGGGTAGGCCGTGAGTTACTGGTGATTAACTGTTTGTCACTCATTTCTCAACGTCTTGTCTCTTCTCACAATTCAAGTTCCTAGAATCAACCCACCCGTGCCTGCAACATGGCTTCATCCCAGAGGTCGCAATCAGGTACCAGGGTACGGCCGGGTACGGGTACGGGTACCGGTTTGCGACCCTGGTGCGGCCGGGTACGGGTAAGGAATCAAAACCCGTTTGCGACCTCTGCCCCCTATCCCCCCCCCAACTCGTATCTTTGGCCACGGGAGGGTGGTGGTGGCAAGGCACCTCCTGCCTGTCCCGCCAGAGTTACACCACTAACACGAGGAGATGCACAAGCTGTCCTATACACGAGGGTCGTGTTGGCTGAGCCCCTTCAACTTATAGAATCCTAGAGAGATATATTGACAAGAAATACCGATGTAGTGAAATAAGATACATTTTACACATGGAGGTGTGAACTGTAAGTGAGATGCAGACATGCTAGAATTGAGAGATTAATTGGTTTCTTATGTTAATTATCTTAAGTTTATTAGGATTTGATATTGAGCTGACGTTGCATTATGCACTTCTATTTTATCCACGAATCAGAACCCCGCTGGCAGCTGTAAACGTTCATTTGGTGCGTATCGCCAACACTACAAATACACGCAAACGCTCTGTACACCTAAATTGTTTTACTGGATAAAAATGATTCTAACAAAAAGATGTTACCAGGTAAGGCCCACTGAGCTACGCAGCTCTTTTCCAGAAGCCACCTGGCCACAGATGATGGCTCAACAAAGTGTAAATTTGTCACACGGCAATTAGCGGCGACTAAAATCACGTAGACATCGGACGTTAAGTGAATAAGCGTTAGTGATAGGTTTTTACCCTTTCAACTGGTACAAAAACTGACACCTTCATACAAGGCATCATGTTTGCAATAACCACAACACAAGCGTCATCTGGTCCAACACCAATGGAGACTAGGCTCTAAGAAAATCTGTCTCAGGTGTGGACCAATCAACTTCAAGGACAGTGCATATCATTATCGTTATCAGAGTTGTTTCTTTTTGTTTGCGTTTTGACTGCTTGTGTTGTGGTTATTGCTAACATCATGCCTTGCATAAAGGTGTCAGTTTTTGTACCAGTTGAAAGGGTAAAAACCTATCACTATATTTTGCCACTGGTAAAGGAGGTCTCATAGTGAATAAGCGAAGTTTATAGGCGAGCAGGTGGTGCAGTAACTGCGCGCTGAGCCATGCATGCTAACACCTTAGTATATTTCATCTGAGTTCGAATCACCGGCAAATTATGCCAACCCGCACAACTGACCAGCAAGGTGAAGTATGGTAATAAAAAAAGACATGGCTTGGGCAAGCCTTCATCCAGCAGCAGACTGACAAAACACCGTACATTATTACTAAAGTATATTGTTTACACGGGCCAGTTTCCCGAAACGTCGATATCTAACTTTTCATCAACGAAGTAGAATGTGTATTTAAAATGCTGTTGTATGAATCTGTTCATCGAAGCAGCAACTTGGGAAACAGTGGGTAATGAATGGTCCGTCTACTCATGCTAACACCTTAGTATATTTCATCTTACAAAAGATGATTTCAAGGATGTAAGAATGGTAACCAAAGGATAAATTGAACAGTATTCTGCTCTTATAGGTTATACAACAGCCTGGCGCTTGCTTGTAAAGAGCAAAACGAACGCCTTACCTGAATTCCGGGTTTGGCACCAGGCCTCTCTGAACTCCAGACAGACTTCGCTCCTTCCTTCCCTATCTTGCTCCGTGCGCTGCTCAAAAATAACTCGACGGGGGCATCGATGCGGCAGTAGCAGCAGCAGCAGCCTCTGCTTGCACGGTCAGCCAATGGGCGCTGATGCTACTTTGTCACCGCCTACACACACACACTCTGTCTTCATTCATGCGTGCGCACGTGCGAGCCGGCTATTGCGGCGATGCGGCGCTAGGAGGCACCGTAGCCACGTGGTCGGGAGTGGGTTTTTTTTGTAGAGAAGACTGAACTAAGAAACTCCATTCTCATGCTTTGGTTCTTTCGGTAAAGTCACGTAGGTGGAAAAAAATGTTGAATGAAAAAGAAAGTGAATGAAACGTCGTGATATTTTTTATTCATTCTAGATTTGAAGCTTTCGTGACTGCAAGGATTCATACTCTTAGTTCTGTCGGTAAAGTCACGTAGGTAAAAAATGAAATTAAAATTAATGATTTTATTGTTTTATTTTTATAAATTTTAATTTAATTTTTTACCTACGTGACTTTACCGAAAGAACTAAGAGTATTTTTTATTCAGTTTATTTATTATTTATTTTTTTCTATCTACGTGATTTTACCGAAAGAACAAAAGAATATGAATTCCTGCAGTCACCAAAGTTTTAAGTCAAAATTCTCCCCATTCTCGTTAATGGGGAATGCCGCGTAACACTAGACGTTTCGGGCAATTGCCCTTCAAAGTACAGTACATGAAGAAGGGCTGTTCCCTGAAAGCGCCACGTGTTATGTATATGTGTATAGTTGTCTTCCTTTGTAGGCACTATATTCTTAGGTTTTTTCGGTAAAGTCACGTAGGTAAAAAATTAAATTAATAAAAGTAAAATAAAATAAAAATAAAATAAAAATCACGACGTTTCGGAGGCAATACAAGCTTCCGTCTTCAGGTGGAACCGTCACAGCACGCTTGCTGTATCAAGTAAATGAGAAATTCCAAGAGATACTACTACCTACGTGACTTTACCGATACAACCTAAGAATATGAATCCTTGCAGTCACGAAAGCTTCAAATCTAGAATTTGTCGGCACTGTTGACGAACGCGTTGGGTTTGTTTTGCTCGCTGTTTGTGTTTGTGCGCCGCTGAAAACGCAGCAGCAGCAGTGAGGGGCCGGCCATAAATGACGTCACGCAATTTTGGACGATTTATGACCCCCCCCTCGTCACACGGCGTCACAAAAAGTCAGACCACCCCCCCTCAAATATGACGTCATAAAGCTCTGCCGCCCCCCCCCCCCCCCAAAACTATGTTTCCATTTTTAAAATAAAACATGCTTCAAATGGCTTTAAACTATTGTCATTGTAGTGCGTATTTAATGTGGCGCTGCACTCTGATGTTGTAGGAGACATTTGTGACGATGTGTGAAGAGGGGGGGGGGGGTGAGAAATGTGACGTCACATCAAAATGCGCAACTTTAAACAAATATAGACAACACGTTCTACTTAATTAAAGCTATTTTTTAATAAATGTTTTCTCCTACAACATCAGAGTGCAGCGCCACATTAAATACGCACTACAATGACAATAGTTTAAAGCGATTTGAAGCATGTTTAATTTATATTTGGGGGGGGGGCAGAGCTTTGTGACGTCATATTTGAGGGGGGTCTGACTTCTTGTGACGCCGTGTGACGATGGGGGGGGGGGGGGTCAAAAATCGTCCAAAATCGCGTGACGTCATTTATGGACGGCCCCTCAATGCGCTCAGTGTCATCAAGAGCTCAGAAGCTAAGCAGGCAGGAGCCTGGGCTCAGCGCTTGGCCACGGCTGCCACCGCGTGTTTGTGGATGGCGGTAGAGGGCAGTGCAGCGACAGCTACTCGAGTTTAACATCCAGCTTAAGGAGAGGTTGTGTAAGAGATTCCGAATATTTTGCTGCGTGTATAATGAAGTCGGATAAGTGGACATGGTCGTATAAGTGAACACCCACAGAACAAATATTTGTGACCGTGAACGCTATTATCTTTAAACATTGGGGATTTGTATTTAAGTGAATGTATGAGAGACTCAGAATATTGTTTGTGTGTGCGGGAGGGGGGGGACAGGGTCGAATATGTGAACAGGGTCGGCTAAGTGAACGTATTGAAAACTTCATACACCATGAAACATAAACATGTCTAAAATGTTAATTTAAAACTTTCGTGACTGCAGGGATTCATATTCTTGGTTCTTTCGGTAAAGTCACGTGGAAGGGAAATAATAAATTAATATTAATATAAAACAATAAAAATGCTCACGACGTTCTCACGACCTTTTTTCAAATTTTCTTTCTGTGGATTTCACACCTGGTGATGATTGCAGTCGAAACGTCGTGAGAATTTGTATTGTTTTATATAAATATTATTTTATTATTTCCCTTCTACGTGACTTTACCGAAAGAACCAAGAATATGCTTAAAATGTGTTTAAACATGTTTTAGAAGTGAATGTATAAAGATATTCAGTATACTTTAGTATGTCTGTGTGTGTGTGAGACACAGGGTCGGATAAGTCAACAGGATCGTACAAGTGAACACGTTTCATGACGAAATGAATCAGATATTCAGATTACTTGTGTAATATCGATAGGATGGACAAAGTTGTTCGTGCATGTCCACATGCGGCCCTTTGTCATCCACTGCTAGATGATAAACTGCACACTGGTAGGGGGGGGGGTCATTTGCCCATATGTCACCATGCTCGTCAATTTGACCAGTGAACGTGGCAGCATAGAAGTACAGGACAACATTGCATTTTTGAGGCAGTGACAGTGCCTAACAGTAGGGTCGAAAGAAAGTTAAATGTCCGATATTCAATAGAATATGCATCAAAGCTTTAGCCCTCTGTTAATATCTGTGAAAAAGAGCTTTATAGATCATCGGATTCCTCAGGTATGAATAAATATTCTGATTCTGAATAATGATCCATGACCTACCACTACCAATGGATCATTAGGGGCTGAGCAGTGACCTCCGTTTAGCTGAAGTGGTCGTCCACTTTATCTAAACGTGACAAACTGGTCTCTGCCATGGGAACATGGAATTCACACTGCTGGTTCGGGGCTGCCAATGCTCATTCGAAGAAGGATGTACTTTGGGAGCCGTGGGTCGTTTAGGGTTCGTACCCTGCGTCATGTTCAGCTTGGCTCATTGTCTCCTTCCAGGGTCAGTGGCTTGCTCATGGATGGACTGGGCTCGTCACAACAAACGTGGACAACCACTCTTTGTGCCGGACAGCCAATTTTGAGATGTGACGTATGGAATGCTCAAGAAGCATTGGACAACTCGGACCAGTTACTCATTGACCGTTTCGCGTCAGAGATGGCGTTATTTTCCGCAACACGATGAGACAATGGACCACCTGTCACTGTTCGCCCTGGAAACTAATTCTTACGAATCGGACGAGCTGATAACGTCACTCGCGCGCAGTTTGTGACGTTTTTAGATAATTTTGGATCAGCGGTCATGCCTAAAGCTGTTTAGATATTCACTGAGGTTCGAGATTACTCAGGACCTTGAATGCGAGGGGGAGGACTCTGAGATAAATCTCGAATTTATCCGGCAATTAGCAAAGTGATGGAAGAACAGGAGTGATATCTTCAACAGGGGTGATATTCTAGATTTGAAGCTTTCGTGACTGCAAGGATTCATATTCTTAGTTTTTTTTCGGTAAAGTCACGTAGGCAAAAAATTAAAATTAATAAAAGTAAAATAAACATAAAATAAAAATCACTACGTTTCGGAGGCAACACACCTGAAGACGGAAGCTTGTGTTGCCTCCGAAACGTCGTGATTTTTATTTTATTTTTATTTTACTTTAATTAATTTTAATTTTTTTACCTACGTGACTTTACCGAAAAAAACCTAAGAATAGGGGTGATATGTTTATTTATTTGAGGGGTGCGCCACGGTGGTGAGATGTTAACTACCTCGCCTGGTATGCAGGAGGTGGGAGGTTCGATCCCGACCCTGACGCCTGCTGTATATTTGGAGGTGTTGCCCGTTCTGCCTGTGGTCATGTGGATTTTTATCCAGGGTCCCTCCGGCTTTTCTCTCCACATTTAAAAGCAGGCTTTTAGAGTGTTTGGCTGCTCTAAATGTCCACTTGATAAGCCACTTCGTTGAGCTGTCATTTGTGACCAGGTCGCTGCTGAAAAAGTGCTATACAGCTCAGTTGGGCCTTCCCTGGTTAAAAAAAATATATTTATAATTTTAATTTTCGATTTAAAGCTTTCGTGACTGCAGGGATTCATCTTCTTGGTTCTTTCGAAAAAAGCACGTAGAAGGGAAATAATAAAATAATAAAACATAATAAAAATAACAAAAATACAATTCTCACGACGTTTCGGTCACAACGCAAGCAGCCGTCCTCAGGTGAAGAACAGGTCTGTCAGGTGAAGAACAGGTCTGTCAGGTGAAGAACAGGTCTGTCGGACAAACCTGTTCTTCACCTGAGGAAGGCTGCTTGCGTTGTGGCCGAAACGTCGTGAGAATTGTATTTTATTATGTTTTATTTTTATTATTTTATTATTTCCCTTCTACGTGACTTTACCGAGAGAACCAAGAAGATTTATAATTTTAGTTTATAGTTTCATAGCAAATCCTAATAATTTCGATTATTTTGCTTCCATACATTTCCAAATCATACGCCACTTTGTTGAGCTATCATCTGTGGCCAGGTCACTTCTGAAAAACAAGTTGATACCTCAGCGGGCTTTGTCTGGTGGGATGGGGATGGTTTAGTTTTGCTTGTACTCGTTTGGGTGGTTTGTTTACCTTTCTGGGAAGCGGTAGTGTAGCGGTTAGCGCGCTGCGCTATGAACCTGTCGACCGGAGTTCGATTCCCGCTCACGGTCAACACCAGTGACGATTACCTGAACCGGTCCCGAGCCTCCCCTGGGTCGACTCAGCCTCAAATGAGTACCTGGTGCGATGCGTAAACATCGTCACTAGGGAGACAATTGCGGCCGGGCGTGGTGTTGGCCACCCACCCCCTCGTGTGCCGTGCCTGCCTTCATAGGTGCTGCTCGCTAACAGCACTTGCCCCTACAGACTGTTAAGGCTAATTGGGGGATGTTTTTTTTACCTTTCTTGTACTTCGCATTCCTGTCATGTTTTTATATCGTTTGTTGTTGTAACGTTCTTACCCGCCCCGACTGGACATCTGTGAAAAAGAGCTTTATAGCGTATCGGATTCCTCCAGTATAAATACATATTCTGATTCTGATTAAGGAATTAGTATTGATGGAGTGAAGATAAACAATGTATGATATGGGGTCGATACGATATTTATGGAAATTATCAGTTATCAGTCAGATCCAACTAAAATATTTAAGGTGACTAACGAGAATGCGTGGCCACAACTAAATGTGGTAAAGACAAAAGTAGTCACGATGTTTGGAAACAAAAGCGAAACATCGCAGCAGGTAGTGAAAATAATAACGCAGTTAAATAATGATATTATATTTTCTTGGACCGTGAAGCGGGAAAGAGATTCACTCAGCCCCAAATGTAAACAACACAGTCGATGTGGTTGAATGATATATTTGTATTCTCAGGAGCGGTTTAGGGATGTGAAACCAGGCCACGTAAGTAAATGGACATGTCAACAATTAATTATATTCTTAGTTTTTTTCGGTAAAGTCACGTCGGTAAAAAATTAAAATTTTTACCTACGTGACTTTACCGAAAAACCCTAAGACTATGAATCCTTGCAGTCACGAAAGCTTCAAATCTAAAGCAATTAATTAATTTACATATGGTGTTGAAGGCATTCCCTGCAGGTTTTATTGACCTGAAAGAGGAAGTTACGTTGCCGGTGCAGGTTGGAGACACAGAGGGCTTAGTTAACTTACGATTTCACGGAAAGTTAAAGTGCGTCGGAGATATGATCTAGAACTGGAAACGACCTGCAGAGAAATTGGTCACGCGACGAGTAATAAAGTTAAACGAGCTCTCGGTGGCCACAAAACGAGATGGCTGGCTGAGAAAGAAGATTACCGGGAAACCGGAATCGTTGAACAAAGAGGAGGAATGCCTGAACCCCCGTGAGCTGGAAACATTCCGCCAGAGTTATCGGTTACATTTTGATAACGGCCTCCAGAGAAGGAGGGACGGCTCTTCGGTGACATCTGAACAGGGCAGCCCCTTGACCAGCATGGTGAAGTATGATCCAACAACTCTCATGGACCGAGGCATAATTGTGGAGGCATTTATCCAGTATGGATTGACAAACGGATGTAAAAGGTTATATCTATTTTTCACAAAGCCTCTTCTTATGTGAAGTGGTCTTTTGTTATGTTACACGTACAGGCGACTGCTCTGGACAATGGCGTATGCAACGCAGCCACAATGGAGCACGCTTGCGTACATGGGTAGGAAAAATATTGCCATTTTTTTCTTTTGTGACCTAGGCATTGCCACACCCAAGCGAAGAATCGCTCCTGATTGCTTAGAATAATTGCGTTCTATAGCAGCCCGAGTTTGTCACCAGTCTGGCCCCTACTGCACAGTGTTGACACTACCTCCAACTCCACTCCCTTATTCATGGTGCAGCAGCACTTCACGTCGGATTGAGAGTCACAATGGGAGAAACTGGGGTGGAGTGGTGACTCGTTGGATAACGCACTGCGGCCCTTGCTATTAATTCCGGCCACATCGGTTTGATATCAAACCACGGATAAGACCACTGGCGGTACAAGTCAGGTCAAAACCGATCTTGGGCCCTCTTCCTAGACCAACTGACCGGCGTGGTTCTGCTCTTGCGTGATGGCAAAATGTTCAGGCGCCGTCAGAGGGCTTCATGGGGGAGTTTTGCTATTCCTCTGTTGAAGGAGCGCAGGCCACAGTGGTTTACGATATGGTCCAAAGTTTAGGTTGCATGGCCACAATCGCACTTCTGCGGCTTGTCTTTTAATTTTCTATTTATAAAGGAGATGTGTATGTGTGTGTGTGTCGGGCCAGTCGACGTTCATTCTGGGCGTCCACATTGTTCCACTCCGTTGTTCCATTGTGTTCGGATCTGGGCGAATATCCAGGATGGTGACGGCAGCGCGGTCCCACAAGTTGGATGGGTGCTCGAGTTTGGTGGCGAGGTGAAGTTTGGTCAATTGACGCCACACAGCCCGCAGGGCGCGAAGCCCTCTGCCAGCAGTGGCTTGACACAAAAAAAAGAAACGGCGAATGTCCAACGCTCGACGCAACGACGCGTGTTGACTCTTCACGTTCTGGACAGAGTCATGTCGACGATGTGTTACGCCCGTGCTGACACACACGGACATAGTTTGTTCCGAACAATGCGACGCCATGGGCCGCCTCTTGCAAAACCCGTTCGGTGCTCACTTGCGCATGAGCCGACAGCAGCAGCAACAACGCTTGATTACCGCCATTTATAGTGGAGCGGTGGCGCAGTGGTTAGCGCGTTTCGCTCTGACCCCGGCAACCCGAGTTTGATACCCGGTCATGGCCGACATCAGTGGGCACGTGATTAAATATGAACTGGTTCCTGCCCTGCTCTGACCTCCCTTCCACAAAGAGGTTGTACACAGGACTGCGGGGATTACACTGTGGGCATCATAATGCATTGCTGTCCTGTACTTCTATGTTCTCGTCTATATCACCCCCACCCCTCGGCCCCTTTGACCCGCATTGACAAGCATGGGGAAGTATGGTCAAAACCCTCCATGACCGAGATGGCGTGAGAAGGCGTCATAGGTGGATTCAGATTGGCTGAAAAATAATAAGTACTATCGAGTATTTGTATCAGCGATGCGTTTAACAGACGAGCGTTTCAGGTAAAGGTGCAGCCCTGCAATTCATTTCTCACTGCACTGCTGGTGGAACTCCTGGTGGCCTCTTATAATCTGTGAAAAAGGGCCATTGAGTTATTGACGAATTTGTTGAGTTTTAAAGAACATGATTTGTGCTTGTGCACCGTTGCATCGCAGTATCGCCAAATAATTTGGTGGTCGGTTTTCACTACAGGGAGCTGCAGTCCGCCCCAATCGAGGGTACTTTGGCCTACTCTTCCACACTGGCCCGACGTCTCGGAAGAGGTGGCAGTGCCCACACTTTACCCCACCACACGTGACCTGACTACAGGCTGACTGCGGCGTTCCCATTTCTACTGCTGGCTCGAAAGAGGCGAGAGGGACGTGGAGGGGGTGAAGAAACGTTTCCTGTTGTTAACTTGAGATATAATGGAAATGTCACCCTCTGCACTGCAAGTCCACGGTGTTACTAACCACTGCATCGCTGCATCACCGCCGTGGTGTCATTAATTGTCTATCGGCGTGAAATGTCCGGTGGCGTTAATGGCAGCCGATGGTGACGTCCCTTCTAATCGTAGGCAAGGTTCATTATTATTATTATTATCTTTTACTCCGGACCACGAGAAGGAAGGATGACAAGCGTGCGAGCTTTAGGACATTAGACGCCAGCGAGTTATTTTTTTTCTTTCTTTTAAAGGTAAAGTTGGGGCATTATTCAGCTGTGAAATCCGTCAGCATAGGTGGGGCCGTACGCACCCAGCCGTTGCGGGTGATTGTGCGCATTTGAAGGTCGTGGTTGGTTCTCGAGTAGCTAAGCTATATGTGTGTTACCCCCCTCCCCACCACCAACCCTCCACCCCACTTTTTTTTTCAAACGCTTATTGCTCTCTGGTCTTGAAGAAATCTGACAATTTTTCTTGGTAGGGCAGAGCACGCGGAGAACTCCGATTTGAACATTTGCGGAGAGAAGACTCGACAGGAATCAGCCACATGGCGTGGTCAAGGAGTCTGCGTCTGTTCGCCTCCGTGTGCTTGTGTCTCGGGTGAGTTCGCTTTTGAGTGTTCTACGGCATGGGCGGTTTTAATTTTCGTTGGTCTGTAATCCTGCACTCGGCTGCCGTTGTTTAATCGTGTGATTTACATAAATAAATAAACTTACCATTACATTTGTAAAAAAATGTTTTTTTAAATATAATAGGTGACGTTTTAAAAAAAAATCTAAATGTTGTGGATTTACTCTTCAACACACCGGTGGGCTAAAGTAGTGAACTATTTGTCTTTTGTCAACGTGACACTTTTTTCTGATTGGCCGTGTCGGGTGGTGGAGGGTTACGACACATTTATAAATAACGCGATCGAACCCAAAAACGTTGATTATGAATAATATTGGTCGTGAAAGCCTACGTGTTAAACCGCCCTTCTTCAGTTCTGTGCTATGAGGAAGGGCCATTTGCCCGAAATGTCGCCTATTATATACTGTTTTTCTTTTAAGGCAACAGTGTTGTCGACGAATGTGAGTTTTATTTTTATTATTTTGTGAACAGTGCTTTGTGCACCACTAATAATGCAGCATCGCCAAACGGGATCCTTCAATTAAATCCGTTCGGCTGCTGGCACTCGATGGAATATTGCCTCGCGTGACCGTGGGGGATTTTGATGCCTCGTGGAAGTCTTCATCCAGCAGTGGGTAGATCATTGCTGTTGGTGATGGCGCTAATTCATTGATTACGTGCATTCGTTTGCAGTGTTGCGGTGGAATGCCACCTGCGTCCCGATGGGTAAGAGGCCATCACCATCATCACCATCATCACCACCATCATTATCACCATCGTAATCGTCAGCGTTATCACCATCATAACCATCATCACCACCATCATTATCACCATCGTAATCATCAGCGTTATTACCATTATCACCGTCATCGTCGTTGTCATCGCCATTACCAGCATCACCAGTGTCACCATGACCATCATCACCATATCCTACATTGTGCTCACTTTATATTGAATAGCTCAGTCGCTGTACACACAAAGTTGAATGCAATCGGTGCACACGTATTAACCTAAAATGTATATTGTGGGTATACATGGCGCATTACACACTGTTTATGATGTACTGTTGGCGTATTGTAGACTGTTAGTTTATTATAGACTGTGTTAGGTGGCCAGACAAATTTGAGAATGCGATGTTAAATAGTCGAGAGCTAACTTAACTAAAAGAGTTGAGCAGTGATGCAGTAGTTGACTCACCACGCTAATTAACCCCATGGCCGGAGTTAAATTCCCGGTAAAGTCAAACTTCAGCATCGAGTGATCTCTGAACCGGTCCTGGATACCCCCCCCCCTCCCCCGCCTTCTCCAATTCATACTGATCAGCGTGGTGAAGTATGGTCAAACGACCGCTATAACCGACAACGTGGGGAAACCATCCATCAACAAATTGCTGTAAATCAATATCATTACACTGGGGTTCATTATATCTGTATGATGTAACGTGCACATCTATCGAAGTGATGACTGTATTGAAGAACACGGTAGTTCAATGTGCCCGTGCCCTCATCGCGAGTGGACTGCAGCGTTTTAGCGCAATGAACTCTGACTCCCCGAGTTCGATTCCCGCTCGCGAATAGTCAACCGTGGCGAATATTTGGCCGCCTGCTGGTATGTGTACAACACAGGGGGTGTCACGCGTGGTGGCTCGCTGCACCACCTCCTTGATGGAGGCGCTTCCTCACAGCATTTGCCCCACGACAGCCTGCGTAGGCTCTCGTGGGGATCTTTGTCTTTGCGTCTTGCTGTAGTGCTAGCGTCTTGCTGTGTGTGATGACTTTTCTTGGATTTTCTTGGATTTTCTGTTTGCACATAGTCACTTTAAGATGTTTTCTTGTTCATGTTTTAGTTTTTTTTGTTTGTTGCGGTTGCACCCGATTCAAGAGCCGAATGGCTCACAGGGCTATACCTAATAAATGAACTTTGAACTTTGATGAAGCTGCTTCGGGGTGCTGTGCGTGTGCTGTGGGTGTGCAAACAGGAGAGGAGTCTGCTCTCGGAACACCACGACTATCATGTCTTACTTGTCGACCGGGTAGGAGTAACACCGCGGTCACCTCTGAACACACTCTGCAATTGTAGTACCAAGTGTATATATATACAGTATACAGTTGAAATGCATATCTCATCGTCATTATCACGATCCATGGGCAGATAGCCCGGCGGTGTCCACTGGACATTTCGTCATTTGTTTCCACTTTCCTCTCTGTCTTGTGCCGCAATGCTCAAGTAGCGGCCACATTATTCTGGCATCAATCTCTTTAAGGCCGTAGCCATGGAGTCAACATTGGGGGGGATCAAATTTTTTAGGGGGTCTGGGGTCCCCCCCCAGAAAAAAATAAATCTAAATTTGACAAGAATTTCCTGCCTAAAATATAAAAAAAAAATTCACTAACACATAGGATTGACTTTTTATTTATTTTTAACAATGTCTAATAGTGTATTGTATTACAATGCTTTGTTTTTTTTCTATTTTACCTTTTCTTGTTTCATTGTATGTAATGGCAGAGATTAGGGATTAATAAAGTGCAACCATAACCACAATCATATAAACAGAAATCTGTGCATTGTTATATGAAGACAAGTCCAGATATTGTGGCCAAGGTTTAGCAAATTGTTGTTTTTATTTACATAGCATCGCAATTTAACTTTTTCAAAATATTTTTATAGCAATATATTGGGGGGGGGGGGGGGCATTTTGAGCAGATTTGATTATTGAATGCAATCGGTGCACACGTATTAACCATATTGGGATGTGTCCCCCCCCAATATATATATTATAATTACGGCCTTGAATTTCTTATTATGCCATCGTCAAGCCAGTTTCTGTGAGGTCTTCCTCTCTTTCCAGTTCCTTATATTTTTCCGAACAACACACTTCTAATTTTCCTGCTGTAGTCCATCCTAAATAGTGCCAGTTTCCTTCTCATCGCTCCCTGCATCAGGTGTTCTTTTATAGAAATATCATAGGTCTATTAAACATAATCTATGCCTCGTGTTTCCTGGCTGTCTGCTGGCTGGCTTCCTCTGCACCCCAACAATAATTCTGTCAGTGGCTGCGGGCCGTTGCCACCGAAACTATCTGGGTAATTGGCCGCGCAGGGTTGTCCGTGTAACTGAAACCGAACCTGCCTTCCTCTCTCTCACACTGACCAGTGTGGGTGCGAAGTATGATCAAATGAACTCCATAACTGAAACGCATTTCAGAGGCCTTCGTCCACAGCAGTGGCTTGATAAAGGACTGTCACTTAATGTTGTTGTTAATTGCCACTCAATGTTTGTAAATGGCACATCGTAATTTGTGTGGTGTCTTTTTTTTTCTATCTACGCAGGACCTTGACATCCAGGATCATGTACAGAATCACCCGCATCACTGACTACCAGTGCTGCTTGGGGTGGTTTGAGAGCGGGGACGAGTGCCCGATATGTGAGCACGTTTTATCTTTTAGAATTGTGCCGTATGGTACTGCACGTGTATACTTCCACAATAACTAACTATACTCTTTGTTTTTTTCGGTAAAGTCACGTAGGTGAAAACTGAATAAATAAAACAACTAAATTAATGTAATTTTATTTATACTTCTTTTTATTTTATTTTGTTTTCACCTTCGTGACTTTACCGAAAAAACCAAAGAGTATGGATCCTTGCAGTCACGAAAACTTCAAATCTAGAAATAACTAACTACTTGACTACTTTTTATTTTACCAGCGAAGGCCCACTGAGCTACGTAGCTATTTTTCACAAGCGTTCGGGCCACAAGTGATAGCCCGACAAAGTGGACATGTATAGCAGCCCAAAACACTGAGCACACTTGTCGATTTTAAATGTCGAGGGGAAAACCGGAGGACCTGGAGAAAATGGCACGCGACCACGGGGAGAGAGACGCGCAAACTCCAAATATACAGCAGGCGTCAGGGTCGGGATCGAACCCACATGCTCCTGTATACCGGGCGAGGTAGTTAACATCTCGCCAATGACCGAGGGAGGAGCGGTAGCACACAAGTTCGTGCACTGCACGGTTAGCCTGATGACCCGCCTACTTACACCCAGTGACGATTATCTGAACCGGTCCTGGGCCTCCCCTAGGACGACTAAGCCTTAAATGAGTCCCTGGTGCAGTCTGTAAACATCACCACTGAGGAGACAAAGGCGGCCGGGCGTGGTGCTAGCTACCCATTCCCTTGTGTACCGTGCCAGCTTCCATAGGTGCTCGCTAACAGCACTTGCCCCAACAGCCTGCGTGAGGCCATACGAGTGATTACTTTTTTATTCTTTCGGCAAAGTCACGTAGAAAGAAAATAAATTAAATAATAGATTACGACGTTTCGATTGCAACACAAGCAGTCAACTAAATTTGAGAGAGAGACAAAACACAGACACGGAGACACACAGACAGACAGACAGACACACAGACAGACACACAAGCAGAAAGAGACAACACAGAGACACATAGACACCTCTGTGTGTGTCTATGTTGTATGTGTCTCTGTGTTGTCTCTCTCTCTGCTTGTGTGTCTGTCTGTGTGTCTCCGTGTCTGTGTTTTGTCTCTCTCTCAAATTTAGTTATACCTGATGACGATTGCTTGTGTTGCAATCGAAACGTCGTATTCTATGATTACGTTTATTTTCTTTCTACGTGACTTTACCGAAAGAACCAAAGAGGAATTCCTGCAGTCACGAAAGCTTCAAATCAAGTTTCATACGAGTGATCTTTGACCTTTGGTGGTATTTTTGAGCGTTTTCGTTGTGTCCCTGTGACCTGCAGTCGGCTGCATGAACGAGTGTCTGAACGGCGGCTCTTGCATCAGTAACAACACCTGCGCCTGCATGCCTGGCTACACGGGAGGCGCGTGCGAAAACGGTGAGCCCTCTGACGGCATGTGGCTGGCGTGTGTGTAGCTCATGGGTCGGAGCAATCACCTGGTCCTGGCTCCAAATCCAGGTACCCACCTTATGGATAATGTTGGTCGCGAAAGTCTACATGTTAAACTGTATATATGTAAAATATAGATTTAAATCACATCGAATGAAAGTCTACATGTTAAACTGTATATATGTAAAATATAGATTTAAATCACATCGAATGAAAGTCTACATGTTAAACTGTATATATACGTAAAATATAGATTTAAATCACATCAAATGTTGTCTTAAAGACGTCAGTTTGACGAGTCTATCTGGAGCAGGGTGAGTGGAACTCCAATTCAGACCAAAGCCGAGTTTGAAAAAAAGGCTTAATAGGCTTCATGGAAACCTTTGTAAATAGTTTTGATTATAGACCGCGTTTTGGTTTCATGTTTCCAGCTGCCATAAATTTGTTTACGTTGAATGAGTTTGTACAATTTTCTTCCACTGCCACTCTTTGCCAAGTCAATTGATCTTGCTTTCCAGAATTGGCATATTTCTTATATATTTAAAATCGTGCAATGCTATTGACCTTCTATACATAACCTTCTTCAAATTTCTAATTAACAATGATTTTTTCAGTTTAGAGGTGTACATTTTTTGTTTACATTCTGTGTTAAATGTCTTGATAATAACCCAGGTCGCTCTTGCAAAAGAGCCAATATTATATCATGCGTCTCATTTTGCCTCCCCGATCTGTTAGGTTAAATAAAGGACACTGCCTAACCGGTCCAAATTAAACCTTGAGATGAGCAGCATTTTCTTCCCAGGAAGACCTGCGTTGACATCGTGGGCCGTGTCCTCGACCACAATGTCCCACCGCTTGTTAAACCGCACAACACCATCGCCGTGACTCCCTCCCCGTCGTCCCCAGATCTGGATGAGTGCACGAGCGGCCAGCATTGGTGCGAGCAAGGCTGCTCCAACACCATCGGCTCGTTCGTGTGCACCTGTGATCCGGGCTACTACCTGGGCGACGACCGGAGCACTTGTGTTGGTATGCTGCGTGGTGACCTGCCGCCCATAGCGATGGGAGTGCGTGCTTGCGCGTCAGTGGCGGGTGGATAAAACACAGCGAGTTGGCGCAGTAAGGGGGCCACAGGTGGTGCATCTGGCGGTCATCTCAAGCGGTCAAGCCACGGCACCTGGGCCTGTCCAGAGGCCTCCTGCCAGCTGAGAGAGCTTGATTGAGAAATTTTTTTATATAGTCACAGGAAGGTAGTGTTGTTTACTCCAAAAGCTGATGATATAAAGACTTGATTCGTTTAATAGCGACACATTTTTGTAATGTGCTCGTTTATTATTATGAGACCATCCTGAATAACCTCGGTCCATACAATCAGCGAGGTGCCGAGGAAGGAAGAGAAAATAGATGGCAAACTTTACCCACATTTTGAATCGTTACGGTGAACGGTTAAAGTTCCACCCAATACATTTTTTTCAGAAGAGTTGGTTGGCACATAGGAATAAACGGGAGTGCCCGTAGGCAACCCGCACGTACACTCGAAGCTTCCAGCAGGTGGATTCGATCAGCTGGCTGCACCACCGTGGTCTCCGTTTGCTGCGTCACATTCATTGCCATTGCCACTGCTGCTGCTGCTGCACCTTTCTAAGTTTTTTGTGTTTTTATTTGAACAATGTTTCGTGTCGATTTTGCATGGGATTTTGTGTCAGCGCCATTCTGGTAAATGTCGCGTCCGATTTGCACGGTTGGCTACGTCCGGTGCGAAATAAGTTCAACAGATAATGAAGTGAAATGAATATAATTATTTACTTAATTCCCTACATTGCCCCCACAATGTATAATTTTGTAAAAGCTTTTTTTACACTTTCGCATTACTTTTTCTTGTCGGGTGGTTCAAGTTTTTGTGATTGTTGTTGTTCGTGACACTGTGTGACGTCTCGAAACTTACAGAATAGACTAAACGTTAATAACGATGATGGTGGTGATGATGATGACGACGATCGCTTTGGGTGAAGTCGACGGACGGCACGCGGCAAATGCTCGTTTCACGTTTACGTTTTCAGACATTGACGAGTGCGCCGTCTCCAACGGGAACTGCAGCGAGATCTGCCTGAATTTCATCGGCGCGTTCCGGTGCGATTGCCGATCCGGATACGCCCTCGCGGACGACGGCTACAACTGCACAGGCATTGCCCTCGCCGTTTCGTCGCAGACATCGCCAGCAGCCACACATTTAATTCTAGATTTGAAGCTTTCGTGACTGCAAGGATTCATACTCTTTGGTTTTTTTCGGTAAAGTCACGTAGGTAAAACAATTAATAAAATTAAATAAATGAAAACAACTAAATAAAATCACAACGTTTCGGAGGCAACACAAGCCACCCTCATCAGGTGTAAAAAGGCACAGCAAACTAACTGTAGCGAGAGTTATTTGTATTTATTTATTCGAAACGTCGTGATTTAATTTGGTTGTTTTCATTTATTTTATTCTATTAATTGTTTTACCTACGTGGCTTTACCGAAAAAAATAAAGAGCCACACATTTGTTTTTTTACTTTTCTTTCCAAATCAATATTCGAGTGAACGTACAGATGTACAGCACGCCCCAAGGGCACTTGCAAAGGTAAACAAAAACACGTTCAAATAATGTCGTCAGTGTAGATAGAAAATATAAACAAGAGATGGCGAGGATACAAGTGGGTGCTGTTCGGGTGATAAGGGGAGCAGTTCCAGTGTGAACTCTATAAAGGAGCAAGTTGATCAAATAATATCCTACAACAATAACCCATTTAACATGTATTAAAAATGGGCTTCTGGCTCAATAGCTCCTTGGTGCGATGCATTCCCAATTTCCAGATTAATGCAAACACAAATGTGAAAATTGGGTCCAGACACAAAGATTCGGGATGATTTTTGATTATTGATTGACAACTGAATTTGTCATCATTGCCACGTTTTGCTCACGTGCGCACACAGCAAGGAGCGGCGGTACGGTGGTTCATGCACTTTGGTATAGTCACAACCGCGTGAGCTTTCCTCCCGTTCGTGGCCAACACAAGTGGCAAGTGGCGTCTGAACCGTTTCTGAGTCTCTAAGTCGACTCGACCTTATAAATGAGTACCTGGTGCAGCGTGTAACGTCCGCGCTGGGCAGACGAAGGTCGCGCCACCCTCCCATGCGCCACCCCGGCCATGACGACGCTCACCCGCAGCACCTGCCCCAAATCTCTTAACAAGGCAACGTGGGCGTTATGGGGAGGGGGGGATGGAGATCTGTGTCTTAGCCTCTCGTATGTGTGTGTGTGTGTTTCCAGATATAGACGAATGCCTGGACGGCAACGGTTTCTGTCAAATGATCTGCCGGAACACCGCGGGCTCCTACGCGTGCGCCTGCGATCCTGGGTTTTTCCTACAGACTGACAACAGCACGTGCGCAGGTACCTGTCTCGTTAACCCGGCGACAACAAGCGACCTCTTAAATTTCGATTTAAAGCTTTCGTGACTGCAGGGATTCATCTTCTTGGTTCTTTCGGTAAAGTCACGTAGAAGGGAAGTAATAAAATAATAAAAATAAAACATAATTAAATAATTCTCACGACGTTTCGGCCACAACGCAAGCAGCCGTCCTCAGGTACGGCCACAACGCAAGCAGTACGGCCACAACGCAAGCAGCCGTCCTCAGGTGAGGACGGCTGCTTGCGTTGTGGCCGTAACGTCGTGAGAATTATTTTATTATGTTTTATTTTTAGTATTTTATTACTTCCCTTCTACGTGACTTTACCGAAAGAACCAAGAAGAAGCGACCTCTTGTTGCGCTGCGTGGCATTAGGCGGCCACGCAGCGCAACGGCGGGCTGCCGAACAAAGTAGCGGACCGGGCGGTGGTGCGCAACGTTTGAGGGTTCGGGCCTCTGACCTCCGCGCCCTTTGCGACTCATTGAGACGGCCGAGCGACCGATGCTTGCGGCAGCCTGGCTAATGATGCGGGGGTGTTCGCCGTGTAAGAGAATGCACACGTCTGTTTCATCGCGGTGGGTGTTAAATACGTAACGGTGCGTGCTGTGGGCCGTCGTCCAAATTTGTCGGATCAGATTTTTGTTTTTAAAATTGGCTCGCAAACTACTTATTTGGAGAAAACCGTGTGGCGAAATCACGGCCAATATCATCCATAGTACAGGGTTTTTGGGTTAGATCACATACATATATAAATGTGTCGTTAAACCGGCCACTGGCGTACTCAGGTTATAAACGTTGTGCTGTGTCGGGTGGTGGCGGGTTTAACGACACGTAAATATATTTACATGATTTAACCCAAAAAAAATCTCTATTGTGGATTCTAAAGGCCGTTTTGCAGGCCGGTTCTGCGTGCATCCTGTGCCGCACAGGGACGGACGTCTGCCGCTAAACCGCAGCGGGGCATCGGAATGGTTCAGATGAGATGTGTTATTTGAGCCCACTTTGTATCGTGCAGATGTGAACGAGTGCAACGCCGCCAATGGAGGTTGTGCGGAGTTTTGTACCAACACATACGGCTCATATCACTGTTCGTGCAAACCAGGCACCGAGCTGGAAGCCAACAACCGTCTCTGCAAAGGTAAAGTAACGTTAAAAGTGACGTTAAAATTTACTTTCATCCCTTTGTCAAGCGACTGCTAGGTGCAGGCCTGTCCTTGCCATGTAATTTGTGGCTGTTGTTTAGCCATACTTGTCTGCGCTTGAACAGTCCCGGTTTGAAGGCCCGAAGGCAGATTCGTATATTCGCTCACCGCTGACGTGATCCGTGATTCAAAATCGAACTCGGGCCGCTGAGTTCATAGCACGCTGCATCCACGGCACTGCCACTCTGCAAAGGTGACTGTCCACTTATCAGAGATTCACGCTCAGGTGAGCTCGGAGACAATTCAGATCGTCCAAGCAATGAATCCTGCTGACGGAAGGACATCTAATTGAGAGGTAATAATCGACATGTAAAACGCAGCCTCGTTAGCTTGCGCCGTGTGTTGTTCAGCAAGACCTCCGATGTTTTGCTTCCATTGCTGGCAGCTGCTTCAATTTCACCTGCTGGTTCTAACTTTGGTGGGTGGGTCAAAAGTCGAACTAACTTTGTTGGGCTTCCCCTTTCCGCTCATAGACACGTTAGAGTGAGAACTAGGATAGATTTAGACGAGATTATAGAGATGCAGTGAGATGAGAGAAATGAGGACACACATGCGATGAGAGAATTGAGTTACAGACGAGACGGGGATGTCGCGAAGTGAGAAAGATGTACACGAGAGAGAGATGGAATGAGACGACAGACGAGAGCTGCAGACAAAATACAGATTGGAGAGATTAATTATCTTTTTGACATTTATTAGGATCTGAATTTGAGATGATATTTGGTGCAGCCACAATTTCGCCATGTTTCAGAGCATCTTTGAGCTCCTCGCTTGCCAAAGCTTTTGCTTAGATCGCTTAAATGCCGCGTGCCACCACTGGCGGCACGTGGGGCGAAACGTCGGACATCACGCCGAACAATGGCGTGGTACAACCTGCGCCTCTGCGGCCGTCTGGAACACTCCTCCTTCCAATCTTCGGAAGCCACTGGAGCTATGCACTTTTAAATCATCATCTAGATTGACAAACGTATTTCTTTAGAACTGCTCTTTGCATTAAATCTGGTGTCCTTCCCCCCGCGCTTCCGATTAACAGGGTTGTCTGCGTATGGTGCGAAAGAAGTTCAACATACAAACAGAGGTTGGCCGTACCGCGCAGTCGGTACAAGGGATGAGGTGGCCCTCGTGGTTAACCGGTGACGTGACCCTCTCTGCCCGTGCACAGACATTGACGAATGCGCCGTGAACAACGGAGGCTGCGGGCAGAACTGCAAAAACACGGCAGGCAGCTTCGAGTGCGCCTGCAATCCGGGCTACGCGATGATGTTCAACTCGGTCACGTGCTTGCGTAAGTCACTCAGAGAACCCACCCCCCCCACCACTAGCCCCGACACCCCCTCTCCGCCCCCACGCGGTCGCACACTCTCGTCGGATGATGTAGCGATGCCTCTACACAAGTGAGTCGATGGCTATTCCGGTGGCGATTTGCCTCGGCAGTGAGTCGCGGTCAAGGGTCGCGATTTGATTCGAGAATCGCCGTTCATTTTAGTTTCACATTTTGAACATGCCTCCGTGCGTTGTTTCTCTGTTTTATCCCTCCAGTTTGTGCAGTTCTGTTCGCTGCAATTGCAGCATGCAATTTGCGCACAATTCGGCACGTATCGTCACTGTAAGAAGCGATGTCAAACAATTAATTGAGGGCGTTTCAGCCGGAGCTGTTCAGGGCTGAGCTCTGAAAAATATTTCTCTAACACCCCCTTCCCATTGCAAAGCATTCAATGAGAAATGAAGCCCTGTCCAATTACATATGATATGCATGACTACCATTGTCCTTTGGCTAGCCATCAAACAAAGACGGTCACTGCATCACGCGCTTTCAGATGTGCTTCTACGGGCATCTGCAATGCTCTTCTTTCTGATATTAGGAAGCCACTGGAGCTATCCACTTTTAAATTATCTCGATTGAAAACTCACTTCTTTAGAACTGCTTTTTATGCTTAGTTTGTTGTCCATCCCCTGCACCTCCGATTAACATGTCTGGCTACGTATGGTGCGAAAGAAGTTCAACCGACAAACGTACGTATAAGCAAATGTATTGAGAATTCCAAGTGTGATGGGGGTAGTGAATTGTGCGTCTCACAACGATTTCCCGTGATGATCTACCTCCCCCCCTCCACCAGCCTGCGGCGGTAATTATTCGGCACTGGAGGGAAGTCTTTCCTCGCCGGGCTACCCGTACGTGGGCTTCGGCACAAGCGAGCCTTGCGTGTGGAACATCAGCGCACCCGACGTGTACAACCGCGTGAACCTCACCTGCCTCTCCGTGCGGTGAGTTGGGATGCATATATACACGAAGCGCGCGTCTCCCCGCACATTGCAGTCGGGCTCCTACGGATGAGCTGGGAAGCAGTGCGTGAGATATATGATGGAAGTGGACGCATTCGTCAGTAACACTGTGGCCTTAAAAAGAAAGATGACGTTTCAGGCCATGACCCTGGCATTTCACAATGGTGCTGAGATGTTAAAATCCCTCGCCTGGATACACGAGGTAGTGGGTTCGATCCTATCCCTGATGCCTGTATATTTGGAGTTTGCGTATGCTCCCCGTGATCGCGTGGGTTTTTCTCCGGGTCCTCCGGTTTCTCCCTCCACATTTAGAATCATGCACTTTGATTATTTGGCTGCTACACATGTCCACGTGATGAGCCACTTCGTTGAGCAATCATTTGTGGCCAGGTCGTTTCTGAAAAAGAGCTACGTAGCTCAGTGGGCTGGTCGTATCTGGTAAAATAAAAATGTTGTTTAGTTTCAATGCACATGAAGCAGGGCCGTTGGGCGGTGGTGGGGTGTGTACGACACAGAACGTACGCCACACACACACACACACAAATCAATTCCCACTGCGCCCACCCGCTCCCTGCAGGTTCAACGACGTGGGCACGTGCGACCTGGGTTTCGTGAGGGTGACCTCGCTGCCGTCAAGCACCCGGACCTGGTGCTCCACCCCGGCGTCCCCCTTCTTCGGTGGCAAGAGCATGCTCCTGGAATACTTTAACAACGCCACGGGCCCTGACACGGGCTTCCACTGCCACTACGCAGCCGGTGGGTTTCAGGGATGGGCCTGGGAGACGGGGAGAATTGCCTGAGCGATTGAATTCGCTCCATTACAAATCCGTGCCGCCTTCGTTCCCTCCCATGACCAAGCCGCCCCGGATTTACCGGATTGCCGTCAGACGCCGAAAGCTAAGCCAGTTTGAACCCGGATAGTGCTTGGATGCGCCACTGCCATGCGCACACAGCAGGCGCTGTGGGTAGTAGAGGGGAGTGCACAAACAAAAAATCCGTTGCTGTTTTGGCCGCGACCTTCACCGACCCACACCGTGCAGCGTGGTCAAACAACCCCTCGCGGCACGGCGTGGTGTGTGGATGCCCTCATTCGGCAGCGTACTGACAAGCTGGCTGCACGTGCGCGTGTGCTTATTTCCTCCCGCATTGCATGAATGCCTCTTGGCTGATGCGCCCCCCTGTAAGCTGCGACGCTAAGGCACACACGTGGGGGCCAGCCCGCATGTCAGAGGAAGAGACCAATGATAACCCCGGCGGAGAGCGCTCGTTATCCTGCAGAGATAACAGACGCACGCGTAAATGGAGCGCTCTGTCAGGACCAAATGGGCCTCTGGTGAACGCGTGACAGGTACCCCCCAACGCTGTCCGCGTGGCACCGCGACCCGTTAGGAACTCATCGTCTTGGTTCTGTCGGTAAAGTCACGTAGAAGGGAAGTAATAAAATAATTAAACTAAAACATAATAAAATAATTCTCACGACGTTTCGGCCACAACGCAAGCAGCCGTCCTCAGGTGAAGAAACAGGTCTGCCATGCGCGGGTCTGTCGAGAAGATAGACGCTGTCTTCTCGACAGACCTGTTTCTTCACCTGAGGACGGCTGCTTGCGTTGTGGCCGAAACGTCGTGAGAATTATTTTATTATGTTTTAGTTTTATTATTTTATTACTTCTATTCTACGTGACTTTACCGAAAGAACAAAGAAGATGAATCCCTGCAGTCACGAAAGCTTTAAACCGCTAGGAACTGTTGGGCTCATTCCCTGTGCGTTGCGTTGAACCGTTGCGAATGTCTGTCCGCCACACAGCCTACAAAAAGACGCTCATCATGACGCCGGCCCGAGCCAACGTTGTCTCGCCCAACGACGCCGCGGGGTTTTACGTCAACAACGCGAATCACACGTACGTCGTGCAGGCCGCCAGCACCAGCCGCATCTGCCTGGAGTTCCTCAGCTTCAGGTGCCCGCTGATGCACACGCACCCCCACAGTGGTCACGCACACCGCACTCCCTACTGACTGTCACACTCTCCACATACGCTCACACTCCCTACCGACTCCACTCCCTCAACAATGATCGCCTACACCATGCAGTCGACTGACTCCCACACACACTTTATACCCCAATACACTCTACATACTCCGACACACCCTACGGACTCCCACATTCTCTGAAGGGCTTGCGCATTGAATTCTTCTTTAGAACGCAGTGAGGTAGGAGCTGGGTTTCTTCGCGCCAGGTATGACACTGCTATTCCAAACCTGGGCTGAATTTTTAAAGAGGGAATGGCGCCTACTCTACACATCGCGCACTCATGCCCCGCGCTACGTGCCCCACACTCGGTCACCACATCCACCCCACGCACTCCGTTGCGTCGGCTCCACGCGAGCGTCACGTCGACGGCCGGTCTGATCTGCCCACGCGCCCTGCCGCCTACAGCCTGGAGAGCACCTCCGACTGCAGCAAGGACTACGTGGCCGTGTACGACGGTGAACTGGCCACCGCTCCCCAGATCGGCAAGTTCTGCGGGAACTCGATCCCGGCCAAAGTCAACTCGAGCGCCAATGGGATGGTCATCTCGTTCATCTCAGACGGAGACACAGTGGACCGTGGCTTCAGTGGCATCTACACCGCAAAGTATGCGCAATTCACTCCGGTGACTTGCTCACTGGTGGCCAATCACCTCCTTGTCACTCTTCTGTCGCTACTAACATGGTTACCGCTCTCATACAATGATTGCCTATTCTTATTACAAATGGGTGCGATGATTGTCAAATCATCAATCGTCCTGTAGGAGCTGCAGCGTAACGAGCATGGGGACAGGGGGGTGCCTTGGCCCCGCTACGGCCAAAGCTACGAGTTGGGGCCCACTTGACAACCGCCATTAGATATGTTTTCAGCAACATTGTTAAAGAATGAAAACTTACGTAATTATGTGATTTAGGCAAGAGGAGCCATGATATATAATAGCCTCGGTGCGACCGTGCGAGACTATTCAATTATTGGGGCCCTACCTGACCGATTGCTGCACCCCTGAGCGGATTATGTAGCCACTACACTGATAATGTAGTTACTACGCCACTGATAATGTAGTTACTACACCAATCACAATATAGTTATTATGCCACTGATAATGTAGTTACTACACTGTTAATGTAGTTACTGCACCACTGATAATGTAGTTACTACACTGATAATGTAGTTACTACACCACTGATAATGTAGTTGATACGCCACTGATAATGTAGTTACTACGCCACTGGTAATGTAGTTACTACGCTACTGATAATGTAGTTACTACGCCACTGATAATGTAGTTACTACACCACTGATAATGTAGTTACTACGACACTGATAATGTAGTTACTACACCACTGATAATGTAGTTACTACGCCACTGATATTGTAGTTACTACGCCACTGATAATGTATATCTTATTCCAAGGTTAATTGAATTATCAATGTCAGCATTATATCTAAATGTAATGCACATATGAACGTGTTCTCTTCTGCAGGTCTGCATTGAATTTTGTCTGCTGAGAAGATCTGTTCCACCAATGTTCCGGGCATCTTATCCTACATTTTTTCTGATCATCTCTTCTGCTTCCTATTTAAAAAGCATGCTGCTTGTGTCTTGTTAGTTCACTGCTTACTCTTTGGTTCTTTCGGTAAAGTCACGTAGGTAGAAAAATAACAGATCAAGATGGTTTGCTGTGGTTGTCCCACCTGGTGACGATTGCTTGTGTTGCGATCGAAACGTCTTTGATCTATTATTTTTCTAACTACGTGACTTTACCGAAAGAACCAAAGAGTATGGATTCCTGCAGTCACGAAAGCTTCAAATCAAGATTATTTCACTGCTTGCCTAACCGAACTGTTCATAAAAAAAACCCACTATGCATTTAGAAAACTAAATAAATAAACAGACCTCCGTTTGTCTCTCCACAATCAGATTAAGATAATTATTTATTTCATCAGCATCAACAAGTGGGCATCATATGGGCCAATTTTATCCGACATTATATGTATAAACCATGATTCTCTCAACTGATGGTCCACTGGTCACGTGCGGCCCACCAAGATATTTGGCCCAACAAGACCGAGCGGATAAGTGAGCTGTCGACAAGTGGCAGGGATTGCTGGTCACGTGTACAGATTGTATGACATCACAACCCCGCGTGACGTCGTAGCGTACGACCACGTGACTAGCCAGTATGGCGCACGTGTGATAACGGGACTGGAACCTCCTTCAGCAGTCCAGCGGTGCTACCTACACCAGCACAGGCGGATTGTATTACGTGGCCCACCGGCAAAATATATATATACTTAAATATCCTCGGTATAAACGAATTGTAGGGACTGGTTTTAATCTTCTGGGTCTCATCGGCAGATTTTGGTTTGTCAAAACGAATGCTGTAAGTCATGGGTTCCCGGATGCTGTTGGCAAGAGCACTGCCATCTACACAATCGGGTCCTGTTCAACGCAATAAAAGCAACTGGATAACAATTGATTGTGTTGTTGTAGAACAATATGGGTTATAAAATACACAAGACCTCCATTTGTGTCGCCACAATAGTGTGCTACAACAGCATAAAAGAGTGTCGTGTGGATTGCTTTATAAATAAACGTGTCCGTCTGTTATGTACGTGAATTATAAATGTACAGTATATATAATGTAAAGAGTTGAGAGAGAATTAATAAACATGATGCAAAAAAGGGACTGGCGTATGTGTTTCTTTGTAAAAGGTACAGAATGTGCGGCAAAGCGAAATATTTTCAGATCGCTACAATTGCAAATGACATTGCACTTTTAACTATTGTTCCAATATGCCGACTTTACAAACAACTTTTGCTATTATAATTTCAATTGACAAAGAAAGAACGAAGTGCGTATTCTTTGTATCCATTATTGTATTGCTCGTGGTCTCTAAAAGAGTTGTAAAACATCGTTTGAATATTTGATGTTAAAATGTAGAGATCCGGTTTCTTTTTCTTCTTCTGACTGTGGCATTACAGAATTAAGAAAACTTTGGTCAATTGCCAAAAATTTACAACGCAAGTTTAATCTTTGACAGTAGGAGAGACAGTTTAATCTTGTATAGAGGGGTCATTGGAGTTATAAGTTGGCTCTTGAATTTAGTCGGATTCGTTCGCAGTGTTTATGAATATATGTAACCCCTAGACAATCCAGTTTATTTACAAAACATTTTATTACGGTGTTTTTTTGTCGCCGGTAATATGGGCGGTAACATACCTTCAGGCTGTCTGTCTCTCCTACTGTCAAAGCAACTTCTGCAAACTGTGTTTATGCTGTATCTATAAAAATGCGTTCCGCCTCTATTGATCTCTGCAACTAAAATTGTAATGGCAGCTCTGTGTATCCACTTCGTCAATCAACTGCTGGATGAAGGCCTCCCGTGCCTTTCTAAGTTGTGGCGGTTGTTTGACCATACTTCACCACGATAGTCAATGCGAGTTGCTGAAGAAGGGAGGGGGGGGAGAGTCCCAAGATGGGTTCAGATATATCAACTCGTGGCCGGCAATCGACCTCGGATCGCGGTGGTTCATAGCGCAGCTGCGCATTCACTGCTGCGCCACTGCGCCACCACGTGACCAGCAAACACGTGTTGCTGTCCAGGGTACGCAAACAATGCCTCATTGTTACGCATCATTGACGCTGCCCCCATACCCAGGATGGCCAGCGGCAAACGCATTACATTGATCCACAGATCCTCGCCGGACAATCACTCCACGCACGGGAGCTGAATGTTCTCGCTTCTGAGTTTGCCAGCAAAATTGCCGCCACTTATCGCAATTATCCTCCCCCTCCGTACGCACAATGCAAATGACGGCATTTGAGATGCGCACGCGGTCGGCCGCGGCGCGTTCGCGTCCAACACAAAAAACAAACCCACGAGGCTATTGTTGGTCACTCGTGGCAATCTCTTAAGTGACTCACGCCACATGGGGGTGGCGTTGTTAAAACAGCACAAAAGGGATGACAGTGTCATGGCACTAAAATGCGGTGACGCCAAAAAAAACAAATGAAGAGTCGATCCGAGTAAATTGAGCGCTTGCGTAGTATTGACCTTTAGCTACAAAAAAAACAACAACCTTACCGTCGTACTGATAATGCATTAAGTTTAAAAAGTTTGAAATATGTGACAAAAAGGTGACGTTGTTTTAGATGGTTTGATGATGTTGCATATAGACAGCTGATGGGTTGTGAGAACCAGGGTCGGATTCAGTTTTATGGGAGCCTAGATTTGTTATAGTTTTGGGGACCGTTTGTAAAGCAAAATTCTTTTACTGCCAAATAATCCATCGTCATTCACCTTAGTTATTTCACTTATTTCATTCACGTGACATGTGAATTGTAAATCTAATTTGAAGCTTAAACAAAACTATATTCACACTTGAACAAGTCTATGCACTACTATTATTATATTTACTCTACCAGGTTAGGTCCACTGAGCTACATAGCTCTTTTTCAGAAGCGACCTGGCCACAAATAATAGCTTAACTAAGTGGCTTATCACGTGGACATTTATAGCAGCCAAATACTCGAAACCCGCGTTTCTAAACATGAAGGGGAAAACTGGAAGACCCGGAGAAAAATCCACACGATCACAGGGAGAACATGCAAACTCCAAATATATCCAACCCAGGACCTGGCACCCCTAACTGGAAGTAATGCAAATTAATGACGTGCCTTTAATTGTCAAATTACCTACAGGACGTATCACTGCAAACATTTCAATGCGATTTTGTGGGGGTTATAAAATCCAAGGCCCTGGACTGCACCCCCTAAACGCATAAATCATACTATGGGAACCTCATTTGCCAGTAAAAATATGATAATTGATTTTTTACCCTTCTATCTGGCAACAACACTGACACCTTTTGGCGTCATCTGGTCCAACCCATGTGAGACTAGGCTCTAAGGAAAGCTGTCTCGGGTGTGGACCAATCAACTTCAAGGACAGTGCACATTATCAGAGTTATGTCTTTTGTTTGTATTTATGACTGCAGGTATTGCGGTCTATGCAAACATGACTCCTTGTAAAAAGGTGTCAGTTTTGTTGCCAGATAGAAGGGTAAAAAAAACAATTATCACATAAATCATCTCCGTGAACCTGGCCCTTGTTTGACTTCAGCTAAAATTTTTAACTCAAAATAGCACCGCTTTGGATTGACGTTAGATTGCCCTGTAACATCGTGCCCTTAATATAAAACTGATGAGCAAACGCATAGAAACGAGGATCTACGTAGAATTCATCTACGCGATGTAAAACACAAATGTACAAGTGTACATTCGTTTGATACAGTATTCCAATGCCGTAGATGAAGTATACTGGACATATGATTTAAAATGGAATGGCTAGATGGTTTAATAGATGGGTGAATAGACTGATAGGCAGTTGGATTGATGAATATATATGCAGTTTGATGGATGTATGGATGATGAATATATGAATCGATGCATGAATGAATAGTCAGTTCAATCGATAGATGCATGCATGAATATGTGTATGGATGAATACGTAAATGGCTTGAGACGGATGGGTTGTTTGATATCGATGGTTGTATAGACGGATAGATAAACTTTCATGGATGGATGGACAAATATGTATTTTAGTTAGATAAATTGGGTGAATATGGATGAACATAGAGATAATTTAAGGTGCATGGATATATTGCTGCATGCATGGATGGATACATAGTTTCATATATCGAAGGGCAGATAGTGGATTTGATGGATGGATAGATATATGGATATATTGATGGATATTTAGTAACATATATATTCATGGATGGATTGTTTTATAAATGGAAAGATGCATGCTTTTATAGTATCTGACGGGTAGTCAATGCAACTATCCGCATATATCGACCAAACATGAATTTACAGCTCGTTGGATTCGGGGGCTAACACCATTGTGAAGACTCACACCCCCCGCCCCCACTAAAAGGAATACAGTACATTTATTATTTTCACCCCCCCCCCAACACCTGTGACCAACGCAGGCGTTTCCCAGTCGTGATGAACCCGGGGTATTGTCTCGATTAAAACGGAATGCAAACAATTGTTCAACGGCGTGAGCTTTAGCGAGCACCAATTACGCACACCGCTTCCTCTCTGCCCCCCCCCCCGTCTCGCTTTAAAGGGGACCGTGAACCCCACTAGCATTTGTAACTCGCGTGGATTGTCTCGTTCAATCGCTTGGGCCTATTGTGCGCAACCGTCGACCTTCTCTTGAACGCGCCACCACCGAAATAGCGTTCCGCGAAGGATCGGCACAAAGGGTGCGTGAAATTCGCGCAAGCGAGAACGTCTTCTGGGCAGAGAGAAACGACAGTTCTGCCACTGGACGTTGTGCCAGACCGCAACGCGTCCTGCTGTGTTACGCGAAATCGAGAAGAGATGGATTTTGCCAATGTCCTATGGGGCCGTCCATAAATGACGTCACGCGATTTTTGACGATTTTTGACCCCCCCCCCTCCCCGCTCGTCACACGGCGTCACAAAAAGTTAGACCCCCCCCCAAATATGACGTCACAAAGCTCCAAATCGCTTTAAACTATTGTCATTGTAGTGCGTATTTAATGTGGCGCTGCACTCTGATGTTGTAGGAGAAAACATTTATTAAAAAGTATATTTAATTAAGTAGAACGTGTTGTCTATATTAATTCAAAGTTGCGCATTTTGATGTGACGTCACATTTCTCAAACACCCCCCCTCGTCACACATCGTCACAAATGTCTGACCCCCCCCCCCCCCAGGTGCGTGAAGTCATTTATGGACGGCCCCTATACCCGTGACATTCATGTGACCGCAGCTTCTAAGGCTATGACTGTGAAACCTTGCGATGTCTCTCCTCGGTTACGAACATCAACATTTCTCATCCAGAACGTAGGAATTGCAACTCGTGGGCGCGTCTTGAATCGCAGCATTTAATCCCTGTTATGGTTACGTGGGCATAGCGCTTACGTTCTTGAATGGTAATGACAAGGTGGTTTTTGAGTAAGTGTGTAAGAGCTATTAACCGACTCACTTCCTCTCTACAAGTCGATAGATTATCGAGATTCTCGGCTGCGATTCAAATGAAGAAATGTGTCCATTTTGTCAATAATTAAATACAATTATTTCCCAATCTCATTTGTGAAGTTCTGTCTGCTCTGTCTGCTCTGTTAGCCTAAATGTAAGATTGTCAAATTATTTACATGTAATTTGTATAAATAATGACTATTTGATTCTGAAAGCATGCATCTTGAGTGTACCAATCGATTTAAATGTAGAAACCAATGCACCGTTACATGCAGTGGACTGCACATTGACTTGTATGATTGTTTATGCAAAATTAAATAATGGGGTAGAGATTGGCTCAGGTGACTAGAGCATTGCACTATGAACCTTGTAAGCTGAGTTTGATTCCTGGCCATGGCCATCGAACAAAGACGGTCACCGCATCGCACGCTTTCAGATGCGCTTATGCGGCCGTCTGGGACGCTCTTCTTTCCTATATTAGGAAGCCATTGGGGCTTTACACTTTTAAACAATCTAGTTTGAAAACCAATTTCTTTAGAACTGCTTTTTGTGTTTAGTTTGTTGTCCTTCCCCGGCACTTCCGAATAGCACGGTTGGCTACGTACGGTGCGAAAGAAGTTCAACATACATTCAAACATCAGTGGCGAGCGATATCGGAACCGGTCCTGGGCTCGCCCCACCCCGCCCCGCACCTTCACTAACCCACACTGTGCAGCATGGTAAAGTATGGTCAATTGACCCCCACTCCTGGCATGGTGTGGCGATATCTTTATTTAGTAGTGGATTGAGAAAAAATGTGCTGAGTAAAACATACACAAACTTGATACAAACTTGGCACTTTATATCTATTAATGTTGAACTTCTTTCGCGTCGTATGAAACCTACCGTGCTAATCGGGGGTGGGGGGGGGGGGACAACAAACTAATCACAAAAAAACAATTCTAAAAGAAATGGGGTTTAAAGTTCTAAAGAAACGAGTTACGGACTCACAGAATTGAGCAATCAATATTTTACGATGAACTTGATAAACATTTTATTTTATTAATAAACAAGCACATTGCTCAAAGGCATAACATTGTAGGCAATAGTCCTAATGTCCCGAGATCAACCTCCTTATCAGATACGTTTTACAAAATCACTGCATAGTCGCAACTAAAACATATAAAATACCGTTATTCTTATTCATATTCTTCCAAAAAAAAATCACAACTTGGACACAGGCTGCTGAACTTGCCTTCTCTTGCATAGCGACGCATATTTGTCCACGCTTACCAACATTCCCCGCTCAGATTCGCGCGAAGAACGCAACAACACCCTTGGCGTGGGATACCCTTGGCGACGACTCATCCTCTGACGTGCGATTCGGTCATCGGGTAGAGGAGCCACTCACGAAATAATGAAACGACACCAACCCACCCCCCCCACCAAAAATAATAATCCCACTGAGATCTCAGAAGACAAACGAGGTCGCGTGGGGATGTCCCCTCCCGTTTTTTTCTCGACCATAAATACTGAGCTCCCCACCACCCACAGGCTCGCGAAAGACACGGCTATCCTTGCAGCAAGAAGGAGGCGGTAACGCAGATATTGCAAACTGTCCCACTAATACTTTGCACGTCAATACTCAGGCTGCCGGTGTGAATACGGTCACAAACGTCGCGACGCAAAGTCTAACGCGGAATCGTCATTGTCGTGGCCTCGAAGAACAAGCCGGGAAGTCATGGGGCCCGTGAAGTTTCTCGTATTCGTGTTCACTCTTTATTTTAGTCTCAGGTAAGTTGGCCTCTTTGTTCAGAATGCCACTGCTGTGATTGATGTTACTTGCACACATCAGTTTTGTGAAAATAAGCTCTGGTTATTTCCCATTGTATGTTGTACTATTACTGTATGTTTTAGTGTACTGACTGATGTATTTTATTGAACTATTTTAATTTCCCCACAGGGATGCAGAATGTCACCTGACAGCCGGCGGGTAGGTGACATATTACTCTTCTTTTACGCTTTAATCGGACTCATAGCTTTGTACATCTCCTCAAATTGTAAAACACAGTGTGTCCTGTCGAAACGCCAAGACAACCTTCACTCTTCGATTTAAAGCTTTCGTGACTGCAGGGATTCATATTATTGGTTCCTTCGGTAAAGTCACGTAGAAGGGAAATAATAAAATAATAAAAATAAAACAATAAAATTCTCACGACGTTTCGATTGCAACACAAGCAATCATCATCATGAGGATTAATATTATTTTATTATTTCCCTTCTACGTGACTTTACCGAAAGAACCAAGACTATGACCTTCACTCTTTGGGAGGTCTCTTCTTCTCTGCTGCTGCCCCTGTAACGTTCAACTCCCTTCCACCAGTCAGTCCCTGGTCCTTGATCAAGTCCAGACTCGTGACTTTCCTCTGTCTCCTCTGACTGACTATAAGTCACCCAATATCTGTTTAAAGTTCAAGCTGCTGTGTCTTAGTTTTGAAATATGTACTGTGTCCAATCTGGAGGTAATCTGCCCGAGCAATATTTCAATTCCGAATGTGATAGTTTTTTTTGTTCTGATGGGTTTTTTTTTGCCACTTTGGTCACCAAAGTCACTCTTGCGGGTGGTCTCATGAATTGTCCCCTGGTGAAACTAAATCGGCTTGAACTTGATTGCCTTGCGCTTAAATTACGTTTTCGAGAATGTGCATGTCCACTGCTTTTTTTTCCGGCTTGTTAAGAAGCAGTTTAATTCAGGCACTAAAACTGTCAAACGGTAACCTATTGTAACTGTGACACCCCAATGCTACGCTTAGACGTGTGCTTTCTTAGTTGTCGTTGTTGTTGTTGTTGTGTTTTTTTTCCTGTTTAATATCTCAGGAAAGGTGTCTGTGTCAGCACCACAACAGCCGTGCAGGCCTACATTGGATATTACAAGAACTACTTGGGGTTCGCTTGCACTAACACATCTTGCACTAACACATGTTACGCTACGCAGAACACACTGCGCTGTCATCGTATGCAGTCTTCAACAGAGTGTCACGCAAATTATGATATGTATGCTGAACTTCTTTCACACCGTACGTAGCCAACGTAGCCCAACGTTGTTTATCGGAGGTACGAAAACTTAAGGAAACAAAACTTAAGGGAAAAACAAAACTTCGGGACCCGCTTAATGTATCCAATGTACCATATTTTTGTAGATGGTGGTTGTGCAGTTATATCAGCTGTCCTCGTGCTATGGATTTGGGTACCATGATGCATTTTAAGGAGGCACGGTAGAAGGAGTTGGCTGAGTGTCTGAGTAGTCAAAGCAGTGAGTTGGCACCACTGAGGTCCTGGTTTGGAATCGCGAGTTAGCCGTCTGTCATTAAAATGCCTTTTCTTGTTCAGTGAATTAATCGTCTTGGGGCCTGTCGCCAATCACTGCAGACAACATTTCACATCGCGTTACATTTCGATCTGCACTCACTTGCATTGCAACATTTCTCATTGGATGTTGATTTCCCCATTTACTTTCAGAGTTGTAGTTTCCAAGACGATGTACAGGATTGTGCAGGTCACGGACTACCAGTGCTGCCCTGGGTGGTTTCAGAGCGGAGATAATTGCCCGATATGTAAGTAACTTTCTGCATGTAACAACCTACCTGGAACATTATGATTATTGAGAGGTGGCTGAGTGACAGGGTGATTGGGTAGCTGGATGGCAGCTTGGCTGGGTGGCTGAATGGTTAGGCGACAGGGTGATTGGGTGGCTTGGTGTTTTGGTGGCTGAATTGCTGGGTGGTTGGGTGATTGCGTGACTGGGTAGCTGGTTACCTGCGTGGCTGGGTGGCCAAGGTCTTGAGTTCGACGCCTAGTTTTAAGTGATTAAACTGGGTTGTCAAATGAAGTGAGTTTAAGTTTTCAGCCGCAGTCACCCAGTGGCGACAAAAGAAGGAGCGTTTCTCTGCCACGGGGTGGTGCACTGCTAGTTGTGATCGCTGTGATGGAGATGTACTTCATCTCATGCAATAATGCTGATTGCATATTTAGAAGATAATTCAAATAAATATCAAACAAGGCCATGTACAATAAAATACCCTGTAATGGACACGAACACCATTACACAATATTTTATAAGAAATTAAAGGAATATAAACTTTGTGTTGTGACCATTTAGACGTCTAGTCTTCCGATGAAAGCGCATTTTAAATGTTAAGGGGTTTATAAACAATGCGCACGCTTCACGTGACGAATCTGTGAATGTCTTTGTTAACTCCACAGTTGGATGCTTGGATAACTGTCTGAACGGGGGATCCTGCAGTCAGTAACAACACGTGCCTTTGTGAGCCTGGCTTCACGGGGAGTGTCTGCCAAACCGGTAAGAGGCTCAAAGCTTGAGAACTGAGTACTTATTTTTAGGGTTTTTTTCGGTAAAGTCACGTAGGTAAAACATTAAAATTAATAAAAGTAAAATAAAATAAAAATCACGACGTTTGCAGTCACGAAAGTTTCAAATCTAGAACTGAGTACTTATACTTAATTTGGAGCTTTCGTGACTGCAGGAATTACTCTTTGGTTCTTTCGGTAAAGTCACGTATAAAGAGAAAATAATAAATTAAATATTAGCATACGACGATTCGATTGCAACACAAGCAATCGTCATCATCAGGTATAAATGAAATAGAAACACAAATCTAGTATACTTAGAAATGTAATGTAATACAACAGAGAGTCGGATAACATAACAGTCAACACCCTACCTGGTTGATTACGTTCTTCCTGAGAATGTTAAATTTGAGAGAGAGATCAAACACAGAACCAGAGACATATAGACAGACATATAAGTAGAGACAGATATCACAGAGATACAGAGAGAGAGAGACATACATAGGCACATTGTGTACTTCCAGACGGAATAATTTACTTTTAGGTGCATTATTTGGACACGTCCGCGTGCATTTTGCCTTATTGTGTCCTCATTGTACCCGATATTCATATAAACCCTTTTCTTAGGGGTATTTTTGGAGTTTGCATGTTCTTTCCGTGGTCGCGTCGATTTTTCTTCGTGTCCTCGGGGTTTTCCCTCCACATTTAGAATCAACGTGCGTTTAGAGTATTCGGCTCCTGTACGTTTCCAAATGATAAGCCACTTCGTTGGGCTATCAAATGTGGCCAGGTCGCTTCTTGAAAAGAGCTATATAGCTTAGAGACCTTTCCTGGTAAGAAAAAAAATGTGTAATCAATTACTTATAAGTGTACCTTATAGTCTAGTGGTAGTGCCTTACACTGATAATCCCTTCTCCAAGCCGCCCAGCAAGCATTCTAGAAACAATGAGAGCGAGAAGTGAAGCCCTGCTTGCAACCTGAATGTATCAGATTGAGATTGCATCGTAACATTTTAATGTGCCCTTGTCATTGTCTTAACATCATCACCATGACAATGGGTTACACGCCCATTGTCTTTAGCGCAAACGGATACAATGTAATCAGCACGGTCCATTCCTACAAATAGTTATTGTATTTCGATTTAAAGCTTTCGTGACTGCAGGGATTCATCTTCTTGGTTCTTTCGGTAAAGTCACGTAGAATGGAAATAATAAAATAATAAAAATAAAAAACATAATAAAATAATTTTTATTATGTTTACTTTTTATAATTTTTATTATGTTTAATTTTTATTATTTTATTATTTACATTCTACGTGACTTTACCGAAAGAACCAAGAAGATAGTTATTGTATATTAAGTCGGGATGTTTATTCTGCCTTCTTCGTTCACACATTATTAACGCGGATGCGATTTTATTAAAAGGAAGCTGCTGATCGCTAGTTGTGACATTCAGATATTCAAATGTAACGGACATGTAGTTCAATAAACGTGATAACAACAGTCCATTCTTTGGAATCACAACTAATTACATAAAAAGAACCACACTGTAACCCTTGCTCCACCCCTCACCCCCCACACTTTCAGGACATATTTACGATTCCTACAATTCTGTGCAAGCACCAAAGGCTATGGAGAGCCAAGCTACTGCAACTTTTCGAAGATATTAAGAGTAGTGGGAGAATCATCTCAAACCGTCCCGCGAGGCTGCTTTGTTTTACCGCTTGATCGTGATACCCATTGAAAACTCCGTCTACCGCAAAGAACTGGATATAGTGTACGCAAAAAAACTAGTTAAACACATTCTATCAACTATGTTTTATTTTACCAAGACAGGGTCCGCTAAGCTACATAGCTCTTTTTCAGAAGCGACCTGGCCACAAATGATAGCTCAACGAAAGTGGCTTATCACGTGGAAATTTATAGCAGCCAAATACTCCAAACGCGTCATGTTGATTCTAAATGTGGAAGGGAAAACCCGAGGACCCAGGAAAAAATCCACGCGACAACGGAGAGAACATGCAAACTCCCAAGTATACAGGCGTCAAAGTCGGGATTGGACCTACGACCTCCCGTATACCTGGCGAAGTAGTTAACATCTCGCCACCGTGGCACAATTTATGGGCTATGAGTTTTATACATAAACACGTGTCTATATCTCAAACATGTATGTCACTATATGTGTTGTGGAACATATTCACCTACGATAATGCTGTGGCTAATGGATGACCTAACCTACTTAACCCCAACACGCTTTGTGATATTCCCTTCTGAGCAGATGTCGATGAATGCGCGCTCAAGCAGAGCAAGTGCAGCCAGATCTGCAACAACACGGAAGGCTATTACACTTGCGGTTGTCAGCAGGGCTTCGTGCTGGCGGCGGACGGCTTCACCTGCGTGGGTACGCATCCGCAGAATGTGCGCACCCAAAAGAGTGTTTGAAAGGGCAAAGATGAGATATTCTGATAATACTGGTCAACACACTTTGTCTGGCATAAGGTATTCCGACGGTTGTAAGGTAATTTTGGGGTGCTGATTCCAAATTTGGCATCAAATTTTGTCTATCACATCAGGTTTTTAAGATATTAAATATTGCATTTTCAAACAAAACTGCAGAAGAAAAATATTAAATAAATGTGGATATCTACATTAAATGATATTATAAACACACTATCCTAAAAATACAGCACCATATTTTAATACTAAAGCAGTCACTGACTCGCAACAACTTGCAATCATAAGTGACAGAGTTAATTTCGGGTAAAATCAATGAAAATGGGGTATGCCGATAGCATAAAAATGAGATGTGATAGAGCAAATCTGAGATCAGATTTGGACTCAGCACCCTGAATTAGTCTAAAACAGCTGCAAAAGTCCAGGCCAGAATTTTTTTTTTTGACCAGTGTAATGGATGTTGGGGCTATCTCGTAAGACAAAAGGAGGCAGAATGAAGAAATTACAGCCTAAGCCTGGGCTAACGGAAATTATTGCCAAGGTCAGAGGGGTGAGACATAGATGACTCGAGCACATGTTGTGTGCATGTGAAACTTCATTCGCACCGTACGCAGCCAACGGTGCTAATCAGTAGGTGCATGAGGATGACTACAAACTAAATCCAGAATGCAGTTCGAAAGAAATTAGTTTTAAATGTAGGTGATTTAAAAATGCATAGCTGCAGTGACTTCCTGCTATCGGAGGGAAGAGCGTTCCAGACGGCCGCAGAAGGGCACCTGAAACCACACGACGCAGTGAAGAGACAAATAAAATGTCGAGAGGAGACAGAGAAGATGCTCTTAGACGGGCTACGGAGATGTCACCAGTGTAGGCCAGAGGGAACTGAGGGAGCCCAAGGATGAGATTGGGAAGGATCTGGTGAAAGCGACAGTGCTCTTCACGTGGAGAGAATGTCACCGATGACGCCTCGTATATAAATCCAGGTGAGTGGAATGTGTAATGTGTGTGTTTGTGTCTTGTGGTCTGCCAGATGTGAACGAGTGCCTCACCAGTAACGGCAATTGCTCGCACATGTGCGTCAACACGGAGGGCGGATGGTCGTGCCAGTGTCCCGAAGGATTTGTTTTGAACAAAGACGGTCTCACCTGTACAGGTACGATATACATACCTGTCAACCCCTTAACAAGTGCCTACCTTAGTACAGACCAATTCAAACCGTATTGATCACCCCGTGCCCTTATAAATCTCAACGTTCATCCTACAAGGGACAAACACAAACAGAAACAATTAAATTGCCCATATTTAAACGGCCGTACGCCGTACGGACCTGAAAACCCAATTTCCACTGTACAAGAATACGGGGTAAACCGTATGGGTTGACAGCAATGGATATATTTTCGTGCTAACCATTTGCAATTATGAATCAACGGCGAGTTCAAGATGAATACAAGTAAATGGACAGATACGGATAATTAATCTGGTTGTCTCTTCAGTGCGGGGGGGGGGGGGGTGTTCGTGCGTTGGTTTGCTGAACTATGAACCCAGCAGTTGAATTCCCAGCCGTGGCTAACGTGAGTGGCGAGTGATATTCAAATAGCCCCCTAACTCCTCCACCAACCCAGTGAGGGTTTGGTGAGAGAAATGGACGTCCAATGGGTCTACGCGAGACGCATATCAAATGTCTTTCGCATTGCCTTGTCTAATTACCCGCCCTGCAGAAGGGACTGTGAAAAGCGCTGGGAGGTTGTGCATTGTGGGTATTTGCTTTGAGACCTGAGTAGAAATGCCAATCGCAAGTCGAACAGCCAAATAAACGTTTGCATTCATTGACGCAGACGTTCAGAGTGGAGAGTCGAACGCGTTCAATGCATAAAAAACAGAAGTTCCCAAACATTTTTGGTAGGGTGGTTTCCATATCAAGACCACTGGTTCCTGTGCCTCCTCCCTCCCCTCCCATTCTCCCCCAGCTCCCCCCCCCCAAATTACAACTAAGGTCACTGAGACCACAATTCGGAGACATTGCATGTCCACGGCATCAGTCAGCGTGGTGTTAGCAAAGGCATATGTTTAATGCCCTGCATCAGTGCCCTTTGCCGCCGCAGCTACGTGGCGCTGACGTTTGCCGATCAAATTTAATGTTTTCCTGCACGGTATCCATGCCTCAGTCTGCGCCACACCCACGCCCCTTGCCCCCCGGCCTTGGAGAGGCGAGGCGGGCACGGCCTAAATGTTGAGAACATATTAATTATTCCGCTTGTTCCCCAGGAAAGCCTCATCGGGTCTCTTCAGGAGGATCCTGCCAAACGTTTAGTGGTGGGGGGGGGGGGGGGGGGACGATTGCTGTGTATGGATATCAGTTGAGGAATTTGCAGGTCATTTTCAAATCTGTAAACATTTGGACATTTTTGACCGGCAACACAGTGGCCTACTCTCGTGAACGCCACCGCGGGATCTTTAACACCCCCTGTAAAAGCAGACGGCGCGTATTTTTTTCGGAAATAAACCGGCAGTAATAACCAAGAGTGGCTGCTGGATTCGAACCGCGAGGCCATGTCACCAAAAACAAGGATCCCCTGCATAGCCTTAACAGACTGTTGGCACTGTTGGTACGGCACACGAGGGGTGGGTGGCCAGCACCACGCCCGACCGCCCTCGTCTCCCTAGTGGCGATTGTTTTTACACACCGCACCAGGTACTCATTTGAGGCTGAGTCGACCTAGGGGAGGTCCGGGGCTGGTTCGGATAATCGTCACTGGTGTTAGCCGTGAGCGGGAAATCGAACTTGGGCCGCAAGGTTCGTAGTGCGGCACGCTAACCACTAACGCCACCGCTCCCCATGTCACCACCTATGAGCAGTGCCGGATTATCCTCGTAGCAAAAGTAGCTACACATGTAGCTACGGGCCCCGCACTTTCAAGTGCCCCGCGCTAAATGCGTTTAAGCTATCAATGCTGGTTCAGTGAATCTGCACTTGCTCCATTACTATAGTACGATACCGCCTTCAAAGTTTATTAACAACTGGGTGTTTAAGGTTAGCGATTTGTCGTATTATCTGGCTGTATAGCAAATGAAATAAACAATTACTTTACTTTATTTGTGTTTTATTATTTACGTGTTTTTTGCATTTAGGGCCCCTTTATGACATATGCTACGGGCCCCGCACTAGCTTAATCCGGCACCGTCTATGAGCAACGTATGCGGGGGGGGGGGCCGGCATGCCACTCAGGAGGGCCGGCGATGGTCAAACTGCGTCCTCGCGTTTGCTGTTTGCCGTTGCCACAGATGTGGACGAGTGCGCGGCCAACACGGACAAGTGCATGCAGAGGTGCAACAACACGCTCGGCTCGTACACCTGCAGCTGCGACGCCGGATACACGCTATCTGAAGACGGGCAGAGTTGTGTCGGCAAGTCCCGTTGTGCGGCGTGACGCCGTTGACTTGTGTTTTTTTTTACGGCACCCTCGTGTACGCCGGCGCCGTCTTTCGGAGAACTTCACGCCGCATCTCATCGCAACGCGCGTTCAAAAGGGCACCCCCAGTGGCAGCTGTCCATGTCGGCACAAGGTGGCTCGGCACGTGGCCTGCAAAACGGGCATCGAGTCTGGCAGTAGGGGGGGTGATGACTGCTGTGCGTAATCCCAAGTCCGCGCAGTGCAACCATCGGCAGTCATGTTAAGAATGCTGCACCGTGGGATAACTTTTCGAGGCAATTGCTGCACAGTGGAAGTCAAGTGTTGGAACCCACGATTCTGGGTACAAATGGGAATTGAACTTAGTTCATAGTGCAGTTTTCATTGGTAAAGGGTTTTTACTTTCTCTTTCTAAAAAAAATACTAATAATACGTCCGTTTAAGTACATTGATCTTGAAATATCCTTAAAAATCTATATATATAAAATCGTTCATGTCTGTCTGTCTGTCTGTGTGTGTGTGTGTGGACTTTGGCCCATACGCACTTTCATTGGACGGCGGTTGCCCCTGGCAACGGCTAGCCACGCCTTCGCCGCTTTCATTGGACCTGGCAACGGCTAGCCACGCCTTCGCCAAGGGCTGCAGTTTCATTGGACGGCGGTTGCCCCTGCCAACGGCTAGCCACGCCTTCGCCACTTTCATAAGCTCCGTATTTAATTAAATAATAGCCATTACACAGTATTGTTGGAGCGCTAGGGGGGGGGGGGAAGGAACGCCACCCGTACCCTGCCTTTTCCAAGCCGACAATTTTAGGCGAGGCCGCAGGCTTTGCACGCTACTAGGCCTCGACACCCACCACGCCACTCTGAGGTAAATTCATCAAAGTTTTTCCTACTCTTCACTACACCCCCACCACAATGTGTGCTATTAATATTACTTTTAAACCCAACGCGCCAACAATCGATTACTTTAATGTTCACTGTACAAATACTCATTAAGCTGGGTGAGCGTACTGCCAGTCTATCATGTACAATGTAGCCTGCTTATTAAGCTCGGTGAGCGTACTGCCACTCTATCATGTACACTCTAGCCTGCTTATGAAGCTGAGTGCGTGTACTGGCAGTCTATAATGTGGACTCTTGCCTGGTTATTATAATCGATTCTTTATATGTTCTTTGTACAAACAGTCATTAAGCTGCTTGAGCGACCCCAGTTCGATTCCAACTCACGCCCACCACCGCTGACGATTATTTGAAACGGACCTGGCCCTCCCCTAGGTCCACTCAGCCTCAAAAGCGTAACTGCTGTCGTGTGTGAACATCGTCACTGGGGAGACAAAGGCGGCGGGGCATCGTGGATCCATGTCCCGTGCGAAGCCGGGTCATGTGTATGTGTGTTTGTGTTTATGTGTATGTCTGTGTGTCTCTATGTATGTGTGTATGTATGTGTATGTATGTGTTTGTGTGTATGTGTGTGTGTATGTATGTGGGTTTTTTTTATGTCTTTATGTGTATGTCTGCGTGTCTCTATGTATGTGTGTATGTACGTGTGTGCATGTGTTTGTGTGTATGTATGTGTGTGTCTATGTATGTGTGTGTATGTGTTTCTGTGTATGTATGTGTGTGTATGTATGTGTGTTACGTGTCTGTCTGTGTGTCTGCATGTATGTGTGTGTGTATTGTGTATGTGTTTGTGTGCATGTATGTGTGTGTTTGTGTGTATGTGTATGTCTGTGTGTTTGTATGTGTGTGTATGTGTGTGTATGTGTTTGTGTGTATGTGTGTGTATGTGTTTGTATGTGTTTGTGTGTTTACGCTCGCATTACACAAATGTGTTGCTGGTCTAAGGCGTTCCTCGCACAGCATTGCCGCTTTATTATTTCAGTCGTTTACTGCCTTACGCACCCTGAAAGTCGTGTGTGTCTGCAGCAAGCGCGTGTATGTGTACCTATGGACGCGCGCGCGTGTGTTGTGTAGGGGGAACGGTAGTGTAGTGCTTAGCGTGCTGTCTGTGTCTGTGTGTGTGTCTGTGTGTGTGTCTGTGTGTGTGCGTGTGTGGTGTGTAGGGAGCGGTAGTGTAGTGCTTAGCGTGCTGTCTGTGTGTCTGTGTGTGTGTGTGTCTGTCTGTGTCTGTCTGTGTGTGTCTGCGTGTGTCTGTGTGTGTGTCTGTGCGTGTGTGGTGTGTGAGGAGCGGTGGGTGTAGTGCTTAACGCTACGCTGCGCTACCAACCCGGCGAACCGAGTTCGATTCCCGCTCACGGCCACCACCGGTGACGATTATTTGAACCTCCCCTAGGTCGACTCAGCCTCAAACGAGTAACTGGTGTGGCGTATTAACATCGGCACTTGGGAGACAAAGGCGGCCGGGCGTGGTGGATCCAAGTCCCGGGCGAAGCCGGGTAGTACAGCTAGTAAATTTATAAAAGGGTCGTAAGGTGTGCAGTGCAGTCTCCAACTATTATTCACTCAATCACTCTGTCCTAACCATCTACTATGAATCAGGGACATCTCCTGAAACGTCACCCGTTATATGTTTATCTTTAGAGCAGTGTTATTGACGAATATGTTGTGGATTTTGTTGTTGTTGTTGTTTTCGCGTCACTGCTCTCTCATATTTAAGATGCTTCTGTTTTCTTTGCGAAGATGTGGACGAGTGCTTGCTTAAGACTTCCGGATGCGATGCGGGCTGCGTCAATGACGTGGGCACGTATTACTGCTCTTGCAATTCGAGCAGCTACAGACAAGGCTCCAGAAATGGCTCGTGCGCAGGTACGATCTGCAGTCAACTTGAGACGTTTTTTTAATCGATTCCGTGTCACGTTTTGCGTTCTGATTTTAGTAACAAGAGTAATACAACCTATGACTAACTTACCGAGAGTGCGACCGACCTTGTCGGATCTTGGAAACCGAGTCTGGATAGTGCTCTTTTCTCACACCTTTTTCCCATGCCCCCCCCCCACCACCACCACCTCATCCCTTCGCTCCTTGCACAACCATCAAGATGTGAACGAGTGTCAGCTGTACCCGGGCTTCTGTGAGGTCAACTGCACCAATACCCTGGGCAGTTTCAAGTGCTCCTGTAAAGCGGGCTTCACTGTGGCGCAGGACGGCCACAGCTGCATTGGTAGGGCTGCAGCACGCTCCACGGTGTCACGCTCACGGATTGTCCAGAGGGGGCCCAACCCTCAAGTCTAATAATTCCATATTCCCACGCAGGATCACCCAGAGGGTTTCTAGAGGCTCAGGACAGGAGACGGAATTCAATGTGTGGGCCCCCATTATTCATGAGTGAGGAAAGCAGCCTGTTGTAGTGCCCTCTTTCACGTGAAGCCTCGGGCAAATTCGCAATTTTGCGCCCCTCCAGACCCCACCGCCCCTGTCCGGATGACCCAACCTAGTTCCCATGACCATTGAGAAGCAAGCCAGTCGAGTGTGCAGTATTCAGCCTGGCTAGCGTTCGCACAGTAGCCTTCGCGTGCTAAGCTGGCACCAACTGGGCCATGCGGATCTGTTGATCTGGGCCTCGTGGCTTGCTTTGCTGCTTTGCTGAGGCAGCTGCACTCTCTTAGCCAGGCCACCGTCAAAAGCAGTCACGACGTTGCAGGACCATTGTGGAAGAGAGGGCACGCGGTGTTTGCCACTTCAAGACATTGTTGCTTTGTTTTCGTGCAAATATTGAATATTGGCTAGAAAAAATAAACATAATAGCCGATCACTGTTTGGGATGACATAACCTAAAATAAACAAATGTAAAATGTTGAAATAAAATGTGTATCATTCATTCCGGACATTTGTTTGCACGTAGAATGAGGAAGGGGGCGGAGGAGATGGAACAGCGGCGGCTAAGCCCCCTTGAGTCACTCTGGTCTTGGAGCGTTGGAGCAAAACGCTCGCCGTGCAGTGCCATTTATGGAACAGACCAGAGAAGTTTGGCTACGTTTTTCACTGGTTGTGGAACCGTGTTAAGAGCATACCTGAGGGCTCATGTGGGAGCCTTTAAAGAATGGGTAGCACAGATCAATGATAATTATGAGTTGCAACTCAGTCACTCTGTTGTGCAGTTTGTTAGATTTTCTGGAAAAAATCTGCCAAGCACTGAATTCTCCTAACTTATTCAAGCATCCAAGGCTTAGAAATCTCACTAAACTTTTACCGGGTCACTGGTCAACCGGAATAGGTACGTGGCAAGTAGCTACAGACATAAAAAGAGGTATACTGGATGTGGTGTGCTGGGCATATACATATTTTCCAGATCACTGATCCGGACAGATCTGGCTGAAATGCAACGCTTAAAAAAAAGAAGGCAGCTACTCCTAAACTTTTCCACCGCCCCTGATTTCATTTAAGTCAAGCTTGGCAACGGCTGCCGTGACGTGATCCGATCGTGGTCTGATCGCACCGCGCGTTCGCCACCCCCCCCCCCCCCCCGTATGACACCACCGCTCCTCTACCTGCGCGCATTGTTTGCAGACGTGGACGAGTGTGCCGCCGGCCTCAGCGGATGTGCCCAGTTCTGCGTCAACACCTTCGGCTCCTTCAGCTGCTCGTGCGGCAGTGGGTACGGCATTGCCGGCGATGGCAAAGGCTGCGTAGGTAAATGCTCCGTTATTCCATGCCGTGTTGAGAAAGTGGAAAGTTGCTGAGACTTTAAAAATAAACGAAAAAGCGCAACCTCGTGGCACCAGTTCGGCTGAGGACAACACATTTTGTGCACAGATTGTTCGCAGGATTGGTGATGTCGTTTTAACATCCAAAGCATGCTGGGGGTGCTACTTCATGTTGCTGTATAAGAGACCGTTTTGCATGTGTATTGTCCGCCGAGCCGTGTAATTAGGTGCGTCACAATTAGTCTATCGGCCGGTCGCGTGTGATGGGGTAAAGTGTGGGAGTACACACACTTTGCATCAGATTATACTGGTAGAAACCACCTGGTTCCACCAGCCCACAGAGGATTATTGTGTCCGTCCGTCCGTCGTGCAGGGAGGGGCTGGGTGGGGAGGGAGGGGCTGGGTGGGGGTGGGAGGGGTGGGGCTCGGTGGGGAGGGGCTGGTCACCCCGTGGTGCCCTTATAAAACTCAATGTTTAACCTACTCACGCCGGCTTGTGCTCGCCCTCACAGTCGGGCATATTTGCGGAATACACCACGCCGCCGTTGACCCTGGCCATTGACCGAGCAAGCCAACGTTCCTACCAGCTCCCTCCGCAGGAATGTGTTTCTAATTGTGCATTGTGCGGAAGTAGTCACAAAGCACTGACTGTTGTGGCTTTTCTTTTTACTTAAAAAAAACTCAACCTGTGCCTTTCCATAAGAGCAAACCCTTTCATCTGCCTGTGTTTTTCGTTCAAAACGATGTTACTTTGACCTTTATTCGGGACTGGCAGACGTGAACGAGTGCCTCAATAAGAACGGCGGCTGCTCCCAGATGTGCAACAACCACAACGGATCGTTCAGCTGCGACTGTAACCCCGGGTACTCGCTCGACCCGGACAACGCGACCTGCTCCGGTGAGTCCCGTCTCTGCGTCTCCTCTTCTCTCGTCCAATTCGACGATCCTCGCCCGGCGTCGCGGTGGCTGCTTGCTCCTTGTCGCCGCTTCTCCGATGTCCATCTCGGCCGATGCGGGAACGGCAGCGCGTCCCCCCGCCACACCGCGCAGTCACTTGTCGACGGGTTGTCTTCCATCAGCTGATCGCTGCGGACACACGTGGACAAAGCATTGACTTGAGTGGCAGCCTTTAAAAATAAATATTTTTGTATTTCATTGATAAAGCACACACCATCACATAGACAAACTGATCTGAGTGTAAACATTCCCGAACGTGGATGTGTTTGCCTTTGTATCTCGAGTGTTGGCTGCCGCAAAGGGGAGAAACACACCCATACGTGACAAATAGCTACTCAGTTAACGCCAAATTACATCCCGAGATCACGTGTTTATTTTACATGATATTTTTTACGTTGCATGGAAATGTGCTCCTTCTTCTTCTCTGTCCTTTCTGTTCGGCCTCTTTACGCAGGCCGCTGGGTCCATGGACCCGTGGTGGCAGCAGCAGCAGCAGCAGCAGTCCTCCACTGCTGCCCATCGTCATCACATTCCACCTGTCGCTGATGTTTTCCCATCATTCCTCTCGGCTCCAGTGCCTCCTCCTCCACCCCATCAGTCCAACTTTGTCCGGGTCATCCTCTGCCAGTTTCCTTCCACTGGCGTCATTGCTTTTGCTTGATTCCTGTTTGGTGCCCTTCTTCTCACATGACTATAGCAACTTTACAACTGATCTTAACTGTCCTAAGGAGAGACTGGTCATAGTATTGACAATTGAAAAACGCACAGCTGGACACGTAACTCGGTTTGGCCTCTCAAAAGTGAAAATGTCTTCATATTTTTTTCATTATTATCATCATCATCAGCCATCATCTATCCACTGCTGGATTAAGGACTTCCCACACCATAGTCCTGCCTATGAACTTATCTCATCTCTCCATCTCCGCGGTAGTCATCCTCTCAGACGCGTTCTCTCCTTTGGTAGCCATCTATTGTTCGTTTTTTTTCCATTTAAGGCCACAGTGTTACTGAAGAATGTGTTGATTTTAAAACAAATGTGTATTTATGCTTGTGCACCACTATCAACGCAAGTTCTGCCGAATAATTTGTTTCGCTTTTTACATTTTTCTCATCTCTTTTGTATGTATGTAGGTACTGTGTGTATGTTGAACTCATTTCGCACCGTACGTAGCCAACCGTGCTAATCGCAGGTGCAGGGGAAGGACAACAAACTAAACACAAAATCAGTTCTAAAGAAATTCGATTTCAATCTAGATTTAAAAACTCATAGCTCCAGTGGCTTCCTAACATCGGAAGGAAGAACGTTCCAGACGACCGCAGAAGCGCACCTGAAAACGCGCGATGCGATGACCGTCTCTGTTCGATGGCGAGCCAAAAGCCGCCGCTGCGTGGATGACCAGAGTTCGTGTGATGGTTTATGCTCCTTGATAAGATGAGCGAGGTGCCTGTGGTTCATTTGTGGCGAGCACTTTGTGTGTGTAATGAGCGCGACCTTCTGCTCTTTGTTGCAGACGTCGATGAGTGCCAGATGCACAATGGGGGCTGCTCACAGATATGTTCCAACAGCAAAGGATCGTTCTCCTGCTCGTGCAACAACGGCTACACGCTGGCCTCCGATGGCCACAATTGCAACGGTAAAACTGACCTTTGTGCGCGTGATTAACCTGTAAGGGCGGATATGCGGTGGTCAGATACGCGACGTCCCCTCTGCTCCATGAGATCTGCGGATCGCCTTCGTGTAAGTACTCTGAGGTCAAGGCACATTTGTCTGCAGGGCTGATGGGGCTTTTACCAGTGCAGCTACCAAGCTTTGGACCGCATTGCCTTTGCTCATGAGACGATCATAATCGTTCGCTATATTGAAGTCTCTCTTGAAAACTCGCCTCTTTAAACTGGCCTTGACCCCCCGGTTATGGCCGTTTAACCCTGCTTCTGTTTATTTTCGTCTTTCCATACACAGGCGCATTGTGATCTACAGATGAAATGCGCCTTACGAATTTAAACCATTATTTTAATTTGTCCATATCTACCTCCATCTCTTCTTAGATTGGTGGAGTATAATGCCAAAGTAAGTCTATGGAATGACCTGTTTTATCTTGCAGATACGGATGAGTGTACCAGTAACAATGGCGGCTGCCATCAAGTGTGTGTCAACTGGCCAGGAGGTTTCTCCTGTGCCTGCAATGTTGGATACGTGCTCAACTCAAAGACCGGGTGCAAAGGTATAAAGCGTGCGAGGATACACAGCTATGCGTACGGCGCGAAAGAAGTTCAACATACACACGTACATGAGTGCCACGGTGGCGAGATGGAAAGTCCCTTGCCTGGTATTTGAAGTTTGCATGTTCTCCCTGTGATCACGTGAATTTTTCTCCGGGTCCTCCGATTTTTTTTTCCCCTTCACGTGTATAAACTTGCATTTAGAGTATTTGGCTGCTAGACATTTCCACATGATAAGCCACTTCGTTGAGCGATCATTCTGAACAATAGCTACATAGCTCAGTGGGCCTTACCTGAAAAAATACGAAAAAAATGTGTTTTAAATAGTGTTTAAACATTAAACCGCTTAACCCCCCAGCTACTCATGATTTGGTGTTTGCATTGTCCGACGCATTTATATATTTACGTGATAGAATATGCTTCCTCTTTATGCAGGTATGTTGATCTTCTTTCACACCCAGTACGTAGTCAACCAAACAGGCCACTTAGTTTCAAGGATAGTGTCAACAGTATCAACACATTTTTGTCCGTATTTTTAGTACCACAAGTATGTGTGGTAAATGCAGACACAATACCTTGAAATTGGTGTATGTTCGCTGTTTAAACATCTCAACACTTGTATTTATGCCAGAAAGGAGTTTGCATGTTCTCCTCGTGGTCAGCGTATATTTGTCTCTGGGTACTCCGGTTTTCCCCTCCGCATTTAGGAATATGCGTTTAGAGTATTTGACTGCGATATAGGAAAAAAAACATTTCCACATGATAAAAGCCAATTCGTTGAGCTATCATTTGTGACCATGTCGCTTCCCCTCAAAACCTCCCTCTTCAACCCCAGTGCGTTTGGACCTCCCTCAATCGCGTCCGTTTTCTCCACCCCTTGCTCACTCCCGTCCATCCCCTCCCATTCTCAGTGTGTATTCCTGAGCCTGGGATGTTTGCAGCATTCGGGGTGCATTACTAATGTGAATCGGTGTTGTTTTTAAATCCTTTATATTAAGTTCACTTGCTTGCTTGCTTGCGCGCTTACGACCGTGCAAATCTTTCGGTCGTTTTTTAACCCACTTCCCGTGATCCAATCGAGCTGACATTTTGCACACAGACTCGTTGTGCGTGACAATTTATTTTCGTGAAAATTTTTTCTCCCAAAATTTTCCACTTTTTAGGAAGAAAAAAATGTCATATTTAATTTAAAATACCAATGTGATAAAAATGAAACTCTTACTCAAGAAAAACAGAAATGAATAATAAATAAAACCGATGCCACGCATATAAAGGATTTATAGTGAAAAACTTAGTTTTTACGGGTTAATTTTTTTGTTGTTGTTATTGTTGTGGTATGCCAACAGATGTGAATGAGTGCAGTCCAAATCCCTGTCAAAGGACCTGCACGAACACTCAAGGCTCTTTCCAGTGCAATTGTGATCCTGGCTACAAACTGGCTCCCGATGGACTGGCCTGCATTGGTAAACATAACTTCTGCGACACTTCTGTGTCCATTAAACTACGCTTGAGTTTTATACACAATATATTTACTAAAGCTGCTGATAGTACAGCGTGAATTTATTCCCCGCATCGAGTTGTTTTAATATAAAGACATAATGTATGGCACACCAAACTCCGGGTAATGTTTTGATGTAAAACAATTAAACGTGGCTAATCCCACACTCAATAGTCATACTAACAGCATTGGGTAGCTAATTTCTCCAGGAATTTGATAAGACATTCTGCACTTGACAATCGAGCAAACCTAACATCAGAATGCGTGGTCCTCGCTTTCATCACTGCAACACAGTCGTATATGAATACCACTCGCTCGGTGGGAATTACATGAACAAACATCCAACGCATTCATTGATCTGTCCTCTGCACCTGCGTAAATTTTTTTGCTTTTGAAACAAACAAAACGTGCACTCAGTACACCGTATGGAACGCGCAGCGGGGAAAAAATCTCGATTGGTGTGCAGGCGGTGCAACTGCACCAGGGCCGAACAGGCCTCGTGGGGGAACCCAGACGTTGGGTTACTAAAAAGAGGGAGGGAAACTGCAGAGGGGGTCAGATGTAATTCCTTGCACCAGGGCACCAGGCCCACCACGCTATGCCACTGCGTACGGATGGGGTGGATTCATGTTGGCACGTACGTAACTGTGTTTTGCAGCTTCGGGCGTAATCGGGGGGCTGTTTGCCGTGAACTCGCTAATCCGTTGTTAATGCACATCCGTTGTATTTATTGACGTATTTATTTATTGACACCCAGACGTGGACGAGTGTGCCGCCGGGTCCTCAAACTGCCAAGGGGAGTGCGTCAACACGCTTGGGTCCTACAAGTGCAGCTGCACCTATGGCTATGAACTTCAGTCCGATGGCTCATGCGCACGTAAGAACCAAATGATGCCACGGGTCCCGTCTCTCTCGTCCCGTGCGCATCTTGCGCGCCCCTGCAATGCATTGCCTTGTCTAATCTGCACAGCAAAAAAAATCGTTATTCACCTTATTGTGGGGATATGCGAAACAATATAAATAGATGGATAATACGCCACCCCCCCTCCCCCCTCCCATATATGTATGTGTCTTGCCACGTAAAAATAAGTATTTTTTTTACACATTCCATGAGCCACTCGGCCCTTTTGGAGTGTATTTTTTTCGATGGCGTTGGTTTAATACAAAAAAAACAAAGACTTGCTATCGACATTCATTGTCTAATCAGAAGTCAGGCTTGGTTAAACCAATGCTGCCAGTTGTTCTGTAGGCAAGGGCCCCCTCTCTGTTAGATATGGATCCCAGTTTGACGCAAACATGTCCAAGACATAAGCGGCAGAGCTCACGTCCGTTCAGAGGCAATGCTAATCTTGTGTCTCTGCAATGCTTTTTTACTTAATGCTTAAAACAATGCAACTTTGTGTCACGTTTCCCTTTGCCAATCCACTGCTGGACCAATTCCTCCCCACACTGTGTCGGTCATGGGGATTGTTTGACCGTACTTCACCGTACTGGGTGAGCGCGGGTTGACGAAGGGGAGCTCCGGAACCAGTTCAAATATCACTCACCACTCACGTCCGCCGTGGCCATAAATCAAATGCAGGTGGCTTGGTTTGTGGAGCAGTGCACTTACCACTGTGCAACCGCTCCCTCTCTCATTGCAGTGGCGAGGTGTTAATTACCTCGCCTGGTTTACAGGAGCTCGTGGGTTCGATTCCGACCCTGATGCCTGTGTAAAGGGGAGCCGACACCAGATTGCAGGGGTCTCGTCCTTTATTCCTTTCCTTCCATCCACACCTGTCCCCAGCCGTCCCAATCTCGTTCCCGCCAAAGGCCCCCTCTTCCCGCCCGTTCTCTCCTTATATCTCCTCGATCACCCCTCCCACTAACCCACCTATTGGTGGGAATCCTTCCCCTGACACCCCTACACCTGTGTATTTGGAGTTTGCATGTCTCTCTCCCCGTGGTCACGTGGATTTTTCTCTGGGGTCCTCCGTTGTGTCCCTACACATTTTTTAAAGATGCGTTTAGAGTATTTGGCTGCAATAAATGTCCACGTGATGAAAAGCCACTTTGTTGCGCTATCATTCGTCTTAGCCAGGTCGCTTCTGAAAAGAGCTATATAGTTCAGTGGGCCTCACCTGGTAAAATTAAAATAGGTAAATAGGTAAGGTTTCTTTGGGCCCCAATGCAGGATGATGTTCAAAAGTTCTCTCTGGTCTTCTAGTCACAGCTGGGACAAACCATCGTAGCTTCCTCTTCTTTCCTGTTGCCAGGAGTAGTTCATGTACCCCAATGCGCTTTTAAATCGAAATAGAAAACTCATTACTTGACAACTGCTCTTTTGTGTTTAGTTTATTGTCCTTCCCTCCGCATCTCTGAGCACGGTTGGCTACGTACGGTGCACGAAAGAAGTTCAACATACATACACCCATCCAACTATTCACATATTCATCCATCCTTAAAACTGCGTATCCATTCATCCACCTATCTGGCTATCTGTCTATTCACTCATCTATCACACCATGTATCTATCCATCCATCCACCCAGCTATCTATCAAACCACCTAGCCATTCCATTTGATAATGTCAATTTATGGATATATTTACCGTGTCGTTTTCGTTTTTTCGCGTCGTCTTTTCCCAGGCTCCTCTGTGTGCGCCGACATTTTGCCACTGTGCGTGAACGCGGACGGATGCGAGGTGGTCACCGTCGAACTAAACTCTATCGCCGTCTGCATCTGCACCCCCGGCTACATCCTCTACAATGACTCTTACACACTCTGCATTGGTAAGTCTCGTGCGCTTCACCTTGAACGATGCGAATTCAACCCCGATGACGCTTGGAGAGCTGAATGGAGTTCAAAGGAACTCACAAACAAACACCTCGTCGTGTAAGACCCAACACAGAAGATCCCTGGGTTTGATCTTCCACGAAGCTCATGGTCTACCCTAAATGACACCCACGGATACCTGAAGCACAAAAGCGTCGTTTATTCTAATCGCTGGACGTCATTTAACGAGCATAAGCATATCTGAGATGACTAAACGAGTTGACACTTAAATACTGGCAGTCAATTGTCCATTTGCAGGTCAGTGCTTGGTACGCACCTCTGATTGGCAGGGTTGTCTGCGTACGGTGCGAAAGAGGTTCAACATACATACACACAAGCACCTTGTCCTGGACTGGGACAGCTGCCCCCTTGAGGTCCCCTTTGCTAAACTGTAGCAAAGCATTTGAATGGTTGAGATCAGGGATTCATTTCAGCCAAAGCTGCCTTGGACTGATGGGTCTGGGTTTGGGGGGAAGGGGGCAGGTGGCGTGTGGTGGGGATCCAAGGGGGTTGGGGAGACCAGGGAAAATAAACCCATGAAAATTAAGTCCTGATTCAGATGAGATTTGGCGTAATGTGATTTGAGTTGCCGTCCAGATGTTAACTACCTCGCCTGGTATACGGCAGGTCGTGGGTTCAATCCCGACCCTGACGCCTGCTGTATATTTGGAGTTTGCATGTCTCTCTCCCCGTGGTCGCGTGGATTTTTCTCTGGGTCCTCCGGCTTTTTTCTTCACATTTAGAAACACGCGTTTAGAGTGTTTGGCTGCTATAAATTTCCACTTGATAAGCCACCTCTTTGAGCTATCACTTGTGGCGAGGTCGCTGCTGAAAAAGTGCTATACAGCTCAGTGGGCCTTACCTGGTAAAATAAAAAAAATAAAAACGACTTATATATTTAGTTGATCGTTTAATAGCAAATCCTAATAATCACCAATGCAATCTTGGTTGCAGATGAAAACGAATGTTTAAACGGCAACGGCGGGTGCTCCCACGCCTGCGTCAACACCAACGGTTCGTTCAGCTGCATGTGTCCCCGCGGCTACGCAATGGGCAGCAATGGTTCCACCTGTCAAGGTATGACACACGCACCGCTCCCCCTGCTTAAGCCTTAAGGGTGGGCTCGCAATGGATTTTGTACTCGCGATAAGACATCCGCGTCCTGTGCCCTTACGTAGCGTGAAATTGGTTCATCCAGTACACACCAACACACAATGTTGTCCCATGTCCGAACGCATAGCCACGTGTAGAGTGAATTCAAGCTGCATATAGCGAAAGCGCACAAACTGAACCCACATAATGCAGCGAGGGAAACCTATATATAATGTAATTGTAAAGTCACGTAGAAGGGAAGTAATAAAATAATAAAAATAAAACATAATAAAAAAATTCTCACGACGTTTCGGCCACAACGCAAGCAGCCGTCCTCAGGTGAAGACCAGGTCTGTCGGGGAGACAGCGTCTGACCTGGTCTTCACCTGAAGACGGCTGCTTGCGTTGTGGCCGAAACGTCGTGAGAATTATTTTATTATGTTTTATTTTTATTATTTTATTACTTCCCTTCTACGTGACTTTACCGAAAGAACCAAGAAGATGAATCCCTGCAGTCACGAAAGCTTTAAATCAAATATAATTGTACTTTGCCGTGCTCTGCTGTTGCCCCTGACCAGAAATTAATGAGTGTACGTCCGGCCAACACAAGTGCCAGCATGTTTGCACCAACACCGATGGTGGATACAAATGCTCCTGCAGAGCCGGATTCAAGCTAGATGCCAACAATGCCACCTGCTCAGGTGAGTGGCAAGAGCTCGCCTGTGGGATATCATTCTGCCATGCACAAACGGCGAAACGGTGAGACGTAATACCAACGTGTCACATAGAAGTGCGCGGAGCAAGAAAACCAAAGCAGTTAACCCCATGTAATTATAATAATAATAACGTGACGTTTGGCTTGAAATAAGAAGCGTGAGGGGTGTGCTACTTAGACCCAAGTAAAGTCGTGTTTGTTTCTGGTGTCCGTTCAACGAATCGGATTTAGGACAATAGGTCACATTTTATAGAGAATATCCCAAGGAGATGACTCCATTTGATTGGAGATGTGTCTCGAGTGGCTCTGGAAAAAGCATCACGCATTGGGGCCCATTCACCGCGTGCTGCAGAGGTTCGCGGTTCGGCAGAAGGCCGCCCAAGAAAATACTGACGGTGTTTTAACCACGAAATGCATGCCGTCTGCCTCACAATTGATGTTGAATATCCCGTGACATCGTTCAAAAAGAGTAGGCCATTGCGTGCTGGGATCGTGGTCCAGCGTTTTGCCATACAGTATTTGTAAAATGACCTTCAAATTACTCCATTGGGATGACACGAAGCAGCATCGCCCACCAACCCCCCCCCCCCCTTTACTGTGAAAACTACCGCTGACCGTGTCTGCGAAACATCGTGCCTTCGTGATAGCCCCGTGCTATTAGATGGACGCGCTTACCAAATGTAGTTTGTGAATTATTATTTAAGTACGGCATTGCATGCAAGAGCACAGGGAACAGAGGAAGCACACAATTAGATTGACGCAGCGAAGAATGATTGACGCAGTGAAGAATGATTGACGCAGTGAAGAATGACCTCAAACGAGAACGGCGACGAGCGGAAGGAAGCTGGGATGAGACGGATAGAGGAGGCTGAACGATTCTCGAAGAATCATTCTCAAAGAATCGTTCAGCCTCGTCGTCTCTGAAAGGAGAAGGGAATGGAAGTGAATAATAAAACATTTAAATCCGCTATGTCAATGAATAGCGGTCAGACTCGCTGCGAGCAGCATTTTTGTACGAATGTCAAATGTTCCGCCCGTTCCCCGTAAATGAGGGGCATTGTAAAGGGCCGTGAACTTGAGGCTAATTATCCTTGACGTGCTGTAGCGTGGTAACGTTTAAAATTCGCCGTTTGACGACAGTGCTCTCTTGTGCTCTGACAGACGTCGACGAATGCGGTGTCAGCAATGGTAATTGTTCCGATGTCTGCATCAACACATATGGATCGTACAAGTGTTCGTGCAAACCTGGCTTCCAGCTCGCCAGCAACGGACTCAGGTGCCAAGGTATTCTTCGTCGAATATTGCGACGTGTTTTCTCCACTTCCCAGGGCCCGATGTCAACGCAGGCGCTCATAAAGGTGCACGATCATTCATCATCGTACGCATGAAACAGTTCGTCGTCATTAAGGCCACCTCGAAGTTGACATTTGTTTTTATATTCTTCGGGTCTTTCGGTAAAGCCACGTAGATAGAAAAAATAAAAAAAAATATCACGACGTTTGGATCACCTGATGACGATTGCTTGCGTTGCGATCAAAACGTCGTGATTTTATTTTTTATTTTTTCTATCTACGTGGCTTTACCGAAATACCCAAATAATATGAATTCCTGCAGTCACGAAAGCTTCAAGTCAAGATTTGACATTTATTGTGAACGCTAATTAGGTGTTCACCCCTTGCATAGAGAATCATACACTTTCTTAAGCAATAAGGAGGAGTGGCAAAATAGTTAGCATACTCCAACCTTAATCTTTAACAAGCACTTTGAATAGTTTCCGCATGACGGAAATGTGCAGTGAAAATGAGGAACGGGCAGGCTACTGAAAATGGCCGCGGCGTCACACGTGCACCAAGTGAAGTTCTTCTCACCTCCGATTAGCACGGTTGGCTGCGTGTGGTGCGAACGAAGTTCTGCATACATCCAGTACATGTCCGTCCGCAGACGTGAACGAGTGTGCGGTGAACAACGGCAACTGCGAGCAGAACTGCCGCAATGTGAACGGTGGCTTCGAGTGCTCCTGTAACCCCGGATACCTGCTCATGAACAACCGGCTCACCTGCATGGGTAAGTGCCTGGTCTCGATGACAATGCGTCGAATCTAGAGCGTACCCACGTGACGATCAACACGTCGGCTGGTTCGAATTTAGGTGCCTGTCTGTGATGAAACCGGGTTCTCGCGTGAAGCGGGTGCTTGGTCTCACGCCGTTCGCCAATGATTGCACAACAACAGCAGCTTACATTTGGTTCTGAGCTTAATGTGCCTGAATTCCAGCTCTGATAATTAAAAATATTCGTTTGATTCTCATGCAAACACATTTCTTTGTAGCAAGGCAGAGAAGCAAACCCTGCCTCCTATTGTGTGCAGCAGCGGTCACTTTAAGGGGATCTCAGAACTAGTTATGTGATATCCACTTCTGTGAACCAGTCATTAAACGCGGCAGTTGCCCTGCTTTTCTCGGGCTTTAAATTGATGCTTTATCATGTGACGTGGCAACGAACCCACAGTTTGGATAACATTTTGGAAAAATATAATAGAAAACGCTATTTATATTTTATGAAAAAATATGAAAGAAATCTCTTACCTTCATAGCACAGAAGAATGATAGAGCAGTCGCAGAGTGCCTTGGCTGAAACACTGACATCTGTTTATTTTCTTCTGTCTCATGCGTATTTTCACCTTCCTGAGTCTGGGGTGTTTTCAAATACCAGGCATAACCAGGCACTTTCACTGCTGGACTGCCAGAATATTTTCTCTTGATTGAGTTGTCATTGCAGTGGAAATGGTTAAGTAAATGTAAGTAATTTATTTTCCTTTGAGATGACAGTGGCTTGGATGTCAGAGCACTGAGCCAGTACCCGTGAAGTCCCGGGTTTGAATCTGTGATTCAGCCCCCAGTGACGAAACTCGGTTCTTAAATGTAATGAGTTTATTGTCTCAGCCCGGTCACCAACAATGATGGCACAACAAATTTCACGTTAAATGTGGTTTTCATATCATGTGGCAGAATTCCAGTTTCACTGCCAAAACAGTATTACACTATGAGACATCTCCTTTACCAGTGGCAAAATATAGTAATAGGTTTTAACCCTTTCAACTGGTACAAAAACTGACACCTTTATACAAGGGGTCATGTTTGCAATGACCACAACACAAGCAGTCAAATTGCCTTTTGGCGCCATCTGGTCCAACACCATTAGAGACGAGGCTCTAAGAAAAGCTGTCTCCGGTGTGGACCAATCAACTTCAAGGACAGTGCATTACATTATCATCATCAGAGACGTTTCCTTTTGTTTGCATTTTGACTGCTTGTGTTGTGGTTATTGCAAACATGACCCCTTGTATAAAGGTGTCAGTTTTTGTACCAGTTGAAAGGGTAAAAACCTATTACTATACAACAGTATTAGTTTCACTGCCACGTGACGAACATTTGTACGAAGTCGGGTGTGTGGGAATTGATTTAGTTCTGTCATTTCTCCAAAGTCGCAGATTTCACTGTTCTCCAATAGTTCTCAAGAGATGCTCCCTTTCACGGGAATATATTTCAAAATGGGAAATCACTAAAAAAAGTCTTCCAATTTTTTTCCTCTGCCAGCATGTGGCGGTCAAGTGTCAGCGCTGGAGGGCAGTATTGTCTCACCCGGCTACCCATTCATGGGCTTCGATGTATCCATGCCGTGCATCTGGAACATCACCGCGCCTGCCAACTACAACCGCATCAACCTCACCTGTCTCTACGTGCGGTAAAATGCGTTCATCCACACGAGCAATACGCCTCTCCCTTCGTATTCATGGCTAAGGGGCCGTCCATAAATGACGTCATGCACCTGGGGGGGGGTCAGACATTTGTGACGATGTGTGACGGGGGGGGGGTTGAGAAATGTGACGTCACGTCAAAATGCGCAACTTTAAATAAATATAGACAACACGTTCTACTTAATGAAATATACTTTTTAATAAATGTTTTCTCCTACAACATCAGAATGCAGCGCCACATTAAATACGCACTACAATGACAATAGTTTAAAGCGATTTGAAGCATGTTTTTTTATTTTGGGGGGGCAGAGCTTTGTGACGTCTTATTTGAGGGGGGGTCTGACTTTTTGTGACGCCGTGTGACGAGGGCGGGGGGGTCAAAAATCGTCCAAAATCGCGTGACGTCATTTATGGACAGCCCCTAATACCAGTGGCCATCATTTGAAACGGTCCTGCGCCTGTCCTAGGTCGAGTCAGCCTTAAAAGAGTACTTCGTGTGGTGGTGGGGATACATCAGCGCCGGGGAGACTAAAGTGTCCAGGTGTGGTCCTGGCCGCATCATCAGCTCATGCAATGTGCCGGCCTTATAGGTGCTCACTAACATTCTTTGCCCTAACAGCCTGTATGACTGCACTGATCGTGTACATTTGTTGAATCGTATATATGCGTGCGTGTCGTCGTTGTTAAGTGAGCATTTTGTCAATTTCATCCAAATTTTGTACGACCATACAGGGGATCTTTGGCTTTGCTGTGTGTGTGTGTTATATACATTTGCATCTTTGTCTTGGCCGAGGTCACTGGCGATGCACGTTGAATTTTCTTTCGCACCGTACGTAGCCGACCATGCTAACACTGGTAAACACACTTTTCCTGGCATAAGGTATTCCAACGGGTTTAAGGTAATTTTGGGGTGCTGATTCCAAATCTGGCATCAGTTTTTGTCTATCACATCAGGTTTTTGAGATATCAAATATTGCATTTTCAATAAAAACTGCAGAAGAAAAATATTAAATAAATGTGGATATCTACATAAAATGATATTATAAACACACTATCCTAAAAATACAGCACCATATTTTAACACTAAAGCAGTCACTGACTCGCAACAACTTGCAATCATAAGTGACAGAGTTTATTTCGGGTAAAATCAATGAAAATGGGTTATGCCGATAGCATAACAAGTAAACCCGTAAAAACAAAGTTTTTTACTCTAAATCCTTTATATGCGTGGCGGCTAGAGTCCTCTCGTCCTCTGGCTTGAGATGGCTGCCACCTATGGGTCAGATGATTGTCTGCCAGTATTAAGCAATTGGTAATTAAATATTTAATTTGTTTTCCCTAAACAGTGTAAAATTTAGGAAAAAAATTGTCACGAACATTAATTGTCTCGCACAACGAGTCTGTGTGCAAAATGTCAGCTCGATTGGATCACGGGAAGTGGGTTAAAAAACGGCCGAAAGATTTGCACGGTCGTAAGCAAGCAAGCAAGCACGCAAGCAAGCAAGCAAGCGAAATTAATATAAAGGATTTAAAAATGAGATGTGATAGAGCAAATTTGAGATCATATTTGGAATCAGCACCCTGAAATTAGTCTAAAACAGCTGCAAAAGTCCAGGCCAGAATTTTTTTTTTTCTTTTTGTTGACCAGTTGTAATCGGAGGTGCGGGGGAAGGACAACAAACTAGACCCACAGAAAAAAATGGGACAGAACCCACGGCATTCGCCTCTTGTCAACGTTCGCGTCGACCCCCACCCCTCCCCATCACCGTGCGCAGTTTTGACGACGGCGGCACATGCAACCTGGCCTACATGAACGTCACGTCTGTGCCGTCCTACACGCGCACGTGGTGCCGTACGCCCGGCGGCTCGCTGCTGGGGAACGCCACCGTGTTCGTCGAGTACTTCTCCTCCGGCACGGGCCCCAACACCGGCTTCCACTGCCACTACGCCGCAGGTGACAGGCGGACGCACCGGTTCGCACCACGACCGGCCGGATGTTAACTCCCTCGCCCGGTATGCAGGAGGTCGTGGGTTCGAGCCCCACCCCATGACGCCTGATGCTGTATATTTGGAGTTTGCGTGTCTCTCTCTCTCTGCCCGTGGTTGTGTGGATTTAACTCCGTACGCCCTCCGGTTTTTCCCTGCACATTTAGAATCAACATCACGCCTTGAGAGTATTTGGCTGAATTTCGATTTAAAGCTTTCGTGACTGCATGGATTCATATTCTTGGTTCTTTCGGTAAAGTCACGTAGATGGGAAATAATAAAAGAAAGTAAAAAATGTATTTATTATTTCCCTTCTACGTGACTTTACCGAAAGAACCAAGAGTATTGTGCTGCTATACGTTTCTACATAAGCCACTTTATTGGGCGATCATTTGTGACCAGGTCACTTCTGAAAAAGAGCTACTGTACATAGCTCAGTGAGCCTTACCTCGTAAAACAAAAAAAATTGCTTAGATTAATCTGTGGACAAAACTCAAGCAATTTGTATAAATTAAACGATGGGTGGGAGTCTTTTTTTTTTTTACAAAGGCAGCTCTACACACACACACGCACACGTTGTGAGAGCTAGAGCAGAACGCACCGATGGCGTGTTGTCCCTCATTCTGTTCAGCGTTTAACCTTTGGTTTGTGCTTGTTTAACATTGACTGTGTTGTGCACCCCCACCCGCCCCCCTGAGTTTTTGTGTGCCCCCTCTTTAAACAAGATCACGCGATGGGGTTGGGTAGGGGGGGCAGCTGAGAGGGGGTGGGGCTAAGAGAGCTTCGGCCCCTCAAATGTTACCATTCAAACATCAGCTGTCAAACCTCTCAAAGCCGGACTCGGCGAGAAAGTGTGAGGTCACCGCCAGCAGAGCACGCGATAGACCCGATGAAACGAGGGAACTCGTGAAACTTTTATTCGCGCAACGTCCAAAACCGATGGACGGTCACGCAAAGTTCGTGGCGGGCCGCCGCGATCGGTTAAACCTGTGCCCACGGGCGAGTCAGTCGACCACGTGGCCCGCTAGTGTTCTCTGTTTTCAAACCATCGTTTTAAAATAAACATTGCATTGCGAGTATAATAATCCATTTCTTACGACGTCTATTTCAGCTCCTTCAAATAATATACTCATGCCTATGGCTGCTGCTGGTGGTGGTGAAAACAGTAGGGATTTGAGACCTATTTCTGTTTAATATTGAGTTGCTGATGAATGGGCGAGATCTGCGGGGTCCAGTTATCAGCATAAACACAGGTTTGGGAGTATCAAATTAATGACGTCAGTCGATGATTAATGACTGAAATTAGTCTGAAAAGAATTAAAATTGGAAAAAAAAGTTTGGAGAACATAGGTCGATAATGGATTCCCAGCCCCACGTTTTGTGCAAGAAACGCAATTCATATGGATCGTTCAAGGGAGGCAAGTAATGGGAGACTTTAAAAGGGCAATTGATACATGTTTCCAGAAGATAGAATGGGAAATGTCAAAATTTCAAGGATCTTGATCTCAAAACATTTCTCCCTCCCCCCCATTATGAAAATAGTGTGACCACATCTTGGCCAAATATTGTTTGACTAAATGTTTTTGCTCCCCGTGTTGAAGCTGGTCACATCGCCCTTGCACATGCCATACTTAGAGTCATTTAAGGACAAGAGTAAGGATTTATATTTAGAGTGTACTTGAATGCCTCGAGAAAATGAAGGCGCCTTACACCACACCTCAACCAATCCAGTGCCCTGCTGCAGTCTCGTCAAGGGGACTGTCAGTGGCAGCTGTCTCTGTGCCTCACAAGGTGTATGCAGGGCCAGCCTGCAAATGAGCATTCGTCCACCATTTGGGGGCACTTTAGCTATGTGGTTTTCACGAAATAAGGAGGCATGTATTTGTGAGTATGGTATTTGATCAGTTTTGATATATTTGATCCAAATTGCCAGTAAATTTCCGTAATGTATTTTTTGTTTATTATTTGTTTTCTGTGTGTGTGTGTGATGACAGCGTACAAGCTGACGTCCGCTTTGAGCACAACTACCGGAGTGTTTGGATTCCCAAATTCCTCCGGTGAATTGTATCCCAACAACGCCAACCGGACCCACATCATTTATGCCTCGGGCAGCAACCGCATCTGTCTACAATTCACAGCCATGAGGTTGGTCTGCAATGTCTTAATAAGAGAAACGTGCTCGACTATATCTGGCTTTTGTTCGTAAGGCAGTTAGGTAAGAGATGTTGGTTTAAAACACAATGGGAACGTTTCCTAAATCCCTCCAGCTTCATGAATGGGTGCACCGCTGTTCATCGATGGGCAGGTCACGTGTGGTCGGGTAAAGTGTGAGTGTGTGTCCACCTCTTCCGCCAACAGTGGCGCGAGCAAGTAATTGCAGGGCTGCACCTTTACCTTTTGCCGATACTGTACTGTCTTAATTTAACAAAACACAAACTCTCAAATGTTTTCTATGCAGATTAATCTGCAGGCTGTTTAAGATAATGTCCCAACAATGAGAATGTTGTACGTTTTTTTTAATATATCATATAGTGCACAAGACCGTAAGAGGTGGAGATAGTTAAATGCCAAAGCATCAGTGGCACCCGCTCGACCCCCACGGTGAATTTGGTTGACGACGATGGCGATTATGATGCCATCTAATCGGACAGCCCTATAAAGGATAAGCGTGATGCAAATCACGCAGAAAAGCAGCATTGGGTGTGCATATGGAAGCCATCAAATGACCAGGGAGCATCCAAACTCAAGAGGCCTGATGTGAAGCAACACAAATTCTGTAATTTTGATGAGGCAGCGTTTAGTTATTTTAGTTAATACACCGCACATGCAGTCTTCAGTCGGTGGAGCAATGGCCCAGTGCTTATACAATGAAACCAGCAGTGTGACTGCCAGCTGTGACTAGCATCAGCGGAGAGAGATATCTGAAACCTGGCATGGCCTTCCTCACATCACCAACCCACACCGAGTATGGCCAAACAACCACCATGGCATTTACACAGCCCCGGGCAGACGATATATTAAAGCAAGGTGCGCTGCGTGCTTCGGACGCAGCCTGGAGAACAGCGCGGGTTGCAGCAAGGACTACGTGGCTGTATACGACGGGGCCCTGGTCACTGCGCCGATTCTTGGCAAGTTCTGCGGGGGCTCGATCCCGGCCAAGATCGCCTCCAGCGGCACCAGGCTGACCGTGATGTTCATCTCTGACAGCGAGACGCAAGACGCCGGCTACAACGCCTCCTACGCCATGAAGTAGGCATCGCTCAGCACAGGCGGCAACACGCTTGGCCCTTGTTGTTTGTTAGATATTGTAACCTGGATCACCCCGTCAGATGGAACATTTTGTTTACGTGGGTGTCCATGGTGTAAAGGTAACACATACATTCATAACATGCCTGCCTTCCTTTGCTTTCAAATGCAAGCCACAAGTCAAGAAAACGATCAAAAATATTATAGTACAAATTATTAACACTGCCTTATAAGGAGGTGGCCATGTGGCTCAGAGGTCAGATCTCTGAGCTAGCACCACTGAGATGAAATCCCAGCAGCCAGCTGTGATCAAGCCAGGTTCTCCAGTGTAGTGAGTTGACTGCATACAAACATCATGGGACCTCCCTTTGCCAGTATCGAAATATAAAAAATTAACCCGTAAAAACAAAGTTTTTCACTATAAATCCTTTATATGCGTGGCGGATAGAGTCCTCTCGTCCTCTGGCTTGAGATGGCTGCCACCTATGGGTCAGATGATTGCCTGCCACCATTAAGCAGTTGGTAATTAAATATAAAAAAAAAAATCCTAAAAAGTGTACAATTTTTGAAAAAAATTTTCACGAAAATAAATTGTCACGCACAACGAGTCTGTGTGCAAAATGTCAGCTCGATTGGATCACGGGAAGTGGGTTAAAAACGACCGAAATATGTGCACGGTCGTAAGCGCGCAAGCAAGCAAGCAATGTGAACTTAATATAAAGGATTTAAAAAATAGCTTTTATCCTTTCCGACAATAAAACAGGTGTTGAGATGTTAAATCACCAAACATAAATCTTTTGCAAGGAATCATGTCTGCATTAACCACATATACTTGTGGCGAACATGCAAAAAAACCATGCTCTGGTAGTATATGCATTGTTTTTGAAACTGATTGGTCCACACCAAAGACAATGCATCATAACGACGTTGTTTCGTTATGATGTCTTCTATAGTGTATTACAAACCTAATATGAGCACACCCTTAGCGTGCTATAACAGACTACCTGACCATGCATTGGAACCTTTTTCAGTCTTTTAAATACAGATTTAAGCCCAGGGACCATTGGACACATATACAGTGTATGTGTAAAGGAGGACTTGACTGTGTCGTCAACAAAAGGCTGTTTTTTGAAGCCAGTAATATAACACGTCCAAAATAAATTCCCGAGAGAGCCGGATAGACTGCATTCGAGCCCTTATATACCGATCTCAATCCGTTCCAGCAATCAGCGTGCGACGAAGCAGGCAGTCAATCGGGCGAGTTCAAGCTTGCGTTTGAACGTTGCCAGCCTTTAGAGCTTGACCAGTTATGGGGCATACACATACACATATGAACAGCAAAACTGTCAGTTTATGCACTTTGGTTCTTTCGATAAAGTCACGTAGGTATAAAATAAAATAAATCACGACGTTTCGGGCGCAACACAAGCGTCCGTCATCAGGTGGGAAAGCGTCGGACGTTTGTGTTGCGCCCGAAACGTCGTGATTTATTTTATTTTATACCTACGTGACTTTATCGAAAGAACCAAAGAGCATGGATTCCTGCAGTCACGAAAGCTTCAAATCAAGATTGTCAGTTTATGCTTTACACAAAGGAGGATATAATTAATTGATATAGTGCGCTCACAGTCACCCATGCATATATATTTTCATTTAGAATGAACTGATATGTTTTTATTATCTCGTTTATAGGTCTCCAAGCGGCTTCACGTGTTGAGGGATGCTGGAGGAACGTCATCAACCTCTCCCCAGCCATCTGTGCCAGCAATTCCTTGTCCCCTGTTTGTATCCGGGCTTGAGTCCTTAATTTTTGCCCCTCTTCCTATGACTGACTGCCTCACTCTACAAAATAAATATGTCCCACTGTTTTTGCACTGCATCTTGAGAGGCGGTCGCACTTAGACTCTATGTAAATCCAAGTCATTCTAGCTCCAAATCAAGTTTAAATCCAAATCGTCAATTTTAACATCAGCAGCATCAGAACCAGCATGTCACTACACACCTCTAAATTGAATTATCGAAATGCAGAATTGTCAAAAAGGAGGCATGCGAGTAACAGTTTTCCATTCAATTTGGATCCAACATAAAGCAGTTCACGTAGATTTAATATTAATAAACTACTTCGTAGACTTTACATTTATACGTCGGGAGCCAACTTAAACAACAAGTCTCTTTTGTAAGGACGACCTGACCAATAAGGTGGCAACAGCACAGTGCAATACAGAGCAGCATACATGGCTGAGACAGATTAACAAAACAATCCTGTTTGACATCACAGTTAAACACATTTATTGTAATAAAGTTATATATTGCATTTCTCTTTTTTGCACATGTATTGCGGATTATATTAAAGTGGAAACTAAATATATTAGTTATGTTTGGTGGTTTTAAAGAAAATATGGCATTTTATAGTATTACATTTTTTAATATGTACTACCTATTGGATTACTTTTGGGATGACAATTAAATTCTGGAAATTATAATGGAAATGTCTTTATTGATGTATGGAGCCATTGTATTTCTAGGGATACGCCTTAGTAACAGTGAGTTATTGTACCATCAGACAGTATAAGGATGAATAAACAGTCTATGAGTACCAAGTGTCAATAATTATTGGCTGTGGTATTGCTGTATGCTACATAACAAAAAAACGATTACATTTTTACCTGTCAGTAATGGGGGAATTGGTGGTGCAGTGGTAAATCCAGCAACCAAAGTTGAATTCCCAGCCGTGGTTAAATTCCTGCACGGACCAGCGGGGGAGGGGAGTGCTCCACCCAGCCGACGATGAATGAAAGGGATGAAAATCACGCTTAAAATAAAAAGGAATATTTTAACAAACTTTTTTAAAAACACGCTTTAATGAAATTTACCGTGGTGATTTACAGCCAACGTCAGTTGAGCGTGGATAATTAGACCCAGCCGAAACATAACATATAAAAAAGAAAGTTTAAAAATATAATTAAAATTTTTTTTTTTATGATAGAAAATAGTATTGTCATCAGTATGACATAAGTATACCAAGTTTGCAGTCGATACCACATTGGGAAGTGGGTAAAAATTTAGTTACAAGATTTGAGAATACAACAGACAGAGTGAGTTAATAAAAAGCGCGTAATAAAATATATATATATACAATGTAACTTGTGTTGGCCTAGCATAATGCCGGAAAATTACCTAAAAATTACTAAACTGGGATTATACTTGGCAACATCGCCCCACACTGAAAATGTGTCAGCACCCTCCTTATGAAATAGCCTTGAGACTCAGGCTATTCTGGGTGAAGATGCATAACAAGAATCATAGATGCATGTCCTCGCAGTCGATTATACTGAACGGTAAGCATCCAACGCTGCTTTAGTTCATGATGAAAAGGAGTAAGCCACACTTTACCCCACCACGTGAGATCTACCGATCAATTGTGGGGTGTCCATTTAGTCAGTTTTGTGGGGATTGGAAGACCAGTACACTCACCATTACACCATGCCAAGACAACTATTACGGGTCCGAAACATCCTAGGCTCCTGTTGGATATGGACAGATATATGAATGAAGGTGCAAATGTCTGCTTACTTGATATTATGTTTATTCTCCACAACGACGTGAACCATTATTTTTTTTATCTGGAAACAGGCATTTCAGGAGGCATTAGATTCATTTTGGTCTTGTTAGAAACATTCTCAACAGCGTTGCACAAACATTTTACTGGGATCGTACTGCCACTATCCTAGAATCTCGCCCAGATCCGGAAGAACATTGGCAAACAGTGGAACAGCACGGGCGTCCGGAATAAACGCCTCTTTCGAGACCCAAACATCGCATCTCCTGGCTCTGACATTCCTCGAAGATACTGATATAACCATCAACAGACCAATTAGCACATCTCCTTCGCGAACGAAAATTAAAGACAAGGGGCCGTCCATAAATGACGTCACGCACCTAGGGGGGGGGGGTCAGACATTTGTGACGTCAGTAAATGACGTCACGCGATTTTGGACGATTTTTGACCCCCCCCCCCCCCATCGTCACACGGCGTCACAAAAAGTCAGACCCCCCCCTCAAATATGACGTCACAAAGCTCTGCCCCCCCAAAAAAATAAAACATGCTTCAAAAAGAGGGGGTCGACGTCGGGGTGTTGCGTCTGGGGTGTGTGGGGGGGTAGTTGGGATGAAGGCGGTCAGCGTTGGGCCATGTTTGTGCCACCCGCAACAACCGTGAGGGGCAGCAGCAGCACCACCACAACCACCACACCACAACCACAGCACCACCACAACCACCACACCACAACCACAGCACCACCACAACCACCACACCACAACCACAGCACCACCACAACCACCACACCACAACCACAGCACCACCACCACCACACCACAGCAGCATCACAACACCACCACCACAGCACCACCACAACCACCACCACAGCCCCACCACCACACCACCACCACACCACCACACCACCACCACCACACCACCACCACACCACAACCACCACCACAGCACCACGACCACAGAACCACACCACCACAACCACCACCACAGCAGCACCACCACAACCACCACACCACCACCACCACAACCACAGCACCACAACCACAGCACCACAACCACCACCACCACACCACCACAACCACCACACCACCACACCACCACCCCACCACCACAATCACCACCACAGCAGCACCACCACAACCACCACACCACCACAACAGCACCACCACCACCACCACCACACCACCACACACCACCACACCACCACCCCACCACCACACCACCACCACCACCACCACCACCACCACCCCACCACCACCACACCACCACCACCACACAACCACAACCACCACCACACCACCACCACCACACCACCACCACACCACCACCACAACCACCACACCACTACACCACCACCACCACCACCATCCCACCACCACCATCCCACCACCACCACACCACCACCATCCCACCACCACCACACCACCACCATCCCACCACCACCACACAACCACACCACCACACCACCACCCCACCACCACACCACCACCACCACACCACCACCACCACCACCACCCCACCACCACCATCCCACCACCACCACACCACCACCACCACACCACCACTCCACCACCACACCACCACCACCACACCACCACCACACCACCACCACCACACCACCACACCACCACCACACCACCACCACCACCACATCACCACCACACCACCACCACACCACCACACCACCACCACACCACCACCACCACACCACCACCACCACACCACCACCACCACACCACCACCACCACACCACCACCACACCACCACACCACCACCACCACACCACCACCACAACCACACCACCACCACACCACCACTACCACACCACCACCACCACCACACCACCACCACCACCCCACCACCACCACAACCACAGCACCACCACCACCACACCATCACACCACCACACCATCACACCACCACCACCACCACACCACCACCATCCTACCACCACCACCACCACTGACGTCGTCAGTGACGTCACGACGTGGTCCGCGCGAATTGTTGGCGGGAAGCGGCGGCAGTGGCGGCGGTGACGATGGTGGCGGTGGTGGCACCACCCGGCAGTCGTGAGGGAACCTCTCTAAGTCTCTAAGTTACAACTTCTCTTGCCGGTCGGAACATGCTTTGTTTGTCAGTCGAACGAATGGTGGGGTGGTGGGGTGGTGCTTAAATGAATTAAGAAGTTAAAGAACTACGGGCGAATGAGTCGGTGGTGAGTTTGCTCAACGTGATCGAACTGCGTGGGTCGTACCCGTCTAAAGTATAATGCGTGTGTTGTAGCGAATTACATTGTGTGTATTGTAACGTCTCGTATGCTAGTGACATATATAGCGTGTGTAGAGTGGGGGACTTGTCCAGCAGTGGCTTGAGCATGGTACACGTGTACTTTATAAGTACTTTATAAGTACACGTGTTGGCAGTGTAGTGAGTTGCAGTACGTAAGTATACACACGTGGTGTGTGATGTTACGTGCAGCACTAACACTGCAGTTATGTGCGTTTAAAGTGTTCTCTTTCACGTCATTAAAAGTACTTGTTTAACTTGTGACACTTAGTATCTTTACTGTGTTGTTTACACGTATAGCTATATACTGCGGTGTACATGCATGTAATGTGTACAATGCTGTGTATATGAAACACAAGTACGTGTGTTGGTACGGTATATAACAAATAGTACATGTTTAAACTATGTGTATTGGTATGTACACACGCACTGTATTGTTCAGGATGTACTTATGAAAGTTTATGTACAGTGCGCGTACAGTACGTGGTCTGGTGTGTGTGTGTACATTGCACTGTTGTGTGTTTTAATTTGTGTGTTTTAACATATTGTATTGTTGTTTACGTGTGGTATATGTCACATGTGCAACGTATAAGTCTATTTCCTCCGTATGAAGTTTAGTGCCTCGCATAGTGAAGGATTTATACTTTGTATATTAGAGTTATGCTGGACTGTATACAATGTTAGACTTAGCAATCGAGTGGGCCTTGATCCGGTAGTATATTGATCTTGGCTGATGTTGTTAAGCTTTGTGTAGCAATGTGAAGTTTACGTGTGACAGTGCGGTGTTAACGTTAAGAACTAATAGCTAAGTGTGCTTTCCCTAATGACAAAACTATATAGTTTCGTTTCCGTCTATTATTTTTTTCGGTATTTGCTCACCCTTTCCTATAATTTTCACTCGTATCGATGTTACTGGTAGGAACCTCCTGGTGACACCAGCCCACATGGGATTATTGTGTCCATCGTGCAGGGAGGGGCTGGGTGTTGCATAGTGGATAGTCCTGCCATTAAAAATGTATCGAGTTATGACATATCACATGTGTAAAATATTTTTGGGATAGCCCGCATCCTCCATATACCTCTCAGGGTCTTGATTTGTTTGTAAAAAGTGGTCTACCCCGCGGGTTATATGCGGGAAAATACGTTTTGCCTGTTATACGTGCATCCTAATCAATAAGCACAAACTCCTATCCGTGCTCTGGCTTTTGGTGTTATCCGACACTGAGAATTCGCACGGTAAACATGAGTGACATCGAACTGGGGGGTAATTCATTCTCTTCGAGTTGAAAAGTTAATTTGTGTGGATAAAATACGATGTCACTGTGCTCAATAACTGTGTAACATCTGTGTCAAGCTGTAATGACTTGCATGCCTGGTCTCTGCTGTGCCATTAGTCAATATAGCATGCATGGTATCGATGTTAAACTATTCGCTTATAGACTCTATTTTGAAGAAATAATGTACAAAATTTGTAAACCATAATATTTTCATGATCACTAACCCAACCTCCATAGGCTTATAAAAGTGCACCAACAAACATTGTCCATGTCCAGAGACTTCTCTGTTTTATGATTTGTCTTTTTCAACAGTATATACTTATATCTATATTCCAAATATATGAAGTACAATACATTGCTTTAGTGTCAACATTTTACGATGTTGCTATGCCTGGTTATTTTGGTGCTGCCTTGTTGGAGAACCGCCCGTTTTTATTCCAGTGTACTAATGTTCCAGATATTGTATTACATGCGTTCTCTTTTGTGCTATTGTGTTCGGTATTGCTCTACTGTTATCATCTTCGGATACCTAAGTCTGCCTTGAAAAAGACTTTCATTCTCAGTGGGCTCTCGCCTAGTTCTAACTACCGTATGTATTTCTATAGTGTGTGACATTTTCAGCCAAACAGTGCAGTCTACTGGTTTGTGTGGATTCTCAAATATTTTTCTCCAAATTGCCTCACACGGCAAGCCCAAACATGTTCGTCCATCAAGAGTGTAACCATGGATATTATACAGCTTAGTGTTTTACCCATTATCAGCAGCAGCAACAAAAAGTTATTTCAGTGCTGACAAACTACACGTCAAATTCTGTGTATGCTGTATTATTATAAGCCAAAGCAAATGCTCTGTTTAAAAAAAATAAAACGTAACCCTAACCTCTCTTTGATGTCACTAAATACAAGTGGATAATTTGTACTTTTTGGTTCTTTCGGTAAAGTCACGTAGTTAGACTTTACCGAAAGAACCAAAGAGTGTGGATTCCTGCAGTCACGAAAGCTTCAAATCAAGATTGGATAATTTGTCTTTATAGTCATTTGCAGGATTTCATAGATTATTATTATTATTATTAAAATTTGTGGCTCTGTAAAATTGTTCAGTTTTTATATTTGCCAATATGGATACACCACAACAAGAAAGTGCACAACATCGTTCTGCCCAGGCTGTTAATACATTTAAATTTATGCCCTAAAAATTAAAATGTTTAACCTTGAACTGCACATTTTGATAAGCGCTTTATTTTAACAAGCCTGGTTTGTGCTCGCGACGCAAATTGGCACTAGCTACCTTGGCCTACTCAATATAATTTGCTTTAACATCGCCTGGCTGTATGTCATTCTGCTATTTTCACGCAGGCTTTACAAACACGCCTGGTTCTGCCCGGGCCTGCAGTGGCGATTGTGCCCCAGCTGCCGCTGCCCACTCTGATCGCCTAAAACCATCGTGAAGACGCTCCATGGTGGTGTTGGCGTCGTTGGGATGCATACCATCTGTTCGTGGTTAAGATGTTTATGAAGACAAGGGATTATTTCTTCACCGTTGTTTTGATGCATATTCATTGCGATAGGACTGCTGCCGTGACATTGGCTTGCAACGGTCGGTCACATTTTTACGTGTTGAAAAAGACAACCGAATTGTTTTCAAACTCTCTGAAGGTGTTGAGCCCATTAGCGGTTCGATTTGCGCCAGCATGTTTGGAAATAACGGCAATAACATGGCCTTGGAGGACACGGATGCGCTCAGATTACAACTCTACTTTGCTGGGAACTCGCTAAATCTCGACTCTTACCTCAACGGTGTTGACATCTTCCTCCATCTGCTTCAGCAATGCTGGCCCAAGGTGGCGACTTTGAAAAATCTCCGCCTCGGCACGAATGTGCCAGAGTCCAGCCTTACCAAAGCTCTGTCCGGCGTGTCCCGTTTGTACGCGCTGCGATCGCTGGCTATGCGTGGCGGGATTGCCCGCAATGACCATGGGGCCGGCATCGCTGGCTCCCTCGTTCGCCTCCCCGACGATATTTTCTCGAACCTTTGCCACCTCACTCACCTGGAACTCAGCTGCAATCGGCTGATCAGTCTTCCACCCACCCTGCGAGGACTGACGTCGCTCTCCATACTCTTCCTGGCCAACAATTGCTTGCAGGTATGCATTCTTAGTGTAATTAAACACCTTCTCGATGAAGGTGTAGTTTATGCAGTATATGTAGAATACAGATTTGTTTCTATCAAAACAGAGATGCAGTCACAATTGGTGATGTCTTGGTTTAAATATAAGAACATTGACATTGTGCCATTTAAACAAATGAGGAAGAAGTTCTTAAAAGATTTCGAACCTCAGGTTAATTCAAATAACTTAAAAAACTTACATCTATAAATAAAACAACATTGCATTATTTGCATGACTAAAAAACAACTACATCTTCCAATGTTATGAATGTTGACTTAAAGCTTTTCGTGACTGCAGGAATAAACCTAGCAATCATTGGAAGGACGTTATCAACCAGTTTTAAGTCATAACTGGCTGTGATGTTCCCATCCTACAACCTTCTGATGTAATTTTCGGCTCTCGATTTTACATTAACAGGTTAAATTTTTCACACCAACAGCCACCGTCGCTCGCGTCCTCAAAGTGACAGCGGCTCTGCGATCTCACATTAACGTGCTAATCTCTCACATTAACATAGGCACCTCAGCGTGCTCGCCGTGGAGGCCGCTCACCGATCTTACATTAACATGCAACTTGTTACCTGGCAGCCTTTTAATTGGTGGAAAACCCACCACCGTCGTGGTCGCTGCCCACCACTTACATTAACATTAGCTGTCCCACCCATGCTGCTGACATTTGGGCTATGCCCATTTCAAACCTTTATAAACAGTTTGCCTTGAGAAGCTAACCCCCTTTTCCTGATGACGACCGCTTGTGTTGCGATCGAAACGTCGTAGTTTTTTGTAATTTTCTTTGAACCTATCTACGTGACTTTCCCGAAAGACCCAAAGAATATAAATGTCATGAAATTCTAACTTCATACATAACAAAATAGAATACATCACATGTAATAATATACTGTACTGTAATTTGTACTGTGATTTTATTCTGGCGATTTTTGAGAAGCATATATTTTTTATAAAGTCTTGTTTCCCAGGAGCTTCCTGAATGGCTGGGGCAGCTCAGAAGCCTGACTCAGCTGTCGGTGAAGGACAACGACCTGTCCTCCGTGCCACCAAGTTCCTTGGAGGGGCTGTCCGCCCTGTGTTGTCTAGACCTGTCCAACAACCGCCTGGAGACCCTGCCAGAGGAGCTGGGCTCCCTTCATTGCCTGGAGGACCTGGACTTGTCTAGGAACAGCCTCGCCTCCCTTCCTGCCTCGTTGAGTCAGTGTATTAATGAACCGCTGCTGATCTTGTGTATCAGAATAACCACTTGCCAATTCAATTCAGTGTCATAGACACAACCGAGCCATGTCAGGGCTGTGGCAAGCAAGTCCGGTGCGGCATAGGATCTCGCCAGGTTTTTTCAACTGCAGAACAGAGGTCGCAAACGGGTTTTGATTCCTTACCCGTACCCGGCCGCACCAGGGTCGCAAACGGGTACCCGTATCCGGCCGGGTACGGGTATCGGGTAGGGTATGGGTATCGGGTACCCGGTTGCGACCTCTGCTGCAGAACCAGAGCCGTGCCATTTACGTCACGAGTTGAGTCACAGCACATATGGAAAATTGTTAAGCCTGCGTCTGGTTTTGCTTGGCCCCAAGCTAGATTCAATTGTCTTGTAAGACCAGAGTTTAACGGTTTGGTCGTGGCTTGACATTGCGAATCGATTGTTGGAACACCACAGGCTTACGTTGATATGGGAATCAAATGAAATGAACCCAGAATAGGGTTTCAATTTAGGGACACAGCCCGGGCCACTTATTAGAGCACGGATTTGATAGGACATTGGAATCAATTCGTATCCTTCCCAATTGATGGTTTAAATATGGGCGGGTGACTATCCACTTACAATAAACCTGATTAAATGAATTGGTCTAAACAGCAGACTAGGGAGTCAGAAGTGCTAGGCTCAATAGAGGGGTTAGGCAGGGGAGGCTGTAGTGCAGTCCACAGCCAAAAGGCTGTGTAATAGAAGTTGCGTAGACTTTTTGAACTCTTATTTGCAGTTCTAAGACCAGAAAACACACCTCCCTACATCGCTACATGCTCGCAAATAGCACTTTACCCCAACAGCATGTTAAGGGTGGATCCCGTGTTGGTGCGTAGGTGGGATGAATCGTCTGAAATCGCTGTTCCTGCACGACAATCGTCTGATATCCGTGCCAGCAAGCCTGGCCTCCCTGCCGGCACTATCCCGCCTCGACCTCTGCAACAACAGCCTGCGCTCCGTGCCGCCCGAGGTTGCGCAATTGTCCTTCACGCAGCTCAAGGGGAACCCCATTGGCAGACCCGAGACCCCTCCACTGCACGGTACATTTGCAGTCACCGCACACACCTTACGTGTATCATCAGCATCAGGCCTCCCCAAGTCACCGCCACCTCTCGTAATCCTGCAATGTAATAATACAGCCAGCACAAAGCACCGACTCTGATTTCATACTGCTCTATTTCCTAATTGAATGTCCTCTCGGACGAGTACCATTCCATGGCTGTTACGTTATTATTGTTGACCATAGGTCATCATTATTGAATTTATAACCCGCCAAGTTTAACTTAAGAAAGACATTCAGGGGTTAAGCATATTGCATCTTCATGACAAATAACACGCGTGCCTGCACATGTCCTCTTTACATGGCTTGTGTGTTTTTTTTTTATCCAGAAAAACACATCGATGAACCCAAGATGATAAAGATGAAGCTACTTTCGGACCACGGCAGGTGATTCCCTTTTTTTGCATGTGAATACACTTCGGATGCTTTGGCTGAAGTGAACTTCAAGATTGTGCCCCAATGTTGTCCTTTACGTGGGATCATGTCAAGAGGAGTTTATATGTGCAGTACATCAGTATACTTGTGTTTGAATAACACAGGCCGGAGATGGGGAGCGGTAAGCATTACATTCCTATGAAGCTAAGTTCAACTCCGGACTACAGAGAACATCAGTGGCAATTGGCTTCCGAACTGGTTCTGAACCTCTCCTATGTCGACTCAGCCTTGAATGAGTCCCTGGTGTGAGACAGAGGAGGACCAAACCCACGTGGTGTTGGTCGTTCCACGCTCGTACAGTGCCGGTGTGAATAGACCGTCGCTAACGATATGGCTAAGCCGTAGAGTGTTTACCACGCTACGGCCTGTTTCGCAGTTGGAGCCCAGAAGCCACCCTGGTTTATACTGCGGGGGTATTAACAAAAAAACACGAGCCATCTGTTCCACAGTGAATGTTAAAGATTCCGCAACGTTATTCTGAAAGGAGTAGGCCATATGCGCGGACATCGCAGTCCAAATTTGGCACATTTGAAAATCACAACATTACACAATTAGGTAGTGCCACATGGAAACATCGCCTGCTACTGTGAAATTACTGATAAATATTCCCTTCTGCAAAACACAGTATGGTTGTGATTGCTTCCCGTTATTCTCATAGCACAAAAATAGCAAAAATACGAATGGCTGATTTGATTTGTACGTGCGTTGTGTGTGCAGCATGACGGTGGGGCCTGGTGGACTGTTGGCGTGGCTGCCATGCGGAGTGAGGCTGCATTTTCCCGCGGGGGCCGTGGACACGGAGACGTTGGTGACCTGCGACGTGCGGCCCCCTGACCCCACCATTGTGCGACTCAACGATCACGAGCTGCTTCTGAGCTCCATTCTCGTCCTGCAACCGCACGGGATCACCTTTGGCAAGGTTGGCTTCGCAACAACCACCACAGTGGTTGAGCTATCGGGTGTGCTGGTGGTGTAATTGCACCGGGGCAACCACAGACTGGGCAGGCACGGGCTTTGGGTGACGAAAAGTGGAGGAGAGATTGGACGGGTATACCCCCATTAGGGGTGAGACTCGCCGCGGTGGCGAGATGTTAATTCCCTCGCCCAGTATACAGAAGGTCGTGGGATCGATCCCGGCCCGGACGCCTGTATATTTGGAGTTGCATGTTCTCCTCGTGGTCGCGTGGATTTTTCTCCGGGACCTCCGGTTTTCCCCTCCACATTTAGAAACGTGCATTTAGACTATTTGGTCTATGTAATCCTGTGGCATAGTTATCGAGTGCAGTTTGTGCAACTGTATCGTGGCTCATTGCAGATGTGTCGACCCCAACGGAGTTTAAATCAGTGAGAACCCTACCGAAAAGCTTGGGGAAAAACCTTAGAAACTGAGATGGGAAACCCAAGAAACCGAGGAACAGAAACATTTAACTGTCACACAGACAAGGGGGGTGGGAGATTGCTACATTAGTTTGCGTAGCGGCAATAGGAGGCTAATGTCCACCACTCTGTGAACACCTCCACAGTAAATTAAATCATAATACTGACTTTGGATAGTTGTCAGTTTTCTGCTTTTTTCTCAAGAGAAAGGGTGTAAGCAAAGACAACACATTTTGAGCTGACCCCTTACATAAGAGCTGAACCATCAGCATCTGCCAATGCACTGCAGTAAATCGGTCTGAATGTACTATTTTAATTTAAACAACAAAAAACGTGAGAATACATTCCATAGCCACGGGACACTGAAAATTGTAAGAATTCATAAATCGCAAGAGCCATCCGTGAGACTTGGCCTGTATGCATTGCCCAAAGGGTCTCAGGTACCGAGCTACAGAAGCAAAAGAGGGGTGGGGGGAGAGGGTGGTGGAGAATTGGACAAGGGCCTCCGTTTTAATTCCTTGCACCAAGGCTCATGCCAACCAGGTGATGACAATGTCCCGCTGCCAGACTTTTTTGACGTTTCATACCCGCTGGCCTGTATTCAAATTCCATCTTGGTATTTACTCATTATGTTTTTAATTGGACCCTATTGGCTACCTTTAAAATTGCAGATCAAATGTTAAGTTGTGGGTTTGGAGCTGTTAAGATGTGCTATGATTTATGGGCCAAGCTGTCTGGGCCAGAGTCTTCGTAACTGCGAGGCACTTCATCAGTTTTATTCATTTAATTTGTTTTTAATGTACCTACGTTTGTAATTGATGCTCAGATAATGTGTTTCATTTGTTGCTCATTATCTCTGGAATGTTTTTACTCATTCTTTGTTATTGACAACGATAAGATGTTGAACATTTTATTAGCTTAAGAAAACACTGCTTACATGAGGATGTATTTCAGATGGGTGAAGAGGAATGAGCCTTCTTGATGCTGTGATTGTCGCCGCTTTGTTCCTGCTAAAAGGATGTGGAGTATAATTTCCCTGGCCTCTTGTGAGCCAACTACATTCTTGGCACCTTTAACAATGACAGGGTGTCCATAAAATTAACATCCATTATTTTGAAAATTTTAATTAGACTGCAGTTTCAGCTAGGTTGACAAAAATGCACGCAATTGGCAGAATTGTTAATTTTATCATACAAGCCTTATTCTTCCAAACCTCTACGTGTTCGCCATGGCATGGACGACACACATCCCATTGACATTTTGAGAGAGCCTCAGCTGTGTTTGCCAAAAATTGCTCGTGATTGCTTTGAATGCTTCTGCTGTGTGCTATTCAGATCACCGAAGCCTTTCAGTAAAAAAAAACGTTAGTATATGACAAATATATTTCCAACACCTGAACCGTATATTTAGATGTTTGTCAATTTTCTATAAAAAACTATGCATTTCTTAATCACGAATAATACCTTTTTAGGCATCTTGTATACTTTAAAGACATTTATATGATGCTGAATAGTATTATGTTACGTTATAATCGGCCCCATCATTGTACCTCGTTACGTTTTTAAGTGCTCAGTAAATGAAAATCCTTATCCTTTATTATATTGTGTGCATCGTAGGAGGTTGACATCACTGTACCGTATGAAGAAGTGCAAGATGGACCCAAGAGGGAAGCTGTGATGCGTACCTTTGACTGCAACAACTGGAGTAACTTGGAGACAAAACTGAAAAAATGCAAAGATGTACAAGCCAAAGCACAACCTCACCTTGGCAACATATGCTGCTCCATATCTTCCCGTGTCGACATGCGTTGCACTGTGCTCACAGTAACTAGAAATGACGCTGCAATCGAAAGTACTGGGTCACCTAGTTACCTTGAGTTTGTAATATTTTACTCGAAGCTAATTCACAGTCGTACAACTTTACCATAATTTTTGTCATCGCCATCATCAAGTCTTCTTTACTTAAATATGGCAGGTAGTTCAACGGCAACGTTTATATGCTTATGTCAAGGGTGGTGAGCCAGCGGATGGCATCAGGAATAGCCTGATGTAAATTGTCTTATGCATTGTTACTGCATGGGTTTTCGCAGTTATACTCTAGCTTTCTGATGCGTTTTAGTATTTTTTTGAAGTTCTTCCCCCACATTTACAATTGGCATGGTTGGTTATGTACGGTGTGAAAGAAGTTCAACATACATAAATACAGCCCAAAAACGCATCATAAATTCTGGTGAATATGTTAAATGCTACCGACGAGTGATGGACATGTCATACTATATGGTGCATTTTGTTGACGTTGGTGTGCTGAAGTCACATCGTGGGCCGTTCCTAATGTCTATGTATATTGAACTTCTTTCGCACCATACGTACCAAACCGTGCTAATCGGAGGTGCAGGGGAAGGACAACAATGTGTCAACATTGCGTGTGCGGCGGCACTTGCAGGGCCGCAGTGTTGCGCGGTGCTCCATGCCGCACTTCTCCTACTTCCTGGTGGTGGCGCGGCTGGTGGAGGACTCCTGCTCCGTGCCCCCCGAGGGAACCCAGCTCTTCAGCTCTGTGAACCCCGGCGTTCGCCTCCTCTTCCCTCCCGGGGCCGTGGAGGAGACGCGCCAAGTCCGCATGCAGGTGGACGACGTTTTGATTCTCGCCGACAGTCAAGCGATATCCCTTAGGTTTAACACGTAGGCTTTCGCGACCAATATCATTCATCATTAAAACAGGTTTTTTTTTTTTGTTAGATCGTGTAAAATGTAAATGTGTCATTAAACCCGCAACCACCCGACAGCCAATTAGTAAGGTTTGTCACATAAACAGAACATGCCAATTCGTTATGAGTACAGCACACTGGTGTGTTGGAGAGCCAAGCCACAACATTTAAAATCTGAGTACGACGTTTCGCCAGTAAATACAACTAACCTTATCAAGCGACGGCCAGATTTGGGTGTGTATAGTTCTCTGTGGTAAGTACAACGTCTTTAAAAACAACGCCGCTATGCCTCTCTAAATAAAACTAACGCTGATCCGCTTGCACGTTCCGAGTTTCAGCGGTGAATGGGACACTCACCCTGCAACTTGTAGTAATCTCAGAATGGGAAAGGGTCAAAGTGCATATTCGGGTTGTACTGCGTGTGGATTAGCCACGATATCTGATATTTTGCTGCAGGTGTTGGGAGCTTTGGTAGAAAACTATGTTTAGGTTTTACCATGTGTTTCCCAGGAACTGAATGAAGAAGCTCGGTATTACAATCAAGATTCTATTTATATCAGAATGCCAAAAGAACACCCCCTCCATGCAGACAGAAGGCATAGTTATACCACAGCTAATGAGGGTTAAGATAAGTTTGATAACGACATCATGCAAATACAGGATGTCACGTGAAATGTCTTAAGGTTTGAATCTCTGTGGTGAACTTATCTGCACTCCCGCAGGTGCTGCCCGTGGATGATGATGATGAAATGCGCTGGGTGGTGGGGGATGAGACCATGATCAGTCCAGTGCTCATCCTGTCCCAAAGCCTGGCCTCCACCTTCCTCAAGCCTGTCAAAATTCGCCTTCCGCTGCCACGTGGTGTCTCTGGTAACCCATTAGTTCCTTGAGGCCAAGATAATATTCATAATTTACAGCCCTTTGTCAATACACGACTGGATGAAGGCCTCTCCAACACCACATTGATCGGTTAGGCCGTTTTGACCATACTTCACTACGCGTGTCAGTGCATGTTGGTGACCGGTGAGTGAAGTACAGTGAAACCTTGGATTTCGAGTAACTTGGTCTGCGAGTGTTTTGCAAGACGAGCAAAAATGTTAAATAAATATTAATTTGATAAACGAGCGAGGTCTTGCAACACGAGTAGTACGTGTATACGCTTTGTCTGCCGAGCGTCACGTGATCACAACTGATGTACAAGTGCTTTGGATTACAAACACGTTTCCGGAACGAATTATGCTCGCAATCCAAGGTTTTACTTTACAGGGTACCAATGGATTTAGCTGCACTGCCCTCTACTGCCCATTCTGTCTATTACTACACCTGTCTTTTATGCATGGGGGTCGCCCATCCAAGCACTGTGTAGGTTCAACCCTGCTTTGCGTCTGATATTTCATGAAATCAGTCACATTCCATTTGCTTTGGTCATTGGCATACACCAATACGAATAAAAAAAAACGTTGATTCTTACATGCAATGCGGTATATGTACTTTGAGCTGCATGGTCAATACCAACGGATTAAAGAAATCCGCTTTACCCCTATCTATCACAAGGCACAAGTCTGCATTAACCACACATGATTGTTGTAAAATACTCAAACAAACATGCTTCGATAATGTATGCATTGTCTTTAAAACTGATTGGCCTATAACAGAGAGAGAGCCTCCTTTATCGCCTTGTCCCACCAGTGTTAGACCAGAGAACGCTAAGACGTGAACAGGACAACGGATGAATCGACGCGTCCGTTGCACCTTTGCTAAAACGGTGACCCTTGCATCCGTCGCGTGCAGGTATTAAACTGGACCCCAGAAAACTGCACGTGCTGCACGGGGACCCACACACGGGGGACTGGGAGGACATCACCCGCGACCTGACGCTTGAGTTCACGCACTTGTACGCCATCTTCGAAGTGTCCGAATTCTCCCTGTGAGTTTGTTCACTTTCTGCTTTTTCAGTAACAGCAACCGGCAAAATACAGTGACACAAATAATAATACTTTCATTTGATATAGCATCGTTCATGCCAACAGCATCCCACAAGGCTGTACATACATTATATATATAAGGACGAAATCTCATACGAGGTTGGCTACGTATGGCGCAAAATAAACCCAACACACACACACGTAAATACAAAGCCAATCAAAACCCTACTACCAAGGATAAAAAATGAATAAACAAATTAGGAAATAGCACCCAAAAAAAGCATAAACAACGAAAAAGTTATCACAACAAAGGAATTCGTCCTTAAGCTGTGATGTAGGAAGGTGTAGACAGAGCTACATGAGGAAAGGGGGAAGAGGAGAGGGGAAAGTATGGGAGGTGGTCGAGGTTGAAGAATGGGAAAGGAAGAGAGGTGGGTGCCTGGCTACGTACGCATGATGGCGAAAATAATCCAGTCGCGAGCAAGAGGAGGGGAGAGATTGGGCTCACGAGCGGGGTATATGTATTTTTATGTAGGGAGGGGAAGATGAGGGAAGAATAACTTAAGTAAGGGAGTAGAGAGAGAAGGGGGAAGTTCTTTCTATTTAGAGCATGGTTACTAAGCACGGACCCAAAGGCCCAAAACCCCAAAGAGTCGTTTAACCATACTTGACTTAACCATGTTGGTCAGCGCTGGTTGGTGAAGGTGGCACCTACAACCGGTTCTGATATCACTCGCTACTCACGTCGGTCAGAAGGTGCAAGTGATGCAAGTGGAAGGAAAGAGATCAAGAGGAAGGCAGAAGAAGAGGTGGGGGGGGGGGGCAATGTGATGTGATCGGACCATGGTGGCCCGAACAGTGGAAATAGAGATGGTGCAGGTCAGGGCAGTGTGGATAAGGTTGGTGAGGACAGTGGGACCTTACATGAGTGGGACAAACGCGTGGAAGAAGAAGACTCATGTTCAACGTGGCCAGGATTCAAACTCAAGTTGGCCGCTTCATAGCACAGTTCGCTAACCAATTACCAATACTCCTCCATTGAGAATGTGTCGTCATCATCAGCCATGAAAAAGCCACTGCTATATTTTTCAGTTGTTATGTGTCAGAGATGTACTGCTACATTTGCCGCTCACCCTGTTTTGGCCTTGCCCATTTGAGATCGATGGCGTGCGTGGCGAGTTTTTACACACAAGTATTCCTGGCTTGACTGTTCTTCTGGCATTAAGTTGAGAAGTGTCCTTCCACTCTGTTTGCTTATAGAGCAGGCCAATAATAATAATAAGAATAATAATTATTGAGAAAAATTATAAAAGAAAAAAATATGGGCCATTCCTGCATGCTCATACCGACATTCATTAGCCCGCTTGTGCTGCCAGGCTGTTATCTCCCAGACAGAACGGAGCCTTGATGGCTGATATGTTGATTAATTTGGTTTATTTATTTATTTTGCGTTGGTCAAGTAAAGAATTATCCAAAAATATACTAGAGTGTAAACATAATATATGACGGCGTGATGTCTCGAAATTTAAAATAAGTAAAACAAATGTTGTTTAGTTTGAATCCTGTACAAGGAGGTGATGCCAGCTTGTAACACAAATGGAAATGGGTTCTGAACAATTTGAAGCAGTGGATTGTGGGTCAGTATATGAAGAGGAGGATTGTAGAACAGCACAAAGCTGCCGTCGCAGAGATGCTGGGTTCAAATCTGGATTGCCACCTATTGTGAGTTTATGGTCTCTGCCAGGTCGCCAATAATTTGCTCAACAGAAACGTTACAAATGTTTTCATCGCTTTGTGGTAGATACTTTACAAGAAAAATGGTGCACAAACCAAACCCTTGTAAAGCAAGGGAAGCTTGTACAATTTTTACAATTCAATATGGCTCATTCCATCTATGAAAACGAAAAAAATGGTGTGTTTTATAAACATCACTGTAAAAAATAGTTTGATTGATATGCATCAAACATTCTTCACATTGCATATAAAAGGTGTGTTCCACATGTGGATGAAGTGATTTCAGAAGTAGGTCAGTGACGTCATCTTCTGTGGTTCTCGGACACTGTTGCACTGCTTCCTGCTGGAGTTCCATATTTGGAGTTTGCATGTTCTCCCCATGGTCACTTGGATTTTTCTCCGGATCCTCCGGTATTTCCCTCCATATTTAGAAACATGCATTTAGAGTATTTGGCTGCTATAAATTTACACATGATGAGCCACTTTGTTGAGCTATCATTTGTGGCCAGGTCACTTCAGAAAAAGAGCTATATAGCTCAGTGGGCCTTACCTGGTAAAATAAAAATAAATTTGATTGATACAATCTTTGCATAACAAAATGGATGATTGCGCATTTGAGATCAATTCCAGCATGAAAGGAGCCACCACAGTTCCATAATTGTCACTGAGGCGGCGCCGTTCTGACTGTGTGTTCCCGCCGTGGCCAGCTACTGGATATGGCACAGGACGCAGGATTGCGTGGGCACCGTGGCCACCGTGGCCAAGAAGGCCTACGAGCTGCTGCGACGGTGGCGCGTGTGCTTCCTGGCGATGCAGCTCAAGCGCGACCCAGAGCTGGTCCTGCTGCGGTGCCTGCCCTACAAGAAGGAAAGTTGCGGCCAACGTTACAGTTGGCAGCATACGGCCAATTGGTTAAAAATCGATCCTCACACCCACGATACGTTATGATGATGATATTTCGTTTTTCTATAGCGTAATTATTGCAACTGGATTGCACGGCGCATATGTATTCCCGTTCCGAGATCCCTGCAAGATGCAGGGTGGGTTCCATTCACCACTGAATCTCGGAACGCGCAAGCGATTAGCGTTATTTTAATTTAGTGAGGCACAGTCCCGTTGTTTTAAAGACGTGGTACTCGCTGTAGAGAACTTGCGACATGACCGCACTCTTATGATAGATGGTGCCAAACTGTGTGACATGCCCTCCTGCATGGCATTGTGGGAGCATCAGTACCGATAAAGTTTTTCTTTCCGGTACGTCATCGCAACGGTAAAGGGTTAAGATCTTTCCAGCCAATTGATGAGTGTTTATACTTGTGGAGAGGAAATTGGAGTCCCTGGAGAAAATCTACCCGTGTGAGGGGGCAACACTTTATTCCATACAGGTGGAACAGAAGGAAATTAGTGTATGCTTCCTTGACCGACTTCTCCTGGCAAGCCCAGGGTATGTCACCTTAACTACCACGGCAGGGGAGTTTGGAAACATTTGTGCTGGATTATAGGCGTGCATCGCCACTACCACTGCGTGAATTGTGCCTCTCATAAATAAATAATATCAACGTATACCAGTGCATAGCCTTCTTTTAAACATGAGGTGCAATAGGCCCATGATATCATTTGGAATTAATAGCAAAAAAATATGTATTTTTTTCAAATCTATGCTATATTCTCCAGCAATTTGATTGTTGGAATGTAAATCGGGTGAATAACACTTGAACATTTTTAATGTATAGATATATAATGCAATTACTGGAAAGGAATGTGACCAATTTGAGCCAATTGGAGGCAAATGGAGTTAATTACATGAAATGTTTGCGCTCATTTACATGCTAATGTCTGTTTAGGCTAATAGTCAATGTGATTTTTGATTTAAAGCTTTCGTGACTGCAGGGATTCATATTCTTGGTTCTTTCGGTAAAGTCACGTAGAAGGGAAATAATACAAATATATTACTTCCCTTCTACGTGACTTTACCGAAAGAACCAAGAATAGTCAAGATGATATAATTGTAGCTACATTCTTTACTATATTATTGGCCCAAAACCTTGGCTGTTATATATCTTTTAAGACAGCGTTATTGATGATTGAGTTTTTTTGTTAAATTTCATTGTGCAACACTGCCAACAGTACCACCAAATTATTGTATCGATATAAATCTAACTGTCGTTAAACAGTACCTTATATTGATAGTTTGTATTGTATATACCTGAAATGTACTTATTTATTTTTAATACTGCTTTTGATTGCTGAATGTTGCCTATAATTTAAAGTTTTTTTCTGTATTGATATTTGACGAAAACAATTTGCATTAGGCGCTTTTAGGCCATGGCATCTCTGCGTGCCTTCCAGAACACAGAACCATGGAAAATGCATAACATCCCCAGAGCAATGGGGTTTAGAAATGAAGGGGGAAAAATACGTGAAGAGATGTAAACTAACGATAGAGCAAAAACATCACAGCTGACCCATGCACACACTGAGATGTTTGGCAAATTCCTTTTGTGAGTGGCATGCTGCATAACACACTTTCAGATGTGCTTCTGCGGCCGTCTGGAACGTTCATCCTTCCGATATTAGGAAGCCACTGGAATTATATACACATTTAAATCTAAATTAAATACTAATTTCTTTAGAACTGCTTTTTGTGTTTAGTTTGTTGTCCTTCCCCCGAACCTCCGATTAGCACACACATACATGTGTGGGAATGAACTAGAGTGCCTCGGAAAAAAAAACCCACCAAGGTATTACAATATAAACTCTGCACAGATAGATTCAAGATTATGTTGCTGTTCTGCCATCTACTGGGCTACCTCGCAGCCCAAGACCAGAACACTTAGACCTCACAGGCAGTCACCGATCCAAGTACTAACCAGGCTGAAATCTGCTGAGCTTCCGAGGTTTGACTGGGTCTGGCTTGTTTGGGTTGTTTTAATATTAAACTTACCAACCTTGGGGCAAAACAGCCAAATCTTTGCCTTAAAAACCTTCATATATGTGGCATACTCTTTGCCACAATGTGTGTATTTTTTTTAAACCACAATTACCACATTTTCTCAGTAGAGGGCACAGAGAGCTCTAACAATCTCTACCAATCAAAATTTTAATTGTACGCAAAAAGATCAAGAACACAATAAAAATGTCCACAGTTACAATCTTACGTGCATGCCGGAATGGCCGATGACAAAATCACTGAGAAAGCACCCGATCCCGTCAAATCTCAAAATCTAAGCAAGGTTGAGCCTGGATGGTGCTCTGATGGGCGACCAGCATGCATAGAATGCTATGGGCAGCACAGGGCAGTGCAGCACAGGGCAGAAAAATCTGGCTCTTCGGCTATGCTCCTGCATCTAAACTCCTCACCTTTTTCCAATGCAAACTGACCAGAATGGTGCAGTATGGTGACATAACCCCTACTACCCACATGACATGGGAAGGTCCTCATCCATCAAGTGGATTAACAAACAGGCAAAGCTGTCCCTAGGGAATGGCGAATCAGGGCGGCTGCCCCGGGCCCTGCGCTTTGAGGGGCCCTACCTGCTTCAATGTGACGGTGTCAGATGTTTTAAGGCGTTGGGGGGGGCCCACAGAGTGGGATTTGCCCCGGGGCCCCGCACCACCCCTATGGACGGCCCTGCAAACAGGGACCCATACACAAATGGTAATCCGCAAAGAATCGGCAAGACTTGTGTTTGATGTTCTCGTGAACGAGCACAACCTGTTTAACCCCACAGGTGGACCCCGCCCTAAAGACCCTGCAGAAGAAGTACAGTGGGCCCCAGCCCTCTGAGATGGTAGAGATCCTGGAGGGCGAGGAGTTTTACGCTGCCTTTGAGGGGGGAATCGAGGTCCACACAGGTGCACGCTGCTCGGTCACACTAAACTAAGATATTTTTACGTTCCATAATACAGGTTTTTTTTTGGGTTAGATCGTTTAAATATATAAATGTGGTGTTAAACCCGCCACCACCCGACGAAACAAGAGGACTTCTCCACAAATCTGGCTGTCGCCTGATGAAGCTAGTTGTCATTACTGGCAAAACGTCGTACTCTGATTGTAAATGTTGTGGCTTGGCTCTCCAACACACCGGTGTGCTGTCCTGGTAACGAATTAGCATGTTCTGTTTATGTGACAAACCTTACTAATTGGGTGGTGGCGGGTTTAACGACACATTTTTATTCACGCAATCTAACCCAAAAAGAACCTGTTATGGATGAATGGTTGCGAAAGCCTACATGTTAAACTAATTTCATGTTACCAGATAAGGCCCACTGAGCTATATAGCTTTTTTTCAGAAGCGACCTGGCTATCACAAATAATTTGTCAACCAAGTGGCTTATCTTGTGGAAATTTATAGCAGCCACATGCTCTAAACACATGTCTCTAAATGTGGAGTGAAAAACCAGAGGACCCGGAGAAAAATCCCCCCGACCACGGGGAGAACATACATACTCTAAATATACAGACATCAGGGTCGGGATCGAACCCATGACCTCCTGCATACCAGGTGAGGTAGTTAACATCTCGCCACCGTGGCAAATTCTCCAGTCCATTCGTTCCTTTGTGAAGTTCGGTGCAGAATCAGGGGGATGCTGCCATAGTGCTGTAATGGTCAGCACACTGCACCTGCAATCCAGTGGTCACCGGTTAGATTCGAAGTCCGCCGATTGAATCGTCCGTCTGAACGAGCGCAGATCTGCCGAGGAGCTCTGAGGGGCGCCTGGCGTTTGTGTTTTATGCCAAGCAGAAGAACATGAAGGAGGTCTACGTAAAGTCGCAAGACAGCAGGGAGCGCGGTCCTGTCAAGGGGCAGGTGAGAGACGCCACTCAAGAAGTCCCATTGACGACCATTTAGGGACACCGACGATTCACTCCCCCGACGATTCGATGATTGGTACGATTCAGGGTCATTGGTCATCCTGAGCTGCTCTTGAATTTCTTTTTGCTTGATGGAGGATGGTCCTGTTGTCTCTGTGGTGGGCACAGGTTTCGTTTTACCGGGGAGAGCTGCCGACGGCTCTGCCAGAGGAAGCCGTGGGGAAGCGAAAGGGTCCGGATTCTACGTGGCTCGCCACACTGCCCATCAAGCTTCCTGTGAGTGAGCAAATGCATGCGTGTGTGTGTCTGCAGGCGGCCGTGGTGTAATAATCAGCGCACTGCAAAAAACATGATGTCCTAAGTTGAATTCCCAGCCACAGATAATATCATTGGAACTTGGTATGGTATGTGAACCGAGAATGGGCCTCACCTCGGTTCACTCAGCCTTAAATGAGTACCTGGAACAGTATGTAAAAATAAACAATGAGGAGACAAAGGTTGCCTTCCATGGTGCTGACTTGACCACCTCCGCGTTGGATATTCTGGCCTTCATAGATACTTAGTAATAGTGCTTGACCCAACAGTCTCTATGGCTAACACATGTGAATATAATCTATAAATGCAGGGGAGCAGTAGTGTAGTGGTTAGCGTACTGTGCTATGAACCTGGCAACCCAATTTAAATTCCTGGCCATGGATAACAGTGGCAAGTGATATCTGAACAAGTCCTGGGACTTTGCTAAATCAACTCAGCCTTGAGTATCTGGTGCAGCATGTGAACAGCACTGGGGAGACGAAGGCAGTTTTGCTGCTCTGCAGAGCAACCTCTCGGTCGGCTCGCAAAGTGGCTGTGTTAGTGTGAACCTGTTACTGAACAACTAACATCGGAAGCTGGTAGGATGGGAACATGACAGCCAGTCATGACTTAAACTGGTTGATAACGTCCTTCCAATGATTGCTCAGTTTGTACCCATCTTATTGGTTTAAATTGCTCGCCAACCTAGAGGTTGCGGCTCCGTGATCTGCCATTAGCATGCTAATCTCTCACATTAACATAGCCACCTCAGCGCGCGCTAGTGGAGGCCGCTCACCGATCTTACATTAACATGCTAATTTTCACCTGGCAGCCCTTTGATTGGTGGAAAACTAACCACCGTCGTGGTTGCTGCCCACCACTTACATTAACATTAGCTGCTGGCAGTTGGGCTATGCCCATTTCAAACCTTTATAAACAGTTTGCCTTTAGAAGGTAACCCCCTTTTCCTGATGACGACTGCTTGTGTTGCGATCGAAGCGTCGTCGTTTTTTGTTATTTTCCTTTAACCTATCTACGTGACTTTACCGAAAGACCCAAAGAATATGAATTCCTGCAGTTACAAAAGCTTTAAGTCGGGATTGACAGTGTTCATGTGTTTGGCCAGCCATACTAGGTTATGTGATTTGTCATGATTAGCTCAAACTTATTGATATGCAATGAGAACAGCTTGGTAAAATACAATATGCCTGCCTCGTGTATTATTTAGATAATTGTCGTAGGCATGTACAAGAGACAGTAACATTCTTACAATATTCTCAACCATTTTACATATCCTTAAACCAGAAATTTCATTATTGTCCAAGTGAAATAATTAATTGCTTTGTTAAGTCCTTTTTCCTCCCTTCTTTTCCACACTCAAGTTTATGAGCACATTATTTTACTCGACACCAAATTAGCATCTCCCTACTTGCCCATCGGTATCCACAGACAAGAGTACACGTAGTTATACAGGTTTCCCTAGCGCATACGGCACACACAAACAATGTTGGCACACGTCCGACTGCATAGCCGCATATGAGTGAATTCAAACCGCGTAATGCAATTTTAGGGAGAAATAGCTTTGGCCGTATAGACGCGAAATCGCACAAATCGAGCTCGCATAAAAACGTGCTTTACACATGCTCGTTGCGCTTGAAATAAAGAGATGGTCCCTCGCACTTGGTTTCACAGAAAGTGAAAGCAGACGGCAGAACAAACGGCTCGGAGAGGAGTGCGAGTGAGGAGAGCTCTCATCAGGCCTTCTCCTTCCCCCCTCTCGACCTTGGAAATCCAGGTGCAACAAAAATGTCCAGTCGCAGATTGCCGATGACTCCAAAACTGCTTGCTGTGTATGCTCCCACGATTGCGGAAGACTTTGAGGGTCATAGTAAGCTTTGTTTGCAACTAGATACGTAATGAATCCTATCCAGCATTTGATAAAGTTGTCATTTTCCGATTTTGCTAAGTGATGCACATATCTAAGAATCGATTTTTTACCATCTCTTTTTATCGTTTGCTATTTAATTTGCCTCAATTGTACAACTTTGTTTGCTTTGTTACCTAATAGTAACAGTTCTCCGATGTGTTTTTGAGTTGTTACGCTTGTTGTTCGGTACAACGTCCGCCGTTTCGCTGCATATGCTGGTAGCTTCTTCTGGACCTGAAGTAAGCCGTTTAATCTTTCCTTCTATGTATACCGCTTTATAAAGATAAAGCTCCAGCACAGGAAATGAAATGGCGGACGCCATACTTAACAACACACGGCACGACTCAAAAACACTTCGGAGAGCTGTACGGCACAATTAGGAAAACCTATGCAGCACGAACTTGTATGATTCATGAATAATCGATACTTATACGCACGATTTTGATACATGTATTGTGGGCCTAAGAGTAAATTTTTAACTATCACACGAACTATGGTCATCCTCACAGCGGCTTTTGGCTAACCATCGAAAAAAGATGGTCACTGTATCGCGTGCTATCAGATGTGCTTCTGCAGCCGTCTGGAACGCTCTTCCTTCAGATTATTAGGAAGCCACTGTAGCTATGCACTTTTAAATCTAGATTTAAAAGTTATTTTTTTATAACTGTTTTTTGGCTACATACGGTTTTGATACATGTATTGTGGGCCTAAGAGTAAATTTTTAACTATCACACGAACTATGGTCATCCTCACAGCGGCTTTTGGCTAACCATCGAAAAAAGATGGTCACTGTATCGCGTGCTATCAGATGTGCTTCTGCAGCCGTCTGGAACGCTCTTCCTTCAGATTATTAGGAAGCCACTGTAGCTATGCACTTTTAAATCTAGATTTAAAAGTTATTTTTTTATAACTGTTTTTTGGCTACTTACGGTGCAAAATAAGTTTAATATACAATTTTAGTTGCTAAATCGATACATCTTCACATGCCTATCTTTAACACTTGTGCTCTATCCTTATAGAGACTGGATACCTGACGGAAACAAACCTCCGGACCATAGCATCAAGGATCGGTTTAGAGTGGCACGAGATTGGAACCAACTTGGGATTGAAACAATCTCAACTGGAGCGCATCAAATACGACAACAGGTTTGGTTCCATCTGATTCCTGTTTCGGAGTCACATCTGAAGGTTGTGTTGAGTGGCAATATCGTTTGGACTGTGTTCAGTCACGATCCTGCAAATCAAAACACTACTCTTCCTGTTTATTGTGTTCACACTGCTCAACTTTGGAATCTCCCTGCCATTACATTTAGAAACATGTGTTTAGAGTATTTGGCTGCTATCAATGTATAGTTCAGTGAGCCTTACCTGGTAAAATAGAAATGGTTAGTTGTCAATATTAGTTGTCTTATCCCAAGTTCTTATAACCTTCCTCAATTCGCGAATTGTGTTCGCTCTTATCTCCGATGCCTTCAATAACAAAAAGGCTCAGTCCCTTTTACACGCACCTTTACATCATCCGCACCTAGTTTACACAACAAAGGCTCATTCCTAACAGCGTGCTTCAGCCGCACCGAACCTCACAAAAATAATATTCAGGGCCTACCTTGGCTCCTCCCACCCTCAACCAGTATATATATACAAATACTGTTTTCTTGGAATTTCTCTCACTTGATACAGCTATCGTGCTGTGACGGTTCCACCTGAAGACGGAAGCTTGTGTTGCCTCCGAAACGTCGTGATTTTTATTTTATTTTTATTTTACTTTTATTAATTTTTTACCTATGTGACTTTACCGAAAAAACCTAAGAATTTGAATCCTTGCAGTCACGAAAGCTTCAAATCTAGAATTCAATAGCGCCGTTTATGTGTGGGCGCTTGGGATTTTTAGGCCTCTGGACCTGTACATAGCAACGGTTGATTTTAACAAAAAACATGTCTGCCGTTCAATAGACCTTTCAAAGACTTGGGGCTTGCCGAGAGGGCACGTAGTAATTTACGTGTGTACACGTTTCATCCCTCAGGCCGAGAGAGAAAACTAAATGCATTCTGAGTAATTAGTTCCTGAGTTAATACATTTCCTTATTTTTATTCCCAGAGCAGGATCCTCCTGAAAAGGAGTTTTGAGACTCACTTAGTACTTTCTGTTGAAACAAAGAATGTTGATTTAAGTGTTCCTTAAATGTGGATGCCAATATGTCCAAAGGAGTTTTTCTTTTTTTTTTATTTGGAAACAAGTGAGTTGGCTTTACAAACACAATTTAATTTCCACCGTGAGATCTGATGTAGACAAATGCAGACATTTGCTAAATTTTTTGGCTTGTTAAGAGGTCAAGACAAAGCAGCGTTATGGCTCCTAATATGCCCTTTATTTACATTTCAAGTATTTTTTTTAACTCTATTGTTTCATTTAAAAAAAGAAACAAAATCATCGTAAAAAAATGTTGGCTTCATTTTGCGTTAACATTTTTTAAAAAAACATCTCTGCTCTCTTGCGCCAAATACTGCAAAAACTCTGCTGGACATTGTCCATATTTTTTGGGAGGGAAAGAAAGAAAAAAATCCTCTAGTGAATTCTCCAACGTGTTCACATTTCTTTTCAAAGAAAAACATGATAAAAAAAATGGCAAGACATATTTTTAACAGTAATATGAAATTAAAGTTACAGCCATATTTTTTCTTTTGCTTGTTTTTATTTGAATTTCATCACATTGAAGTTCGCATTTCCCCCTTAGAAAATAGTAAATAAAACGAACAAAAAATAGTTTGTTAGTCTGCGGGTAAAAAAAAAAATTGGCCTGCAAATTATTAAATAAATATTGCAGTCTTTTTGGCCTAAAATCATTTACTACTTTGGTGAATTTCACTTAACGTTTGACACACACTTTCTGGGTTGTATCACAGAAGTGCTCGATTGGGCAACAGCATGCAGTGTTTTTTAGGCCCTTTTCTACAAAGGCATTTTTTGTACCTTAACACACCTTAAAAGGTGCTTTTTGTAAAATGCTTTTTAAAATAATACCACTTGCCACAAAGGTTGAGAAAAGCTGTTGCATAGTGGTTTAGATAATACACTGTAATCCCAGAGAGTCAAGATCACTATCAGTGATCTATTTGACCTATAAACCCATTGATTTGTACTACCATCTCCTGGGCACCATGCATTTGAAGTGGTTTTGGGAGCTATTAGAGATCTTTGTTGTCCACCAACCCTGTGCCAACATGCCTAGCTGTTGAAGTATTTTGCAAGTTGGTCAAACCCTCCACCTCTTGTCCGCCCAGCCAATATAATTGGTCACACCGCAGTCGATCGGCAGGTCGCGCGGTGGTGCACTAAATTGTCGGTAACTCCCACAACTTCTAAGACGTATGGTTAACCCTCTCCCTCGAACCCCTCTCCCTTGAGTGGGGCGAGGGGGTCTCTCCAGAGCTCCCTCTCGTGGAGTTCATTCTGCTAGCAGTAGCATGCAAGCAATTGCATGGGTGCATCCTTTAACCTTTGCTCGCGAGCGCATGGTTGATTATCGGCAATCGTGCATTTAACTCCCCCAGTATGGCATCTCAGTCTGCTAAGCATTTCTTTCACGGCGTGATTTTTATTTCCAGCGGCAACTTGGACCAGCAGATCATGAAGATGCTGGTCACGTGGGCACGTGGTGCTGGTGGCGAAGGCGGGGATGCGGTGAGCCTCCTCATCAGGGCCCTGAAGGCGAGCAACCGGACAGACCTCTCTGAGGAGGTTGCCTCCACGGTGGAGCTCGGCCGACAGAAATACCAGGCTCAGCTCAGCCACTCCAACCTGGATCAGCAGAGCTCTGCGAGCCAGTAGAGCCGAACAGACTGGTGACCGCCTTCCTGTATGTACGTACGTATGTTTGACTTCGTTGGCAGCTTGCGTAGACAACCTTGCTAATCGAGGTGCTCGTCTAAGGGGTGACTCACTGACATGTTGCACTTTTGTTAATTATTTGGCAAGTGGTTCTCCAGGATATGTCCCGTGCAGCGTCGTACACGGGGCTGTTGCGTCGGGCTATATTTCTGATTTATCGCTCGTTGATTTTGGCTTAGCACACCGGCCCACAACAGCTTGGGCTACCTGCTTCCTCTAGAACCTGCACTCTTAACACATGAACGTCAGAAAATTACAATATTTTCTGGTGACTTGCGGTTGAGTGCGGAGGTGGAGGGCCCTGCTAAGCGTTGTGTTGTACGCACACAGCACCTTTTGTCAAGGAGGGCTTCCTCTCATTGAGGAAGAGGGCTTCCAAACACTGAGCATGTCGTGGGAGTTGTTTGACCATACTTCAACACGATGGTGAGTACGGGTTGGGGAAGGTGGGGTGATAGAAGTACAATGCAACAGTTGATGTTTTCTGCACTGCCCATTGCTGCCCACCACATGGCCTCGCAGCAGCCAATACCAACCTTCTGTGGGTGATGGCCACCGATCCAAGCACCATCCAGGTTCAACCCAGCTTAGCTTCCGACATTGGGTGATTTCTGAGTGATTTGTTCACGCACAATTACTTAGTTACTCCTGCTGAAAATGACCAGCTGGGGTGTTGAATTGAGGACTCTTCAGCATGTATTGAATTGCAGTTGTAAACGCATTCGTCCGCTACAAATGGATGACTTCATCTAGTCATCATCAGCCATTTATCCACTGCTGGATGAAGGCCACCCCATGCTTTCCCCTTCCCTCGTCGTCCAGTGTCACTGCCATCCATTTTACTCCTGCGCATGAATTGATCTCATTGCTCTCCCATCTTCACAATACCACTCTTTCGCCAGTCTTGCCTACCGGGCAATACCCAGTCTCGCGATGTGTCCTGCCCAATTTTCATTTATGTTATTATGTTGTGTTTTTATTGCAACACAACGCGAGCCCGGTACAATACGCCGATCGCAAACGGAGGGAAACGGAAACCCCACAAACAGCTACCCGAATTTGGTACGGCAGCACTTTACGAAGAGGGGAAATTGGATTCGCTGGTCCACCCAAGTGGGGACCAGGTGCAGGGACATGAAGGCGATTTACAATTTCTTAATTCTCAATATGTATGTTGAACTTCTTTTGCACCGTATGTAGCCAACCGTGCTAATCAGAGGTGATGTCACATATTTGTGTTCCTTTTAGCAACGCATTATTTCGGCGATGGTGGGGGGGGGGGGACATTTATTTGGAATTGTTTTTCAAAAGTGACTGAGCCATAGTTCAGAGTCACGCATGAGCCACTTGCCTGACACTGCTGTAGTTTTTTTTTATGATAGAGGAAAGTGACTTAGGTTTGATTCTAGTATTCCTCTAAAGAGTATATAAAGTATTTGAGACAATTTATCACAATTTGTCACCTGCAATAAATAACTTAAAAAATAATTTCTTTGTACAGGGAGCACACTTATTCATCAACGTGGTTGACTTGTTTATGTAAATAAAAATAAAAAACCTGGATTGTTAACTGGATTTTATGGGATTTTAAATCAAATCTAGTTTGGTCGTGTGTATTGTAGGACATTTTACATTGCCACATTCTTGGGCATGCGAGGAGTGGATGGGTATTCACTCCTGCTCTCAGCTGTTTAAATATTAACTTGAACAAAAATTTATATGACACACTGCTATCTTGTGCTTAACTTATATAACTTACGTTCTGGTAATGCAAGAGATAATTATCTTGCTTTAACTCAATAGTGAGAAACATTTTAAATCTAGTTGCAAAGTTAACCCTTTCATGGCTGTTTTATAATTGTAAGGAATGGTGCCAATTAATATGCTTTCTTACTTAAATCAGTGCAGCATTATACGATAACTTATCAAAATAGAGTTCTGACTGGCAGATGGTTTTACATCTAGTGTAGATTATGTTTTAACTGGACAGATTTCAGTAGATGTTGGATGCCTGTACAATATGTTTGTCTTGTTTCAGCTCTTATATTTCAGTGATTTGAAAAAAACGTTTATTTTTAAGGGGTGTCTGTACTCCATCAGCTGCCGTTGGCTTCAATTTAGCCATTTCCTACATAGCGAGATGTACAAGCACACTATTGTAAAATATGAAATCACATTAATGTGGCCAAACATTTGTGGTTATTTTAAGAAGTTGCTAAATTAACATGAGATTGTTGCAAAAATAAAACAGGCATGGTTTGATAGCGATGTCTGCCATTTTATCTATATTGTTTCATGTACTTTATTGACTGGAAAATGTATCTGTAAATGATGAAAAAAACACATCGCTTACAGGAAGATGAGTACAGGCTGAAAAATAAATAGATTTAACAGAACAAAAAGATGTACCATTGCATGTATAATGACGTATCTATCTTGTTTTGTTTTTTGGTATGTTAAAGAATCTTGTTCATTTTGTGTTATTTATTTCAATTGAGCAATCTTTTTTATCAGCCGTGGATAATGGCCAGCTTTGATCCAATAAACCCCCTCACCAAATAACATTGTCCGATTGTATATGACTGACTTGTGAATGTTTCACATCGAGGTGTTAAACATGAACGAATATAAGCACAAGGTTATGTTTGTCTCGCAGTGCTTGATGGGACAGTTGTGTAGAGAGTGGAGACGTTTCGGTTACTTGGGCAGCGTGTTTATGACCAGCTCCGGTTTGGCTGCCGAGGTCTCACCGAATCAGTCGAGCGGCATTATGTTTTCATCAGCAGCTTAACTGTGTGGAAGCTACCTGGCCTGTCACTTAATACAAAGCTCCGCGTATCTCGGCCAATTATACCGTTCCTTCTTTGTGCTGGCCTACAATCCATCCTGGGTTTAATCAGACTGGATTGTGTGAGAAACCCAAAGATCCTCGAAAGATCTGGACATAGTCCCATCAGTGAACTGCTCTGGCAAACGACATTGCATTGGCTGGGTCACGTGGCCCACATGCGCAGCCACCGCATGCCCCAAGCAGCTTCTGTTTGATTGGATAGATGGGGCTAAATGGGCGCGGCACAGACGCGAGGAGAGATGGATTGATGTGGTACAGAAGGATGTGGAGCTGATTGTACTTGCCGACGACCGGGTACCAGCAGTGTCAAGATCAGCTTCTGGAGGTTCGTGAATGACGCTGCTTGGGAGTTGGAGGCAGTCGCCCTCCAGCAACGAGCAAAGCTGCCAGACGGCTAAATAGCAGAAAGTTGGCACAGTGGGGAGCACAGTTGTTGCATCTGCCAGCCATCTCAGTCAACCCATGTCACCTGGGTCTGTTCCGTGACCTGCCAGCGGACCCTCTCACTTCACGTGGCCTCCAAGTGCACCTAGCATGGCACAAGCGCCGTAGTGACGTCACAGCCACTTAGTGGTGAACGGCGGTTGTACATTTTCCCAATGCAACACCTGGATCAGCTGTGGTGTGTAGCTTATTGAGCGTGCAGACGGTGCAGTTGCAAACAGGCCAGAGGGTCCCTGGCATTAGCGTACAAAAAGGTGGGAAGTGGACAGAGGATTCGTTGCACATGGAACCATGCCAACCACGCTGATGGGCCTACTATGTATCAATAAGGTGAGCCTTACGAATGCGTTATCACCAATATCATTTTCACAAAGTAAGCTATTGAGACATGAAGTGTAGTTTTTAAGGATAGCCTTGGTCAGACAAGTGGCAAGTACAGGACACTTGCATATGACCATTCCCGGAATAAACATCTACTGTCCAGTATATGAATCTAATGCATCAGAACCATCGCCCACAAATAGCATTTCTGAACTGAACATTGCAAATAGCATGAACATTTCCAAACGTTTTAACACTGTTTCCTTAACTCACTTTCCTGAAGACCACAGGCTGCCTTACCATATTTACCAGTCCCTATTTAAATACAAATTAAGACACTTGACAGTTGCTAAACGTGTACCCCCTGATGTCAAGGACACGTATTTGTGTTCACACGTGCAACATCTCTCAAGGCGAATCGCCACATCCTGTGGGGCACAGACGAGATCTCGGTTTGAATCAAGTGTCCCTGTGTCATGTGGGACATCCCTTAAACCGAATCTCTACGTTGTGTGTGACGAAAGTCGCCATGGACCTATAAAGTGACGGTAACATCACCGCAGCACTTGTGCCAGGCTATGTGCACACTGTGGGCCAGGTGAAGCCTTGAAGGCACGCTGGCAGGAGGTCACAGGATTGATCAAGGTGGTATTGGTTTATTGGCTGATGTCACTCGCGGCAGATGCACCACCTGTTATCCTGGCACGGGACACACTTGCTCAGACATACGTGAGATTTGTATTTTAATCGGCAATCTGTTAGATAGGATATGTTTACTACCCATCAGTTGTATGCAGGTTGTAGTGGCTTCATTTGAATTAAACAGACATGGACATGTGGACCGTGGTGGGTCACAAGATCTGATGTTTTGGAAACCTGCATTATCCGATTTAACACATTAACTGAACAATGACACATTTGATAAATGTGAATGTTATATTTTTTTACAAATGCAACTTATCAGAAGGCGAGGTCAAGGAAACCTTGGCTTTGGAGGCTGAATATGCAGGACATTGTGACCACCTAGCCTTCGTGAGCAATGTAATGGACCGGCAGTTCATCTCCACAGCACAGCGAGTTAGGGAGATCGACAAATGCCGAACAGCTGGAAGATCCCTCCAGTGGGGATATATTTAAACAGCGGGAAATGTGCTGGCACTGATTTTTAAAAAAACACCGATTGTTTCCAATGGGCAACGTTTATTACACAACATACTAGAGATGTGCAAAATAACACCTAACATTGAATACGTTTCACACAGTTTAACACGTAGTAGGCTTTCGCGACCAATATACTGTACATAACTCGCCTTTTGGCCATCCAAGGACGGGTGTATGTCAGTAAATCTGAAACTTGCAAGCGAAAAGCAGACCGCGACGTGATATTCATTGCATCCATTCGTGTGCAATTTGTAAGGCCGCGGTGACACAGACCTATTTCATGTCAAGGTTATAATCCCTTGTTCATCATGACGTCCTTTTTACTTTGATGTCTCAACAGCGTGACGGAGATCGCGTGACGTGAGGGTTCTGCCTTTGTAGTGAGGGTTGTCAGTTGACGCCGAGGAGGGGGGAGGAGGCGCCTCGCCCCCCCATGTGTAGGACGTCACCTGCTCATGATTATTAATGAGGGGGGCTGTTCGATGTGGAGTGACGTCACCCACTCATGATTATTAATGAGGGGGGCTGGCCGACGTGGAGTGACGTCAAGCGTGGGACACACAGACATTCTTGGCTCATTATAGTAGTAAATACAGGTTTTTTGGGGTTAGATCGCGTCAATATATAGATGTCGTTAAACTCACCACCACCCGACACAGCCAACTAGTAAGGTTTGTCACGTAAACAGAACGTGCCAATTCGTTACTAGTACAGCACTAACCGGTGTTGGAGAGCCAAGCCACAACATTTACAATGTGAGTACGACGTTTCGCCAGTAATTATGAATCTGGCTGTCACCTGATGAAGCGGTTTTGAGCCAACAATTTCCACAACGAGTGGCGAACGAGCTCACGCCGGGCAACATCAGCATCCCAAAAGTAGCCGCAGAGACGGGTCAAATTCAGCCGTTCTTAGCATGCGCCCACAATGTTGTGAACAGTCGAACGCATCTTCAGGAAATCTTCCAACGGTGTTCCCAATTGCCATTGATTCTCGAACAACGCTACGCAATGTTCCCCTCTTTCGCCATTCCATTTCCGTCCGATAATTGTCGCCCCTTTTCCCCGCTGGCTTATGTCAACCCGGCATGCACGAAAATGTAGAAATATCCTACGAATTCATCATTTCGCGCGATGGGGGGGGGGGGGGGGGGGGGTGACGTGTGCATGATGTGTTGCACCACCGCTCAATCTACCCGATCCGTGTTTTCGCGTCATTACTCATCCTTTGTTACATTTACTTTTGTGTGTGTTTTTCTTTATTATGCGGGTTGCTATGTACAGCGTCTGGAATTGCTCTTGTGGATGCTATATAAATTCAAATTATGATTATTTAAATAGGCGTTCGATGTCATTTACTTTACTGTGCAAATGCTCGAAGAGCCAAAACTGACAATGGCGCTGGAAACTATGAGTGCCTTTGCAGTTCTGCAAACTCCACCATGCGTTTAAGATCCCGGCTTCATCCACTGACCGACCAGTTGAATGTCACCGTGGACAACATCATTAAATCCTCTCCCAACTAAAAAAAATGTAATCGTTTAATTGATGACGCCGCGTTAGGCAGTGGTGCACAAGGACAACTTGCAAAACATTCTTCGATAACATTGCCTTGAAAGGAAGAACATATATACAACAGGCAAACCTAAACAGGTCATCTTCAATCCTCGGATTCTCTGCCCATGAAACTCATCCCCCAATGGCTGCTCACTCCGGTCTCCTACATGATCAGCTTTGCCGATGCCCCGTTCTCACCTGGCACTGTTTAAACGAACTGTATTCTCTTACGACATGTTTTGTATTCCTCGGCATAAAATGTGTACTAAAGATTCAGACTAATTGTAAATCGAATGGGACTACTTTAATCGATGTCCGTTCATATTTGTAGGCGCGGTAAGGTTTCGAGACGCACTCGATGTGAATGAGGTGCGGCTGCGTGAAATGCAGTCCGTGTTCTTCCTCGTCCATTTGTCTTCATTCCAACGTCAACATTTGATCTGCCTGTCTCTGTCATTAACGCCACATGTTCCCTTAGCACCCAGGACGGCTGCTGTCGCAAGCTTCACGAACCGAACGTCGCGGTCCATGCTCACGTCCGGCCTTCATGTGGTTTCATCTTGGATCGGTTCTAACGCTCTCCAGCTAAACGTTGCCCAAACTGAAGTACTCCTCATATGGGAAAACACAAAAAAATTCTACACCCAATAGACTCCAGTTTGAGTGCGTACCTCTTAAACGCTGACATTGAACAGGAAAAGAGTGTTCGAAACCATGGATTTGCCATTGATACTGAGTTCTGCAGACCTTATGCTTCCATCTGCACAACATCGCTTGCATCTGGCGTTCCCGCATCCAATGTCTTCATCACATCCTGACTCGACTATTAAAAGTTCTCCTCTATGCCCTCTCCAAATCCCTCATCTCTAAGTACTCGATGTCCAAAAATGCCAAAGCCAGAGGTCGCCCATACCATTACTGTGAACACAGCACCCCAATAAATCCATACTCTTAGTTTTTTCGGTAAAGTCACGTAGGTAAAAAAATGAAATTAAAATTAATAAAAGTAAAAGAATAAAAATCACGACGTTTCGGAGGCAACACAAGCTTCCGTCTTCAGGTGAAACCGTCACAGCAAATATCTGATACAGATATACGGTTTCACCTGAAGACGGAAGCTTGTGTTGCCTCCGAAACGTCGTGATTTTTATTCTTTTACTTTTATTAATTTTATTTTCATTTTTTTACCTACGTGACTTTACCGACAAAACT